GTTGCTTGTGATATAGGAACTACTTAACAATATATTTAACTATTAAAACAGGTGTTCAGCAAGGCTCAGTATTAAGCCATGTACTATTTTACAAGCTTTTATTGAGTTACTCATAATTATACATATCAACATGAGAGATACACAAATGATTGAGAATAAATGCTGGATAGACTCTGCACTGAAGGGATTTTAAATATATTATCTTCAAAGTAAAGTTTTATAATTACTGAGTGTTTGTTTATTATATATATCATGTTACAAATCACAATAAATACCTACTGGTATCATCGGAATGTCTAGATTTGTCACAATTCGCATAATAAAAAACATAACGCTAGATCAGCCATATAATCAAGACTCGAAGAGCACATCAAATTATGTTGGCAGCACTCAACATAATAATGAAGAAAGCTTTCAACATATACCTAGCTGTTACCGAACTCAGTGATGTAGCCCCCCCCCCATCCTTTGAAGAATGGAAAAGGGAAGAAAATTCCCCCCATTTCAAATACTGGGCTATAACACAGCGCCATGAAATGCTGCTTATGATCTTTGTTAGATCCCTGAGAGAGGCAGACTTCAAACTCTACATATCTGCTTTGACTAAGATGATGCCCTGGTTTTTTGCATTGGATCATACACACTATTTCAGATGGCTCCCAATACACTAAGGGACATGGTCCAATTGGAGTCAACTCACCCTGACCTGTATCAGCGTTTCAATGAAGGTCACTTTACTGTTCAAAAGACACCTAGGTCATTCTCAGCCATCCCTATGAACCAGGCCCATGAGCAAAATAATGCTCTGATTAAGCGTTCTGGTGAGGCTATATGAATAACAGAAAATCCTACTGCACTGAAACAATGGATGATAGCTGGTCCTGCAATATCCCAGATCATCAAAGAGTTTGAAGAAGTCTCAAGTAAAGGAGCCATGAAAGCCAAAGAAGAGTTTCGCCACCACGAGCAAACAGCAAGCATCCAATAAAAATTTAGAGATGATGTATTTGATGTTGTGTACTACTATTGATAAACTAGGCAATCCATTCCTTGTGTCAGGTGAAGATGTATTTACTATTGACACAAAGGATGTTGTAAATGTATCAGTAAGTGACATCATCAGAAGTATAGAAGACATTGGCAACCAAAGCTTCACTAAGTATACAACTGAACGTCTTGTGGAAAGAACTGAACTATTGGATACACCAATAAAAGGCCACAAGCTCGCAATGTTTATACCCAAAAGAACAAATCAGAAATCTCAAATCAAGGAAATGAGAAATGACTGTGATTTATTCTCCAAAATATACATCACATGCCAGACAAGAAACATTGATCTTGATGACTTTTTCATGCATGAGAACAAGGAGTATCGACCTTCACTGGCATAGTATGGTGTCCTCAGAAATGGTGACAAATCAGAGCTACTTGACTGCATGGAGCATATTGTCCCTGGGGAAAAGGATAGGCCTGTCATTGATGCTGAAATAATAGATGGTGCATGTTCAGTACACCTTCTAAAACCAACTACAGCAAAGACCTTTGAGGACAATGCCACTGGTGTTTTCCTTCCCTACATCCAAGGTCAGCTGCAACATGTTGATCGCCTCGATATAATTTGGGATGAGTACCTGACAAGGAGCCTGAAGACGACGACGAGACAGAATCGTGGGAAAGGTGACAGAAGGATGACCTATCTTGGTAACACTGTGCCCAGAAACTGGCAGTCTTACTTGAGAGTTGACTCCAACAAGCAAGAGTTGTTTGGTATTTTAGCCTACAAACTATCAAGTCTTCCATTAGATGCAAATAAACAGATTGTGACCACCATTGGTGAGAAGGTGATTTGCAATCCTGCAATTAGTGACACAAATGACTTGGAGTCATGTTCTCACGAAGAAGCAGACACCAAAATGTTTGTCCACATTGTCCATATGGCTAGAAGAGAGTTTGCCAGAATACTTATCAGATGCAATGATACTGATATAGTTGTCCTTGCTGTAGCTGCCTCTGCCCAACTAGGTATAAGCATATGGGTTGCATTTGGAACTGGGAAAAACTGTAGGTATTTGGCTGCTCATGAGATGGCAAGAGCTCTTGGACCTATCAAATCTGAATGTCTCCCTGTTTTCCATGCATTTACTGGGTGTGATAGCACATCGTCATTCTTTGGTCATGGAAAAAACAATGTTGGACAGTATGGAACAAATATCCAGAAGTAACAGAAGCATTCCTCGCTTTAAAACAAACCCACACCACATAGCTGAAGAAGCTCTATCTCTATATCCCGGCTATCGAAACCAGCCGTAGTTTTCTCCTGATGACCATTGTGAATTGTTGTGTTTTATGAATTATGATGACGGCTTTGCGAATGGATGTTGACCCTTTGAATTGCCTATGGACTTCGAGACTGGATTTTATCTATCCCACATCATTTATGAGTACTAGTATCTACAACTATTTTTGATGTTATGAGTATTGGCTAACATTGTTTCTTTTCATGTTAGATCATGGTTTTGGGAAATATAGGGTCTACTTTTCATATGACATATTTACACTTACAGTTTGCTTTTCTTGTTGGGTTTCTCTAAAATTTTCAGTCACACTTCCCTTTGGCATTTGCACTTAATGTATTCTATTGGAACGTTTTGTCATTATTCTCTATGACAGGACAAGTTCAACAACTGATATTAACTCAACCAGAAAATATCTTTTCACCAAGAAGGGAAGACAGATTGACAAGATACCTCCGACTAAGGCAGCTTTGGAGCAGCATATTAGGAGATCGGCCTTCACAGGAGGGATTGTTTGGGGCCAAATACTGGATCCTCGCCTAAGTGGTGTCCAGGATTATTTGAAGTTTGGCTGGGAGGAGGATGATGGTGATCATGTGACTCCACTTTGGTCTACTCTTCAGCAAGCGTCAATAGCACGCAGAGAACTCATAAAGTGTCAATGCAGCGAGGGGTGTCGTCCTCAGTAATGTTCATGTAAAAAAGCTGGCTGGGCAAAATACACAAACCTTTGTAAGTGCAGTGGGCTTGCACTGATGAGTGAGAGTAACAAAGGAGACAATAAAGATACGAGAAATAGATTTAATCTTAGAGCTAATAACTTTAAATCAAAATTTGGTCAAAATTCCATTAGAGCACAGGTCAAATTATGTGGAATGAACTTCCAAATTCAATTAAAATAATCAATAGCAGTTATATAGCCTAATACATTTACATTTGAATTTGAATGTTGTTTCTTTAGCTTAGCCTATATGCTCTATATTGGCAATTGGCAAGCCAGCAGATGATCCTGTAAAAAAATTCTAAATAATGAAATAAACTGACTATTTATAAAAACTCTACACTATGAACAATGCTGCAATGAAGTAGAACCAGTGACTCTTAGCTGGATATATCTGATGAGAATTGAGAAAATGTTAACTAAATGAAACAGCATACTAAGAAAATGAATGAATATTTCAAAATTCAGATTAATTATCCCACCAAACGAACTTCAAGAGGGATATTGGAAAGTCGTCTGTCTGTTTGTCCGTCTGTCCGTTAGTCCGTCCGTTTGTCCGTCTGTTTGTCCATCTGTCCTGGTGATAACTCAAATACACGTAGACAGATTTGATTCAAATTTTATAGACTTATGCCTTATGAGTGTAGGACCTCTGCTCAAGAAGGAATTTTTAATATGGTTGCTCAATTCAAAATGGCCACCATTTTTTGTAAAAAATGTAATCTATGATAACTCAATTACTAGTGGAGGGATTTGGTTCCAATTTTATATGCTGATGCCTAGGGACAAAGGAGCTTTTATTCAAGTAGAGATTTTTCAAGATGGCTGCTGATTTTCAAATTGACCACCATTTTTCGCAAGAAAACATAATCTTTGATAACTCAAATACCAGTGAACGGATTTCATTTAAATTTTATATGCTGGTACCTAGGGACACAGTTGCTCTGTTGGAGAAAGAATTTTCAAGATGTCGGCTGAATTTCAAAATGGCCACCATTTTTTCATTAAAAACATAATCATTGATAACTCAAATACCAGTAGACGGATTTGGTTCAAATTTAGGTACAATACATAAAACTGTAAATGCAATATGTTTTGAATTTTAAAAAAATACATAGGACATTTATAAAGCTAGAAATACAATTTTTGCTGTAACTTGAATAGCAGTGGAGCGATTTTGTTCATATTTGGTATGTGAATACTATAAGCATGGGACACTGTCTAATGACATTTTGTGAAGTAGTTGGTCATTTTTCAAAATGGCTACCATTTTTACTTGTGTTATGAATTTACAAGGGAATATTGAAGTCGCTTAAAAACTCATTCATTTAAAGTGTGTGACAATAGGATAGTTTCTAAATAGCAGAAAAATCAATGAAATCTCGTGCTGCCATCTTTTATTCAGCTTTTAACTCTGGCTAGAGCTCCATTCACTTACATGCTAAAATCTTGGAAAAGTGGCTTAATTTCATGATTTATCAAAGTGTGTTTGTTGAATCTGTATAAAACTTGAATGATATACCACATGATGACCCTGTTTATGAACATTTTGTGATTAAACATGCTAATGTTGATTGACATACAAATAATCCACGGTTTTAAAGAATTTTAGCATTGCATCTATGGACATTTGGCCCAACTTTTTTTAAATTGTCATAGAAAATTATTCAAATTACATAACTGTGTAAATCAAAGCTATTTTAGGAGAAAACATTCCACTGAATTCAAATATACCATTTAAAAGAAGGTAATGTAAGTCATTAGAGGTCTAATATGCAAGTCTCTTAAAATCTCACGAAAAACGAGATTTAGCGAGATTTCAAAAGCTATATGGAAACTATACTATTGGTAGTAGAATCTGCCTGTCTTGTTACATCTTTGTAACATTTGATATAATTTACCAGGTGGGCTTTTGTCGTGTGAAGTGTCTTGCTTCTTCTGTGGAAGGATGTCTCATCTTTGTTACTATGTTTGTTTGTTTTAAGATTGAGGATGGAGAAATATATGCCACTATTAATCAAAAAGATGGAATGGTGAGCTTTCATGACAACCCAGAGAAATACAACAGCACCAGTATGCTTTCCCATATAGATGCTGAGGTAAGTGTAACAATTTAAGATCACTAGTATGCTTTCCCATATAAATGCTGCAGTAACAGTGTGCAAAATATCATGTCGCCATTTGCCAAAATGCAAGTCCAAAAAAAATTGGGCGAGGCAAAATCAAAATGTGTCGCTAATTCTGGTGAGAAAGTATAATTGGGCTGGATCTGTCATATTCTTAATGACATACCTTACTTCTCCTACTGTGTCCTTATTTTATCGATATTGGGCAGATATAAGACGGATCAGAAGAATTTGCCCGCCGGTGTTCATAACGGCCACGTTCATTGGTTGATTCATCAGATTGATCATATCTTTATGCCAATCAAATTCAAAATAACACTTCGTAACTCGCTTTAGCAAATTGAAGTAGTGTGACATTATTGTTATTGTCTCCATTTTTTATGGCAGTCGGCAGTTGGCGATCGGTAATCGGCGCCTGTAACAAATTCTTAGAACTTCCAATAACTTAACAAACACTGTTTTGACTGACTTCAGTTTTTTCAAAATCATTTACATGTTTTGATAAGTTCAAATCTGACTATATATTTAACTATATATATTTGACCTTCAATGACCTTTTCAAGGTCAAAAAGGTCTTTTTCAACTTGCTTTAAATTAACCAATGTTTTTTTCAAAATCATCTACAAGTTAACAGAAGTTCAAATCTGACTTTAGATTTGACCTTCAATGACCTTCTCAAGGTCAAAAAGGTCTTGTTTCAACTTGCTTCAAATTGATCAATCTTTTTTTTCAAAATCATCTTAAAGTTCTCAACAGTTCAAATCTGATTATAGATTTGATGCCTTCAATGACATTCTTTAAGGCCAAAAGGATTTGAACTTCAATGACATTCTCAAGGTCATAAAGGTCTTTTTTATCTTGCTTCAAATTGACCAATTTGATCTACAAGTTCCCAGAAGTTCAAATCTGACTTTAGATTTGATCTTCTGAGGGTCAAAAAAGTTTTTTTTCAACTTGATTCAAATTGACCAATTTATTTTTTCAAAATCATCTATAAGTTCTCAGAAATTCAACTCATAATATTTTGAGTAACTAAGTGGTGTCATGTTAATGCCTTCTTATAAATTTATTATGCAGACGTCTGCTTCGTGTTCATTCCATGAGAAGTACATTGTAATTACTGCTCCAACACGTCGTGTATAAATAAATTATATATGAAACAGTATCAAACAAAATATATTTTAACACACAAATTCCAGTATATTAACAATTTTAGTAGGAATTAGTAGCAATTTAAGATCATGCAGGTCGGACTTGACACATTTCATTCAGTGTAATATCAATTAACATTTTTCTTCCAATTGTCTTTATTATTGCAGTTAAGTCCACAAAAATTCAGGGAATGGTAAAATGATTATTTGTGAAAATGTTTAAGATAAAAATATGCATGTATGATTAATTATCCCATCGAACGAAGTTCGGAGGGATATAGGGAACGCCTCCGTCCGTCCGTACGTACGTACCGTCCGTACATACGTACGTACGTCCGTCCGGGCAATAACTCAAATACCATTGGCCCGATTTTGTTCATATTTTGTACACATATACCCTATGGAGGTAGAAGTTCTGCTCGAAAGCCGATTTTCAAAATGGCTGCTCATTTCAAAATGGCGGCCATTTTAGTGCCGATTTTACAGTAATTTAGGTGCAATATGTAAAACTGTAATAGCAATATGTTTTAAATGTAAAAAATTGTAAAGGACATTAATAAAGCTACAATGTAGATATTAAAAAAGCACATGGCAGCCATCTTGAAAAATGGCGGCCTTTACTCGTTTTTTTACGATTTTTGCTGTAACTCGAAAAGTAGTGGAGCGATTTTGTTCATATTTGGTATGTGCATACTATAAACATTGCACACTGTCTAAAGACACTTTTTGTAGAAGGCGGCCATTTTGAAAAATGGCCACCATTTTAATGCTACAATGTAGATATTAAAAAAGCACATGGCAGCCATCTTGAAAAATGGCGCCCTTTACTCGTTTTTTTACGATTTTTGCTGTAACTCGAAAAGTAGTGGAGCGATTTTGTTCATATTTGGTATGTGAATACTATAAGCATGGCACACTGTCCTCTGACACTTTTGGTAGAAGGTGGCCATTTTGAAAAAAATTTTGAAAAATGGCCGCCATTTTAATGTTTTTTTACTATAACTCGAAAAGTAGTGGAGCAATTTTGTTCATATTTGATATGTGAATACACTAAACATGGAACATTGTCTAATAAAACTTTGGGGAGTAGTCGGCCATTTTGAAAAATTTTGAAAAATTTTTTATGTGTGTTATTTTACAAGTACATGTGCGCAATTTTTCAAAAATTTTATAGGTGGCTACTTAAAAGCATATTATTTCTTCTGATGACAACTTGGCTAGTGAGCAACCATTTTGAAAATGGTGGCCTTTCTGGTGTGTTGTTTTATGATATTTGCTATATATTTCGTTTGTAAAAATGCCAGCCATTTCTGTTCGATGGAATTCGCTACGCTTTGGCGTTGCCATTGTTCTGGTTTTAGATTGTCATGGCCATGATCTGTATACTGCGTGCATCATGAAAAAAAAATTCTCTGCTTGAGACATCACTGCTGAAAATACAGTATCTTTCATAACATACAAGATGTACCCTTCAAATGGAATAAATAGAAAAATGGTACAATTTTTATTGGTCCACCCTGTATACAGAAAAAAATTGTGTGGGTCAAATCTTTTTTGTTCTGCCAAAAAATGGCGACATGAAAAAAAAGTTTTTTAGCACACTGATGTATTATTTTATACTTTATTTGACACTGATGTCCATTTTCATCACCTATGTAAGATGAGATTTAACATTTACAGTGTTACTATGCTAATCTATGCTTCTATAGAATTTGCTGTGATGTCATAGCAATGAGAAAAGTGAAGTTCCATTTATTGAAAACTGTTCATCATCTCTTCTTATTACTCAGTTTTGAGTAATAAGATGAAAACATGGTAGAATACGACATGGTATTTTATTACTTGGTCTCCTGAATAAAGAAGATCTATCAAATTTCAGCAAGAATAGAAATTCTTGCACAGGTACTCATGTAAGAATCTCTTTGTATTATTGAGTAGAGATCTAATATTTTCACGATATATTTTCAGATGCAAAAGTGTATACAACTTGAGGCAAAAGTTAAAGAAATGGATCGAGATATAGCGGTTAATCCACAATACGTACAAAAGGTGAGTTAGTTGGAAATTCATTGGCAGATTCCATGTTTCAAACAGTACAGTTCTGGATAACTCCACACCAAAGTGGCAAGTATTACTCATTACCTAATATATGTATGTATATTATATACCCTTAATTGAGTCTCTACATTCAATGGCATATTTATGATTGCGTAATATGAATTAGGCATAAAAATGTTGCCATATATCAATAAGAAATCTGAAATGTATATTGACCATTGGAATCATTGATCTTTGATACAAATGTGTGAAATCTTTGAAAGAAGAGTGTGTATCATAACTACCAGAGATGATATATTGTAAGAGTCTCCAACTTTTTTGTGAATCATGTTCAGCAGTCAGTATCTGTAACAAATGGTAGGTGGTGACATTTCACATGTTAATGCCTTGTTAGGGTTTATTAGGAGGCTAATATCTTGAAAGGAGGGTGCAAATTTATGCCAGATGGATCACAAAAGATGTTGGATTAAGTAATATTCTGAAGGTCAGAGGTGAAGATCATTATAAAACTTCATAAAAGCTATAATTTAGGTTTATTTTAACCTCTTGAATCCAAGGCTCTAAAATTGGTTGAAACCAGAGAATTTTTATTTTTGCCAGCTGATGACATTTTACTACATACATATATGTACAACAGATGATGCTCGTTTTAGTGAAATTAGTAAGCAGAATTTTAAAATGTTTTTTGTTGTGTAAATTGAAAGAAAATTGTTCTAAGAAAATTGTCCTTAGAGCAATTTTAGTGAAAAGATTTGTAAGAGGCTATCCCATCACTCTGGGTTTCAAGGTCATTTCTAAGCTGACGAAAAATCTTGTCACTCTGAGTTGTCAAGAGGTTTACTTAAAGGAATTCTTAGCATTTGAAATGACCAAATATTGCAGTTTGATAACTTTCTGGGATGAAACCAAACGAACCCTACCAATTTTTTTTATTTGACAACACAAATTCTATTCAAAAACTTGAAGTGTGTTCTACGACGTCCACGCATAACTGATTCACTTTATTACAAATTCTGTATATTCTTATTTGATTTTAAATGCTCCTTAATAATCTTTAGATAACTACATGTATTATGATTTCTATTAGAATCATTTGTATACTAGTAACACTAGTATACAAACTAGTATACTAGTAATCATCCCCAGTCAAAACATTGGAAGTGATCAAAAATGTTGTGAGTGTGAGATATCACTTAATAAGAATGAGAATAACTCATTGTTGAGAAAAACTAAGATTGGCTACATTAGGAGACTGATGACTAGTTACATTCATTTTTTCAAGAAGCCATTACCCTGTTACCACCCTGCGTAATATGCACTTTTAGTTTTACAACTATCAGTTCAAAGCTTTCAAAATTGACAAATAACTTCTGCTTACAGCAATAATAATTAATTTAAACCAGAATTATATTAATTTTTGTAATTTCCTCATCCTGATGAATTGTGTTTAATATCAATAAAATATAATTGTGAATAATCTTTATGTCAATGGAATTATGAAATTGGCTGCAAATTGCTCTTGTTGTAATAATGAGTAGTAGATTCAAGCAAAAATAAATGTTGGTAAGTATTGTATTTTGATTTGCATGGATAACTCAAGGGTTGAATCAACTGAAGGATTAAAGCCCATTGTGGATTTTGAGCATGAATCTCATGAATGTCAGAGATAATACATTGCAGATTGCCTTGAATGTCAGGCATTAAATTTATGCCAAATTAAAGCTAAAGAAGCACTAACTTTATAAAAAGGTCCAAAAATAGATAATCACAAATTATTGGTAGGCGTATGCAGTTTTTCTCATGTAGATTGTATTGTAATCTTTAATTGTGACTAAAGAAGTATTTGTTTGTGTATTTCAGCACCATGGGATTCATGATGATGATTTACCTGGCTCATCAACCAAGGTCTCCTATCCCATGTAACATGATAATGGACACACAAACAACGCTAGCAACAAGCTCGATTTATACTTGACGATGTATGCTATTGTAACAACAAACTCAGTTACCATAGTAACACAAAGTAAACTATGAAATTGTTTCTTCTGAAGGGAATTTCACAACATTGCCTTGAAAGATGAAATGGTAAACATGTTAACTTCATGTGAACAATGACAATAGAGTTCCCAATCCTGGAGAACTATCTTGCTGGAGACCTAGAGTGAAATATTTTGATATTAGACTATATCAGTGGTAATGCATTTCAACTAAACATCAGTACATCAGTATGAAGGAAAAGGTAAATGGTCAAATGACAAACTTTCCCAAAGGTTTTTAAAATAAAAAAAACTTGCTTTCCTTTCATGAAATCTTAGAAAGTACTGTTATTGAAGTTAAATGGATTGATATTGAAACTTAATATGATTAGTAAATTTCTCTGTATTTCATGCTTTTTCAATATGGAGAAATGCTCATGGGTGTCAATAAGATTACTTTACAAAACTACATCAATTGGTTTTAGAGTCTGTTTGTGGTCTATGGGAACTAAATCATAGCCATGCTATATTGAGCCTGTATATTTTATAAATTTATTTAATAATTGTTTCAAAAATAGAAGGTGTTTTGTACTTAAGTTCTAATTAAATACATAACAATATAAGTTGTAAGATTAAGACAATAAAATCATCAATTTTCATGGATAGAATAAAGATTTATTGTACAATTGAACTTCTTACATTACTTTCGAATTGCTAAAATCTTTTGAACTACATTTGCTCTCTAATTGTAATCCTTCTACTGTTTTGTTACTGTCACCATAGTACAAACCTAGTTTTCAATCAAATAAAATCAATCAATTTGCAGTAGTCCTACTTGATCTGGTTCTATAACCTTCATAGAATTTCTTTAATTTGATGCATGTGGATGAAAATCAGTTTTTATGAGCATTTTCCAAACACTTTAAACCATCCTTCTTTAACACAGTTGCCAGAGCAACACTGGCTGTCACGGCTACATCTGTTATTTCGACTTTGACACGCAGTGCATGTCCCTTTAACATGGTATGCCTTTTCCCTGCAAACACAGAAATGTATAAAATATTGTCTAGGCCATATAAACAAACAAATTACAAAAACAAAACCTTTGTTGCATTTCTATCAAGACTTATATTGTTATTCAATAGTAAAAATACCATAACACAAATAAAGAAAACGATTGATAAAGTGACACAACCCTTGACTTCTTGAAATATATGTAGTTTCTAATCTGGGATCTATAAGTTTTTTAATATTTCCATCCTCATTTGAATTCATTACAAGTACATATATGGGCACTGAAAATTTGCCTAAATCATAAAAGGGAGCTAGGCGATGTAAACATATATATTCTACTTTGAATGGCCTCTGACTTGAACTGACTCCTGTATGTCTCGAACTTTGACAGGGTAATCACGTCTTTTTAGAAAAATGAAACACAGGATGAAATAAACTTTTGATATAAACTCTGGAGAATTATTGACCACACTTCTTTCTTTCAATCTATCATCAATCTACTTTTAGATACAAAGAAGGCTTGACTATATTATTTTTTTTACCAATTTCTTCATTACAAAATAAATAAATAAACTATAATAGCCTATGCTGTGCATTTGCCTTTATTGCTCATTAAAAGTAGTTGCTCTAACATCTCATCACCGAACACATTCATCAGTAATCATTTTAATAAATCAAGAGACTCGTCTTGATCTCTTTTGAAAAGTTTTGAATGAAACATAGTAGAGGTTTATATGGTTTCTATTCAGGAATTCTTTCCCTTGGCTTTCTGGAAAGATCTTTTTCTAAACGGGCCATTTCATATTTTCCGGATTATTATGACGTAATAGACCATGCACGTTTATTTTAAATAATTATAAAAAATATCTTCATTTACAAATTATTTATTGACTATTGTAATGCTAGTTGACGGAAAACATATTATATTGTAGTTACAATTATTTCTTAAAGCATTTAAACAGTTTACGACATGGAAGTCATTCTTCCCTGAATATTTGGTTGCTATGCAAATTATTTTGAATTTCTCAAAATAACTACATTTAGGTCATGGGTCGGCGTAAAGTGCAGGGTATTTCTAGATCCAAATTGATAAGAAGCCATCGAGAACAATGCCAAACGGTCAAATATATAAGAAATAGATCTATAATTTATTTATTCATTTCATTTACGGCTGTCATTTTTCTTATTGATTAAGTGACCTAGTGATGAAGACCACTTTTCGTCAGGCGCAGAAATTTAAAAACCCACAAGTAAACATCTACTATTTTAGCTCGAAATATGGTAAGTTCATGGTTAAACTGGTGTTTATCCATTATAAAACAGTCGTACAGTAGATTTAGTCAGTAAACTAAAGTGTAATTATATTAATCTGACTAGCAAGATGTTAGAGCAACTACCTTTATATTTATTGACAACTTAAATTTTATTTTTAACATATTTAGATTTTTAAATGTTCAACTTAGCTTTCTATTCATCTTAGAAATCAATTTTCTGAAGTAATGTTATTAATGGAAATAATACCTATGGCAGGAGAGAGTAATGTTATTAATGGAAATAATACCTATGGCAGTAGAGAGTTCCACAGTAATGTTATTAATGGAGACAATACCTATGGCAGAAGAGAGTTCCATATTAATGTTATTAATGGAAATAATACCTATGGCAGTAGAGAGTTCCACAGTAATGTTATTAATGGTAATAATACCTATGGCAGTAGAGAGTTCCACAGTAATGTTAATAATGGAAATAATACCTATGGCAGTAGAGAGTTCCACAGTAATGTTATTAATGGTAATAATACCTATGGCAGTAGAGAGTTCCACAGTAATGTTATTAATGGAAATAATAGCCATGGCAGTAGAGAGTTCCACAGTAATGTTATTAATGGAAATAATACCTATGGCAGTAGAGAGTTCCACAGTAATGTTATTAATGGAAATAATACCTATGGCAGTAGAGAGTTCCACAGTAATGTTATTAATGGTAATAATACCTATGGCAGTAGAGAGTTCCACAGTAATGTTATTAATGGTAATAATACCTATGGCAGTAGAGAGTTCCACAGTAATGTTATTAATGGTAATAATACCTATGGCAGAAGAGAGTTCCACAGTAATGTTATTAATGGTAATAATACCTATGGCAGAAGAGAGTTCCACAGTAATGTTATTAATGGTAATAATACCTATGGCAGTAGAGAGTTCCACAGTAATGTTATTAATGGAAATAATAGCTATGGCAGTAGAGAGTTCCACAGTAATGTTATTAATGGAAATAATACCTATGGCAGTAGAGAGTTCCACAGTAATGTTAATAATGGAAATAATACCTATGGCAGTAGAGAGTTCCACAGTAATGTTATTAATGGAAATAATACCTATGGCAGAAGAGAGTTTCACAGTAATGTTATTAATGGAAATAATACCTATGGCAGAAGAGAGTTCCACAGTAATGTTATTAATGGAAATAATACCTATGGCAGTAGAGAGTTCCACAGTAATGTTATTAATGGAAATAATAGCTATGGCAGAAGAGAGTTCCACAGTAATGTTATTATTGGAAATAATACCTATGGCAGAAGAGAGTTCCACAGTAATGTTATTAATGGAAATAATACCTATGGCAGTAGAGAGTTCCACAGTAATGTTATTAATGGAAATAATAGCTATGGCAGAAGAGAGTTCCACAGTAATGTTATTATTGGAAATAATACCTATGGCAGAAGAGAGTTCCACAGTAATGTTATCAATGGAAATAATACCTATGGCAGTAGAGAGTTCCACAGCAACGTTTTCCAGGCCAGCAATCTGCACCAGCATTAGCACATTCCAATATGCCCCTACCCGGCCGCTTATGTACTTTCATACTGCAATCATCAAAAGTTGCTATTTTTGGGCAACATGCATTTCAGTTTCTTAGAACATGTACTGTAACTAATATTGAGTCAGTTGGTCTTACTCACTTGCTTAAGCTCTTAATTAAGTTCTAATAATTATTTGACCACAAAAACAAATGCGATTCTTTGGCCAATATGTTATCTTCAATAAGGGGCAATATATTGAAAGTACTGTATAGTCGAATGGACTATCTCTTAAGCTGTCATTAATCCACCCATCATCACCAATTTTCCACAATTATGAGCCAATTTTCTCCAAAATGCAGCATTTTATTTCAATTTTTTAAATAGACTAGATGGGAGAAGAAATAATCTTGATTTACGTCATTAAATATTCAAAATTCAGTCAAAGTGATGTTATACTTGAAACTGCATGTAAAAGTACATCTAGAAATATGGTTCCGAAAATTGTCTTATCAACTTTGAAAATTTAATTTTTTTTTGAAAATGTGTCTTATTGTTCGGGTTGATTCCCCATAGACCCCATGTTACAAAATCACAAAAAGTGAATTATCCTTTCTTGTATTTGACAGATAACATTTTACTGGACATATCTTAATTTAATAACTATTAGATACATAAGGGTTATATGAAAATTGAACCACGCAAATAGATGTAATTTAAGTTAAAGGGAACCTTCTACTATATCCGTCATGCTATCTGACCCGAACGAGCCACCCGGTGGTGAATCTGGTAACTACCTACTCGCATCTGCGTTATTGAAATGTACTAGACATGTAAGTCATGATTTACCTCTGAAAAGGAAAAGTGATTCCCCTTGCTTGGGACGAAAACAATGGACATTTGAGGTCAAATATCATTTTTTGATATGGTTAAATGTACAAAAAAAAGATCTCATAATCCATTTGTTATAATCCATTATATCTCATAATACATGTCATTTTTTTCTTTTTGGAGATCAATTATGTAATATCCCCAAATCTTTTTGTACATTAACCATATCGAAAAATGGTGGTTTTAAGCCAGATATTTGACCTCAATTTAGTCGTAAAAATTGGAATAAAATGCTGCAATTTTGGTGAAAATTGGCTCTTAATTGGTGAAAATTGGTGATAATGGGTGGGTTAATGTCAGCTTAAGAGATAATCCGTTCGACTTTACTTTCAATATATTGCCCCTTGTTGAAGATAACATATTGGCCAAACAAACGCATTTGTTTTTGTGGTCAAATAATTATAAGAACGTAAGTAAGAGCTGTTTAAAAAAGCTTGCAATAACAAACCTGTCTTTTTAGACCAAAAATTAGCAAGTTTGTGTAAAGCGCTGCAGCAATTGCCCTTGCACTTTACCAGCTTTACCCAATAAAAAATCTTTAAAATATTTTGTAATTTGTAATAATAAATGTTTTGATCAGAATTCTATAACAGATAAATGATATATCTATGTATTTTAATAACTTGTATTGGATCAGAACTGACTTGAAACAAAATTTCTAAACAGCTTTCATAAAGTTATTAGCAAGTTTGTGTAAAGCGCTGCAGCAATTGCCCTTGCACTTTACCAGCTTTACCCAATAAAAAATCTTTAAAATATTTTGTAATTTGTAATAATAAATGTTTTGATCAGAATTCTATAACAGATAAATGATATATCTATGTATTTTAATAACTTGTATTGGATCAGAACTGACTTGAAACAAAATTTCTAAACAGCTTTCATAAAGTTATTACAAATCATTTTTGCAAAATTCTTGATATTTCTTGTAAAATGTCATGCTCCGTTGCTTTACCAAAATTAATTGTCCCACCCTGTGATTGATTTGACAATCAATCACCACTTAGTTGCAATTGGAAAATGTTTTGCAGAGGTCCTTCTAATATAATCTTACCTTTCTCCTGTTTGATCTGCAGACATAACTACTGCAGCAAACACCAATGTCAACGTGCAAACTAACTGTAACATCTTAATCCTCGATTTTTAATCTAAAAACAAGTGATGTTACATTAGTTACTAAAACAGTCACAATTAATATTGTCCTTACTTCAGTTGTATTAGTGCTTGAAGATGTACACAATTCAGAAAATAATTCCAAAATAGTTAAGAGATTAAAATGTATACTTCACCTTTGACGATTCAAATGCTATTGGTATGGATTTGAAAATAGCAGCAGTACTCAATGATGATTATTCACTTACATGGTAATTGTAAATATATCAATTCTGACAGATATAATTACCTCATCTCCCTTTACTTAAAAATACGGAAATATGTTATTGAACTTTTGATCTGTTTTTAATCCTACCAAACAACATTTGAATATAGGATTTAGAGACACTGTTTGGATTGAAACCTGTAGACAAGCCTTGACTGACACGATTTTAATGATGGAAAATTCAAAATGGCTGCTTTGACATTTACCCATAATGCCAAAAAAACTTTCATACATAGAAACATCCCTGAAAATTTCAGATGAATCCCTGAAACGGTTTGATTGGAAACCTGTAGACAAGTCTCTACAGACAAGATTTCAGGACGGAAAATCCCAAATGGCCGCCATAAAATTTACCCAGAATGCCCAAAAACTAATCACTTCTAAGGTTTCATATGTAGAAACATCCCTGAAAATTTCAGATGAATCCATAAAAAGGTTTGGCTGGAAACCTGTACACAAGCCTACAGACAAGATTTCAGGACGGAAAATCCCAAATGGCCGCCATAAAATTTACCCAGAATGCCCAAAAACTAATCACTTCTAAGGTTTCATATGTAGAAACATCCCTGAAAATTTCAGATGAATCCATAAAAAGGTTTGGCTGGAAACCTGTACACAAGCCTACAGACAAGATTTTAGGATGGAAATTCCAAAATGGCCACTCAGCATTTACCCAGAATGCCCAAAAAGCAATCAGTTCTTAACTTTCATATGCAGAAACATCCCTGAAAATTTCAGTTGAATCCATAAAATGGTTTTCTGGAAACCTGTAGACAACCCTAGACAGACAAGATTTTAGGAGGGAAAATCCAAAGTCACCTCAGTATTTACCCAGAATGCCTGAAAACTAATCAGTTCTTAACTTTCATCCGTAGAAACATCCATGAAAATTTCAGTAAATCCCTGTAACCATTTGGCTGGAAACCTGCAGACAAGATTTATGGGGACGCTGCCCGCCAAGCAAACTGATCACAATATGGGACCCAAGGGTCTGATAAAAACACTGTCTAGGTCTAGGGTACATGAGAATAAACATATTCAGGGTGGGCCAAAATAAGTTGCTCATTTTAAAGTGTAATATCTCATTCACTCTTGGCATGATTGGTCTCAGACTTTCTGAGATGACTAAGAATTAATGCAAGTTTTGTTCTTGTTCCATCATTCACTTAAATGGACATTTTTTGGCCCATCCTGTATACTTACAAGTACAATATTTATGACTTCCAATTCATGATTAAAAGTCACACAAACTATTTGTGAGTCATTCATTTCTAACTTGTAACCATTACTCATGAAAGTTTCTTTGATATTTTTTCAATTTAGTCAGAGTAATGACATCCTGGACCTCTGAATGTCTGCTATGATAATACAAGGCATTAACATGACAAAATGTCACCATCTAGTTGCTCACAATATTATGAGTTCAATCTTAAGTCAGATTTGAATTTCTGAGAACTTGTAGATGATTTTGAAAAAATAAATTGGTCAATTTGAACCAAGTTGAAAGTTGAAAAAATACCTTTTTACCTTGAGAAGGTTATTGAAGGTGAAACCTCAAATCTTAAGTCAGATTTGAACTTCTGAGAACTTGAAGATGGTTTTGAAAAACAAAAGTTGGTAAATTTGAAGCAAGCTGAAAAAAGACATTTTTGACCTTTAGAAGGTCATTGAAGGCCAAATCCTTTTTAACCTTTAGAGTGTCATTGAAGGTCAAATCTATAATCGGATTTGAATTTTTGAGAACTTGTTGATGATTTTGAAAAAAAATTGGTCAATTTGAAGCAAGTTTCAAATATACATTTTTGACCTTTTTGACCTCGAAAGGGTCATTGAAGGTCAAATCTTAAATATAAAGTCAGAATTGAACTTCTGAAAACTTGCAGATGATTTTGAAAAAAATTGAAGTTAGTCTAAACAGTATTTGTTAAGTAACTGGAAGTTGTAAGAATTTGTTACAGACGCCGATAGCCAACTGCCAAATGCCAACCGCCGTCAGAAAACGGAGACCATAACAATATGTCACCACTTTTTGGTGGTGACATCATAAAAACAACAGCACTAAATGACAAAAATGAATTGGTAAAGCACCATGCACCTTATTTAACTTACAGAAGGTATATAGTTTTCAGCCAATAAATCGTTCACAATCATCCTCATTTGAATTCAAGAGTGTCTTTCAATAACATAAACTGAAGCATAATTTTGTATATAAGTCCTGAATCATCTTCACCTCTACATTCTATTTTTCTTTCTTTAGAAAGGAATATAAAATTAGGGGGCAAGAGGAAAATTTGAGTTTGTTCAGCTTGGCTTAAATGTATATTGTTGAATGATATTCTAATATTTCTCAACAGGCTCTTCCTTTTTCCATATGATACAGTTTTATCAGGAGATATGTGTACAAAAACATTGCATTACATTTTTCAGAAAAATATATTTCAAGTATATAATATTTACATTTACTGGAATAGTTTATATCACAATAACAAAATAGATGCCACATATACATGTAAGATGTTTAAAGTGTGCGCCTGACCCGGCTACGTATAGCACAGAGTTTATACTGGCGGATTAGACTAGTTCATTTTTTATATGTGTGTGAAAGCTTTCTCTTATTTGCGTTTTTTTCGTTTAGTACGGTTTTGTTATAATTGCCGAGGTCATATAACCGGGATAAAACAATGATTATCGTTGACTGCCCACACACAAAACATACGTTGAGTGAACAGTGTTATTACAAACAACAGGCTTTAGAATACAAAGCGTAGTGTGATAATAAGCTGCACACTACCACTGCTGCATGTACATATTACTAATTTACTAGGGCTCCCAAAGAGTGGATAGGGAGGTTGTGTTTGTCACTTTTAAAATTTTACATTTCAAAATTGTCATTTTACATGTCATAATTTGTTGGTTTCATTCGTTTAGCCAATCAAAACATTGTAAAACAATAAATTGTCTGTTACGTACAATCAATTTTGTTCAGTTTTGATTAGTTGTCAGAATAAAGTTACGTTCATCTGAATCCATGTATGAAAACAAAAATCCTATTTTCACTTCAAAATACTTCAGTGAGATGAAGGCTCGGAATTGTCACATGCAATAACTTATTGTCGTATTCGTTATTTTATCTTCTCGATAGTAGCATTTAGTCGCACATTTGATGCCAGGTCACCTTGTTGCGTACCTCTTGGGGAACCCCACATTTATGTGTGTACTCATGGAAGTAAATTCCCCGGTGTAGCCGAGAGCCACAAACTTTTCAACAGGTTCGAAATGACCAATTTCTCTCATATATACTCTAAATATTTTATTATTTAGCACCTACAAAGTATTGCTAATAACCATATGTAATTTCAATAAGGAAACTTATCTGGCTACATATAAATTCAATATCAACACTAGCTGTTCTCTCAACACGTCCTGGCTTACCTTGTGGTGACAAACCCTGGGTTTTCGCTATTTATAGTTTATCAACACCTGGACGCATGCGCATTTTATACTTTATCGGGCGCTTTAATTAAAGAATGATCAATGGCTTGATAGGTATTGAATTTTATAATGTCCTCTAGAGTCCCTGTTCTCCCTTTAGGTAAAGCAAAAACTTCAGACATCTTAGATAAAATGGTAGCCATTTTGAATTCTGAACTTTTAAAAGTGGATTTGTAGAGAATGCTTGGACACCAAGGTTGTGCGGACATAAAAAGTATTTAAAACATGTCCTTGCAGTGTCCTAATTGTTTGTGCAAGGGGTCCACAAAGCAGAGACCCCATACAACCAGTGGCAAGAGAGCTGTAATCCCAGTCATCAAAAGCAATGTATTCATGGCACCTTTACTATTATCTCCACCTCTGGAAAAAGAAGGTAGAAATAAGGGAATTAAGAGATGTACACAACAGACTGTTCACATTTTACTGACAGACTACTAGCTATTCTCACTCGAATTCTCAACATGTTGATCATTAACTTGAGTTAAATGCTTATATTTAGTAACCTTCTTTTATTAGTGTCATATCAGGTTCTTGAAACAATGGACCATTGAACTCTACTAACTTGAGAACTTGAACTGAGAGACTTCATCAAAAAAGAACTAGGTAACAGCAACTCCACAGAGTAGCAAATCCCACCGAACAAAACATATTTTATTAAATACCTCATCATTTTGGACATTACATGATAGAAATAACCAGGAAATAGTAGTTGTATTGTCTCTTTTTGGCAAAATTTACACCATGGTGTGACAATGATGCCATAGATATGAAGCCCTATATTAAATTCTTTCTTGAGAAGAGGTCTTATCACCATTAAGCATTGGTGTATAAGAGGACCAAATCTGTTAAATAGTACTTGTATTATCAGAAAAAAATCATATTTATCATGAGAAATTGCGGCCAATTTCTAAATTCAGCATTTCTTCTTGACCAGAGTTTTATGCAAATAAGACAATTTACTGTATCAAATATAACAAGTATATTCTCAACAAGAAAACAGTTTGACAGTCCCCTCTTACCCTCCTATTGAAGTGAATCTGCACAGTGACAGCCAGAGTACAATGATGACTGTCCCTCCCAACTCCCTGCAAATATAGCAAAGTGCAAGGTAAAACAGAGAAGAGTCCAAGTGATGAACAATGAATATAACATCCATCTCAATCTTGAGAGGATCTAGCTAATTACAAATCAAATCTAAACAGACTGCATATTCTTCAAAAGCCTGAAATGTATATAACCATTAGAAAGTCTAGTCTGTTTGAAGTTCATTTCATTATTTACTTGCATTAGTTTAACTTTAAAATTGTGCTATTCTATCTTGCAGTGTTTAACCTTTTCTAAGATTATATCTAACCATCAGAGGGGTCATTCATCAAGCTATCGCAAGCACGTCGCAAGCCTGCGATGTCGCAAGGGCCCTTTTTAGCGATTACGTCCTATTCAACAATCTTGTGCGACTGCGATCGGTAGAATTTTCTGCGACGTCGCAGTGAAATACCCCTAAAATGGCCATAATTTAAGCAACCGGTGGTACCCAGTCGCAGTGATTTTAGTTCAAGAAAAATGTCTTAAATTAATTGAATTTCTTTATGAAATTATATAGAAATTCTAGGACGTATAGTTCGATATTCGATCCATAATATATTAAAATTGCAGAACATATGCATTATGTTTAATTTGTTTGTGATGCTATCAAAAACAGCTAGTTTTCGGCTTGTAGTTTTAAGTACCTTCACCGTGCGACCGGTCGCAGTGATTGTGCGTTACACGTGATTTGAACCCACGTGGCTCTACCCACTCAGTATCCATATTGTCAATCTTGCATGACATGTTAATTGTCTACTGGCAGCGTTTATTCGTTCAAAATGGCTCATCTGATGGTTGATTTCAACCGTAATGCTAGCTCTGCGTAGCGAACGCGTATTTAGAGATCGTACAGATCCTCTTCAAATATACGATGATGTGGACCTTATTTTGCGATATCACATGCCTAGGTTAACTATTATAAAAGTTTAGGAAATGATACAAGAGGATCTCGAAAGGAAAACTAACACGTGTACAAGTACGTGCACGTGGTAATCACTGCGACTGGTCGCAGGGACATCGCAGACTGCGATTTGTTAATGAATAGGTCGCAGTCGCAGTCATTGCGACCTCGCACGGTGGTCGCAGTGTCTGCGACGTCGCAGTGATTGCGATAGCTTGATGAATGACCCCTCAGAACTGCATACTGAGTAAGGAGTTTTAAATAAATTGGATTTGCACAATGTTAAAAAGTACCCACCTTCCTTCCTCATGCTGCAGGGGGTTGACAATAGCACCAGTCAATAGTTCAATTACAATAATAGTAAGATAAAGTCCCCCTGCCAGACAAAGTGTTATGTGGACTGTTGCAACTGTTTTCCAAATACTATTTGCTGCAATTAAATGTCAAACGATTGCTTGAATTTTGACCACTTCGAACAAAATGGAACACACATCAACAAACACCTGTCATTTTGTAGAGATTTTGTATATTTTTGGAGAGATTCTTCATTCTAGGCTGTGATTTCTCACCCTGTAGATTCTGTAGACATTATTTAGCATACATACTTCTTTCATGGCTAATATGCCACCAAAAATGAATGAGTAGTGGTCAACAGTATTACACATATTTTAGCAGTCAATAGCACATTTAGGTTAGAGGTCAACAGTCAATGTTTTTTAAATAAGCCAATCAAAAAATTAAGTATTTAGAATAAATAATGATAGCTTCTTACATTTTATCACTTTAAACGATTTATCACATTCAATATTTCTCACCTGTGACTTCTGGCTTGACAGCTATTGCAAGACTCAGGAATCCTGGCAACAAATACACAGGCTGGAATAGATACAGGGTGAGCAGAGATATATCTGTTACATAGTCAGCTGAAGTATTTAGCTGACTGATTTAACCAATAAGATTTTAGAAAGGGAAATTCAAAATGGATTTGGATCAGGGGAATGAGCAAAGAATGAGATTGTGATCAAAAATAAGATTGAAGAATGAGAATGAAAGGAAGAGGAGAGCAGGCAATTAACTGAGACTGGGTAAAGGGCAAAGGGGTTGTATCAGTTTTTCCCAAAGAATCCTATATAAGGCTATATAAGAGAATGGGGCCTCCAATGAGCCATAAGTAGGTTGCAAATTACATCATGGTTGCTTCATATTAACAGGCTATGTTCTATTCCATCCTCTATTATTTGTTTATATGAAATACAATAGTATATTTCAGCTTAATGATGACATCTTTATGCTACAGAAATGGACATAGTGTTAAAGCATGTAAGTATCGCATCTACACTAATGGCCTACAGATAGCTACACTTGGTGCTAACAGGCTTATCATTCCCAATAACTGCTAATTAACATAATATGATGTACTTACCACCCAAATGTAGAAATCTTCATCATTCACCTGTAACAAACAAAACAACATAATTTTATCCATTTATTTAATAAATTAAAATATATTAAGTCTAACAAGGCATTAACAAGACAAAATGTCATCGCCTAGTTGCTCACAATATTACGAGTTCAATCTTAAGTCAGACTTGAATTTCTGAGAACTTGTAGATGATTTTGAAAAAAAATTAGTTAATTTGAAGCAAATTGAAAAATATATTTTTTTGAAGGTCAAATAATAAATATAAAGTCAGATTTGAGAGCCTCGTTTAAAAAACATAACTTGAAAAGCAAGGAGTCAACTTAATATGTGACATTGAAGAATATGGTAAATGAACAACAGAGACTGTAATATACATCATTCCCACACATTTGTTAGACAGTGTAGTGTATCCAAAACGTTTCTATCCTGTTCTAAGGTAATGTAATGTTTTTAGGAAATTAAATTAGTTACAAATATTCCATCATATTTTTTGTTACTTTGATTAGTGCAAATAATATCAGAAGTAACGGAGATTTATATAGCAAAATTATCAGTTTACCCTTCCTTTATATATCATGGTGTATCTTAGAAAATAAGATAGTGAAGCATGAGATATTTTAGAGTATAATACTTTCGACTATGTTGATTACTTTGGTGGATGAGATTAACCAAAACCGGACAGTTACTTTTTGAAAAGTTCAAACCTCAAAATTGACCTGAAATTTGAGAATGGGTATTAACATTTTCACATTATCATTGGAATGTGAACTGCAATTTTAATGCATATTAATAACTTTTCTGACCAGTATACTTATACAAGTATAACATTTTTTGATTTTTCTCTTCAGATCTGCTATTTCACTTCTGCCATTATTTCGTTCAGAGTAAATTCTCTAATTTTTGCAGCAAACTGGATTCCCAGGAAAATGTTTGTTTTTGCTTTTTGGAAAGCAGTCAAAATGTGCATTCACTCTGATGGTAAACAAAGAATTTAAGTCCATTGGCCTTACAACAATTTAGCAAATCCAGTGAGCATATTAGGAGCATAAGCAGCAATTATGTCAGTATTCTACATACAGGGATTTTTAAATTCTTCCTGAATCAGACTGAGAGGAGAAAATCAATCAAACTCATATCCAAAATGTGATATCACATTGTCAGTCACATGATTTGATGAAAAGAGCACATAATGGAGTAACAATTTGAACTTAGCCTCATTATAGCCATTACATATCGGAGAATGGCAAGGGTTGTGAAGGAGTCTTATCAGATTGAATAATTAAACCCAGGGCAAACTCTAGAAAAGGGGGAGGGGGTCCAAAAGTTATCTCTGGAAAAAGGAGCATATTACTTGCCGCCCAATGCACCCTCCTCTAATGGGGCCCCGTATTGATATAGAACATCCCATAGTGTTTTGGATTTTATATGCATATGCATGGTAGTTGTGAAGAAGAATCTGGGGCAAAATCTGGGAGATATAAACTCAAAGAGAAAAAAACAAGTGTGAAAAATTGTAAGACATAGGTGGTCAAAATCTGAACTTAGATGTTCAAAATCAAAACCTATGTGTTTAACCTTTGTGACTCATTTTGGGTGCCTTCAAGTTGATAGTGCCAATACGTACATTTACATATGCTGCTAGAGTGAAGAACAAAGTCATGACAGCATTAGTTCCCTGCCATATCCACCGCCATTTGCCATCATCCTTAATAAACGATGAACCATGCTCCTCATTAACTGCTTGGTATTTGACATTGGATTTCATTGCACTGAAATCAAATAAAAGAGACATACAGTAAAACCTGTGTTTAGTGAACATCTTTTTGCCAAGAAAAATGTTCCCTGTAAGTGTTAGTAGCTGTTCATTACAGCAAGGATTTGATTTCGCAGCATTTTGCTGTATGATTTAAACAAGGCTAAAGGTGAGGAGGGAATAATCAATTTAATTTGTGTTTTCTACCCATGATAACCCATGACACGTTAGCGATAAGTTTTGGTTTTGTTGTAATGTTATATAGACTTATTAGACTGACTGTCATCTGAATGATTCATCCTTTTACTTCTTTGTAATTGTTTATAATCTCATTGAGATGATCCTTTAAATAGTGGAATCCTTGACACATTTGAGTCAGTTAAAGGACTTTATTGAATTCATTCAATGACATGATAGAGTCAATCAAGGGGGTTATATATATTTTACAAGTGGATCCAAGAGACCAAGTGGGCAAGTCCATTATTTTTTAGGGGTGGCAGGATATACACACATCCACGTACTCCATTGCCTTATTAAAGAAAACCTACTAAAAGTTTAGTAGTCAATAAATATCAGATCTGTGAATTCCGAAATCAGAAGCGAATTCAATAGTAAAAACCAGATTAGAATGCACAAATACCGGATCACAGATTTTTCCAATGAGGGACCTGTTAAATGTATTACTGGGCTGTTTTTAATAGATGTTCTTGTTTCTTGCTCTTTAGGGAAAAGTCGTATTTTTTATAATGTGTAGCATTATGCGTGATGCATTATATGTAAAAACAACCCATAACATTGGTGAAGCCAGATTGTTGATCTCACCCACCTACAAAAAAGAATTATTCTGCAAAGGATTGGTATTGATTTGGTGAACTTTTTGAACACATATTTCTCTAAACCAGTCATCCAAAAATTCAGAAAATTTTACACATCGTCAATTTAATGGTCATCTTTTAAATGTTTATTGAAATAAAAGGTTTATCTAAATTTTTATCTATTTTGGGGGTTTTTGTTCCAAAATCTTGCAAATGCAAAACCTCAAAATGTGAACACCTCCTAATCCGAACGCTTTTAGCTGGTCCCTCGGATTAGACAGGTTTTACTGTAGGTACAATCCCCTCTAAAAGTTACTGAAATCACTGGCTGGGAATTGGTGTTCGCTTACTACAGTTGGGGACATAAATAAATGACAGGTGGATTTGCTGAAGTGAGAATTTCCCATGTTAAAAATAAGAGAATTTTCAAGAGGCCATACATCAGTGGATGAGATTATACAAAATGTGAAATATACAAATTTTAAGGGATATGTATCCAGACAATATTGGAAATTATGGGCTTTCAGACGACCATAATTAGGAAATGGTGATCGAAAATCGACCTGTCATTTATTTTTGTCCCCAACTGTACACACGGGTGTTCAATAGAGTAGACTCATGCGTTCACTGGGCACAGATCTTCACTAAAGAGGTGTTCATAACACTGGTGATCCACTCGATTACGCTGGTTACCAAAACGAACCGTTTTGGTAACAAAATGTCGGAACGTCGAAGGCACGATTTTTCTTTTTTCCTTATTTCACGCGCTGTAGGCAGAATCCCCACAACGTTTTTTCTCACAACGTGCAACAGTATCATATGTTTTAGAAAATGTACATGTTTGCGAAAAAATAGCTCAGAGGACAACAGAATCGTCGATTTACTTCCTCACTTAAGTTACATAAACGGTTTTTCGAAAAACAGTTAAGATCTGCACTTTTAACCCAAACCGTTTATGTAACTTAAGTGAGGAAGTAAATCGACGATTCTGTTGTCTTCTGAACTATTTGTTCGCAAATATGTACAATTTCTTAAACATATGATACTGATACACGTTTGTGTTAGAAAATGTCGTGGTAATTCTGCCTACAACGTGTAAAATAAGGAAACGAGAAAATCGTACCTTCCGGATGTTCCGACATTTTGTTACCAAAACGGTTCGTTTTGGTAACCAGCGTAATCGAGTGGATCACCAGTGCATAAGACAGTTTTACTGTACTGAAATCAATCGCTTGGAATTCACTATATACAAAATTGAAATGTGTGTATCATGCCACCCCTGCAAAATAATTGACTCGCCCACTTGGTCTCTTGGATCCACTTGCAAAATGATTTCTTGCAGTAGTCTGCATGTGCTTGCTTACCTTTATCCCAGATTCCTAACGACTAATTAACGTCTATTCTTATTGCACTTATATCATTCTATTGTTTAGTATATATCTACTCGTCTACTACTTCATATAATCTTTAACACAAGACCTTCATCACGTCCGCACGCATTTGTTTATTTTTTTTCAGCTCAAGACCGGAAGTTCAATTTTGGCCTCACTTTCAGTTTCGAAAATTTGACCTACATTGTGAATCTGACATATTTCTCAAAATGTAGATAGTTTTAAACTCCAATATTTTCCTGAGCGTATCTATGTACATTTTCTATATATCTAAAGCCCAAATATGGATGTTATCATCCCTTATAGAGATTTTTGAAGTATTTTGATATTCTGTCGAAAGGTGGCGTATCGATTATTGATTCCAAGATGGCTGCTCCAAATTGTCAATTTATCTTCGCATTCATTTTTATGACAATATCGATGGTTTCATGCGAAAATGTTGTTGGGGAGGCATCCACAGAGCAAGAATTTTGTCCGTTCTTCAATAACAGAGCACCAAAGCCTCAGCCACATTTAAAGAACTGCACTTGGTACAAGGAAAATAGTTGCTGTTTGCAAAGGGAAATTTCTGCAACTTTTGGGAAAGTAAAACCTCTGCAAGGCGCATCAGAGGAATGTCAGCGATACGTCAACTATGTTATGTGTTATATGTGTTCTCCTAATCAATACCTATTCTATAGTAAGGAGCGATTAACTGTGTGTGAAGAGTTTTGTGATAAGTGGTATGAGGCTTGCAAAACTGCAATTCTGAAAGGTTCGCGTTTTGAAGAACTTTACCAAAATGGCCGTGAATTCTGCGAAAAAAGACGTTTTATTATTGATGCTGAAGAAAATGGGCGATGTTTTACTTTTAGCGATACATTAGCAAGGAGTAGTGGGAAAAAGATATCCCCAAATCCGTTACTTTTTGTCGCCTCATTTCTTCTTTTACATATGTGCTATGGAGTTAGTAAAACTCGAGGCAATACTCCTGTTTCTCAGACAAAGAACAAGAGTATTAAAGATAAGACACGACAATCAAAGAGCAGTCAAACCATAATTATATTTCCAAAGCGAAATACTCTTCACAATAGAATACAATTTAGTGCATCAAAGCCTTGGACTGAAGCTGTATTGTTCAGCATCTTATTTGCTCTGTTGTACTTTCCAAATGGGTCTCTGGCCTTCTCTGAAAAAAATATAAAAGTTTTAGCAAAATTTCTTTCTGACGAGCTCCTTATGTTAGAGAAAGATGGTTTAAGAGGGAATGCTATTCAAGAACTTTATGATAAGGCTACTTATTCGAGTGAAACACTGAATGCAAAAAACAAGGTCACAGAAGTAAAGGAAAAACTAGGTAATTATATTATGGCTTTGAGATACTTTTTACAGTATTCATTTGAGCTGTTAATACTGAAGAACTGGAATGGCAACCCACATCTCTCGTTGTTCCATGTTTAACTGATTATATAACTGATATTATAATAAAATAAATACTCAAATTATGTGTCATAGAAACAACATGATCAGCTAACAATCCTATTTTCGTTTTCTGATTAAATAATTGAAATAGTTGATAAGATACAGAAGTTATTGAAAATTTAAGGTGCAGAAATGTCAAAATTCATTAGAATTAAAAAGATTATAATATAAACAATATATCTTTTTTTTATTTGAGTTACAATTATCTCACACAGACACTTTAATAATGAGTCCAATTTTTCAATAATTACATTATTAGTTAATCTTCAGAAATAAATACTTGTTTATTAGGAAAGTACTTCACCATGAAGAAACAGTTGTTAATGCAGCTTGCTGGTAATGTAACGAGGCTACATGATGAATGGTACACGGAAGAAATCAATAATAGTCGTCGCCCTGCTCACCTCAGCCAACTGGCTGGAGATGTCTTCATTGATGCAGATAGTGAAGACATCGAAGATCATCTTCATTATGACAGGTATTGTTATTCATTAGGAGGTAATGGATCATAGATTTATATGATATTGGATAGACATTGGCTAGTCTCCCCCTCACAAGTCAGCAACAGAACATAGTCTTCTTAATGTTTAATATCAACTGTTTATAAAACATTTTAACGGTTTTTACAACTCTCTCAGAACACAGCGTTTCTGATTATATATATGCAACATATACTTAACAGTAAAAATATGCAAATACACTAGAATGATATACAAGGACAAGGGTCTACATGCTAGGAGTAACAGTTGTAAAGATTGAGACTGAATCCATTGGCTTCTTTTTACTATTCATTTTGCTATGTAATATAACAGCATAATATGTACTGAAATATATACAAACAACTACAATTCTTCCATTGCTTGCACATAACTGTGTTAAGTTGAATTTCAAACTGTCTGTTCTAGATGCAAATGTCTTGATTTCCTTTTTTTCTAAAATTAAGCTCATCAAATGACTTTTTATGGTATGTCTAATTGTTCAAAGTATTCAATACACCAATACTGTATGTTGTTGAAGTTTTGTGTTTAATAAAATCTCATGTGATTTTCAGTGATTTCCAGTTGAAGATTCTGTTAAACCAAAGTGTAGTAAAGATAGCAGATTCTGAAGGTAGAGGGCTATCAGATGTTGTAGACACTGTCTCATGGACAGCAGGACTTGATAGACATTTCAAGGATGCCAGGGCAATTGACAAAGATATAAGGTAAAACACAGAAATGTCATTTTGACCATATGATAATGTCCCAAATGAACTTAACATTTTTATTATTATTTTTGCGAGTATAATAATTATTATTTCACAAGCCAACTTATTTCAATAACTAGATGGCTTAGAGTAAAACTATTTATATGTACTTACTACTTAGGGATTTTTTATATAGATCACAGGCCATGGTCTTGGTCTAATCTTGTTTTTTATGTGTTTTTCAATTATCTTTGTTAATCACACTTGGCAGTCTTGTCTATTCTTGTCTATTCATTGGGATTTGCTGTTATCTTTTAACTAATGTATTGGCAGGTGGCAGTACTTTGGCTCTAATACTGGAATACATAGAGTATTCCCAGGACACGAATGGAGCCGTAACTTTATTGGATTCCATGATGATTATGATCCAAGGACGAGACCCTGGTACCTTGCAGCAACATCAGGTCCTAAAGATATTGTCCTCATATTAGATGCCAGCTCCTCCATGGCACAGTCAAATGCGTAAGTTTCTCATTAGACACAAATAAAACAGGGTGAAATAGAGAATTTTACAGGGAAAATAAGACATAAATTGAGAGAAGAACTCTAAATTTATATGGCAAGTTGTTTTAGAGTGTTATCTGTTTTCTGTTGCAGATTTAATAGAATGAAGTCCGTGGCATTGAAGCTTATAAGCACATTTACGCGGTCAGATTCTGTCAATGTCATTGTGTCAAGATCTCCACACTGGGATGCCACTGGGAGATATTTTGATCACAGAACTGAGGTTAGTAAAATGTTTAAGTCGCTTTTTCATCATGTAGCTATTTTGAAAAATGGTGGCTAATTATCCCTAGTTATATTCGGTGGAGATATAGTTCTCCAAGAGTTGCTGTTTTTTATTTAGTTTTTTATAGGTCATTGACTCATTTAAACACAAAAATTTGATGGAGCAATTTTAATTATTTTGATACTTGCCTAGGTGCAATTGCAAGTAGGTAGTTGCAAATAGGTAGATCGTAGTTTCACCATTTGGTGGCTATCTTAGGTAAGATAACATGCCAGACATATAAAAAGTTCTCCTAATCTTAAATAAACAATGCCTCATAGTAGACTGATATAAAGCAGGTTTGTAAAAAGTTTTACATCCCGGATGTGCAGGTAGATGTTTTACATATCTGGAAAATATATTGGACAAAATAGTATTTTTGATAAAAATATTGAAAATGCAATAATAGCATATTATATTATATATAATTGTGCAAACAATATTGCTCTTTTTATAAAGAATCTATCAAAATCCAAAACAGCATTTGAGAATTCCCCCAGAAAATATAACCTATTAAATGAATGTACAAAGAACACAAAGTATAGGACAGATCAACCTATAGTCGGTAAGCGATATTAGCACCCTTGGTATACGCAGCTAACGAAAATTGACCGGTACGGGTCAAAAGCTGGACTGGTACGGGTTAACGGTTTTATTTGAATTTAAAACAGCAGCGCTTGCATTAGGTTAGAAAATTTGTGAGTCCCAAGGATGCAATTTTTTTTAAAAAGTGTGTCCTTTGAAAAAAAAGTGTGTCCCCTATTTCTAGTCATATTTTCAGTTTTTGATTTCTTGCCGTGAATTTAAAATGGAAGTAAACGTTAAGTACGGACTGAATAAATGCATGTTCGTTCATTCGACAATGAATACATTTTATTTCATAAATAACCTAATATTTGTTTCTGAATAGGAAAAATGGTGGCGTGTCATGGTTTCAAATCTAAAAATAAACAAAGTCCAAAAAATTTGAGAGAATCATGATTATTTGTAAATATTCAACATGTTGAGCCTTATTTACGTGAGAGATCATAATTATTTGTTTTTGTTAGGTATCGTTGTAAACACATTGTAGTATTGACCTAAAAAAATGTTGCGTCCTTTGCGTCCTCCAAATTATTTTTGAGTCCTTAACATGTATGGGACGCCGTTAATGCAAATGATTTTATAAAAAATGCCAAACTTTGTGACAAAGAATTTCATCCTGCTTGCAGCGAGAAGACGGACTGGTTCGGGGCAATAGCATGAACATAATTTAGGAATCTTTATACATGTGTGTTATTGCCCTGAACCGGTCCGTCTTCTCGCTGCAAGCAGGATGAAATTCTTTGTCACAAAGTTTGGCATTTTTTATAAAATCAAACGCGCGTCATTGAAACTCACAAGATGTAAATAGCATGTCATTTACATCATACCTTGATGGGGAAAAATAGATCTTATATGTTAGAAGTACCAAATAAAAGTGATCGTGAAAATGAGACAGTCTTTCTCGAGAGAAAAGAGCATAAATGCGCATTTAGAGAGTTTTGGTCCGTTTAAAAATCTGTAAAAAATTGGGGTACTTAAAAGCATCGGGAGGCATCATGTATTTGAAATTAGACACGAGGAAGTCAATATTGAGCAAGTTATGGCTGTTTTAAATTCAAATAAAACCGTTAACCCGTACCGGTCCAGCTTTTGACCCGTACCGGTCAATTTTCGTTAGCTGCGTATACCAAGGGTGATTAGGATTATGCTTTGGTCAAAATAATATTCCCTCCGGACCTCCAGCCCTCTAGCAATTACATAGATTACATTTGCCTTAAGATAATCCTAATGAACCACATGAACAGAAAATACAACATTTTACAGGCCTGGTTAGTATATACCACCTGCTTTATATAACATATCCAAGTATTGGATAAATAGAGATTATCCTATATAAGGTTCAGGATATTGGGATTATCCAGAGGCCAATATAATATATCTGCCCAAGGGCCATATTGACTATAGGATGATAACATGTGTTTTTCTCCATTGTCATTTACAGTTATTATGGGATTGTCACAAAAAATTAACCAATATGTGAGTGGCGATTATGACGTAGAAGGCAGATATAGTATATCTGCCTGCTCGGAGCGAGATGTATAGGGGTTATGCACTGGGAGGTTTTGGATACAGGGAATATCCCGAGGGATATACAATATATCTTCCCGAGGGACCGAAGGGACCGAGGGAAGATGTATTGTATATCCCAAGGGATATTCCATGTATCCAAACCGACCGTGCATAACTGGTGTATCTCATACTTGAGTGGGTTTAGGGTATATATAACCTTTTCCACCTTTTTCAAATGACAAGATATTTATATTTTACATTTTCGTAATATTCTTTTTGTTCAATACAATGAAATTGTAACATTTAAACTTAAAAAAATTAAATTTTAAAATTAAAAAATTAAAACTTTTGATATTTAAACTTTTTTAAACTTTTAAAAAATTCCCGGGAGCGGGATGGATATATTATATCTGCCCGCATTTGGCCTGGAGCAGGACATATACAATATATCCTGCCCGCTCCTCAGATACGATATATATTCCCGGGTGATATCTACCCCAAACCCACTCAAGTATGAGATACAAAGCTATATCTGCCCGCTTGTGAAATTATAAGTATTTGCAAATCTGCTTTATGTACCTGTAACACGTCCAAGAATGGGATGAACAGCATTATTCTTCCTGAACTTTAAAATAGCTGCCACTTTTGTTGAAAATGCCTTCCAGCATTAGCCTGGTGTCCATGGTACTATTTTTTATTCACGGGTTAAATATATTAACAATATTGGTTGAATACTCCAGTTATACATTGGTCAGTTCTTGTTTTCAAACAGTCAATATCAAAAAATGGTTTAAGATGTCCTCTTAAAGCTTGCTGTTTGTGAAGTTCATGTTGCACAAATGAAATACTTGCAGGTCCTGAGTTGTGTGAAAGACAGGTTGGTCCCTGCATCAACAAAACAAAGGAGAGCATGGAGACAAAGTATTGAGAATCTTCAAGTAAGAGGAGGATCAGATCACACGTAAGCATATATTTTTTATAACCTCTTTCTACCTGTGTTGATCTCTGTCCCAGTCATTTCATATCAATGATTGGAGTGAGACATATTGAATCCAAGATTAACAACTAAAGTATCCCTGTGCACTGGACTTGTTTATTTTACAAATAGTATTTGTTTGTACTTGTACTAGGTTTCTTAATATTGGTCCTTGTTTTATGTAGAGAGGCTTTTGAGACTGCATTCTCTATGCTACATCATCCCAGCAAGACAGGGTGCCAGAGTATCGTAGTGTTTATCACTGATGGCTCTCATCAGGACCCTCAACAGAGATGCTCATCAGGTGAGGTGACTCTCACAGTCTTGGATCATTGTGCAAAATGTCATTATGGAAATATAATATTTAATACACAAGGAATAATTACATTTTTTCACATTTGCTGACTGAACAAATATCTGAAATATCATTTAATATGAGGGTTTTACTTAGGGTTACATTGGATAACAGTCTAGTTAATAACGATACATTCTATAGGAGCCTATAGGTATGACAGTGATGGTAATCGTGAATGGGAGCCAGGAAGTTATTGTCAGTATGACTACAATCAGCTTCTCCTCAATGTGGATAACATGCAGGAGCAGCTTATTCAAAAGGTATTACATTATCAAAACATTAATTTCTTATCTCTAATGCCCCCTCTAATCCATTCATCTATCGTATTTCATCAAAGTTCTACTTAAACGTTTGTTTTGTTAAATGTTATATTTATATGTATCTTAAAAATGTACAAATGAAATAACAATGTGAGATTTTGTCATTTTTATGCCATGAATGTGACATTTGAAATATATTTGTCAAACAATCTCTTTACAACGCAACAGGGTTAAAGGCTAAACTTCATAAATTCATCATTTTTAGGCAAGAATATTTACATTTCACACTGCCACTGACACTGATGAAGTCTATGATGATGTTCAATTCTCAAACAGTGCTGGGTTCCCTGGACTTCTAGCATGCTACTCTAATGGCATCATGGCTACAATTACTAATGAGGAGAACCCTTATAAACAATTGTTCAAATATTTCACTTACCTGGCAACAAGTTCTGCAAGACAGGAGGTGGTTTGGACTGCCCCTTATATAGATGCTGGTGGACTTGGACTTATGCTGTCTGCCACAGTCTCTGTATATAGTAATATAACTGGCAGGTAGGTACACCCGTTTGCATTGTCTTTGTATTGTAAAATGATTAATCTTATTTGATGTATTAGAACAACATATCCATTCTTAACTACTTTTCCCATATACCTTTATATTCTTTATATTATTCCTGCCTTCACTCCCCTCCCAAAGGCCCAAATCCTTCTTGCCATTCCCCTGCTTTCCCTCTCTCCATCTTTTCATTTATTATTTCATTGTACTTTTTAAAATTGTTATATTATCATCATCTTGTTACAACTGATTCCTTTTTAATTTTATTTCTATGTACTTTTAGGCACTTAGGTGTTGTTGGATTGGACTCTACTTTGGCTAATATAGAAACCATGCTTCTGAATGAAGTATGGGGCTCTGTGTATAGTTTTATGATCAACCAGGACAACCAAGCTATTGTACATCCTCTTATTAAATCATCAGCTGAGGTATGTTAACAGTCACTCGACTCACTTATTACATGAACTTGCAGATCATCAGAAAAAGTTATGTTGGTATTATATTATCTAATCAAAAATGTACTTCTAATATGGTTTCATGTCATGGGTGTAGATTTTAGAAGACAATACATGTACTTCTACTTGGTTACATCTATCATATGACATTCAAAATGAAGAGTGATGTGATGAAATATATTTTCTTTGGTGTGATTTGCTACTCCAAGGAGTAGATGTTTTTGACCATTGGTGTTATATTTTCAGTTGCTTGATGATCCTGTGTTTGTTGATATCAGCAAGCTTGAGACTTTAGAAGGTGAACCAAATGGCTTCACTGAGGTTCTTTCTGAGATGAAGCATGGAAGAAGTGGTGATATTCGGATTCATGAAAATGCCAGACGTGCTGTTTCCATTCATAATGCCCTTGTCTGGAGGGATTTGGAATATTCACGATATGTGTTTGCACCAATTCCAGGTGAGGACATTTTCAAATATTCTTGAATACCAACATGATTTATGTCAGGTATAAAATATATTATAATAAAAACAATTATATACTCAGCTACCGCCTCGCTCAATATTTATTTCTCGAATAGTTATTCTGCCATATCCAGCTTCTGATCATCCAGTATTTGTGTAATATTTGTTATAGATTCAGAGTATTCAGTTGCATTCAGTATTGGACCTTGGGATGAGGACTTCACTCATGTCGATGATCCAATATTGAGAAGCAACAAGTCCTACCTACATCAGCTATTAAGTCTTGGCACAAACCACCAAAATGAATCAGAATGGTTGCAAGAACTTCACCAAGAGCTTTCACCCATCACAGATCACCCACAATATAAAGGTAAAAAGGATACTAGATGTTTTAGTTTTTGGCTTTTAATTTCTCTTTAATTTCTACTCTTACAAGACTGTCAAGAAATTGTAAAAATGGCTGCAATTTTCAAGCCTGATACATGCACTGTTAAGTAGCATTCTGACTCATCATGTTGACTGTATGATGAACCTAGCATATAAATAGCAATTTTAGGCTAGTTCAAATGATGAATGGTGGAAATTTTCATTATTTTGTTAATGAAATGTTGAATTCCATAAATGTAGGTATGACAATCAGCAAAGCACATAGTACAGTACAGCTATCAGCGAGGAACTTCTGTGATCCCAAGTCTTACTTAGAGCTTCATGTACCTGATTTGCTACAAACACAGCACCACCTTGCTAGTGTAGGTTACGATGAATATGTCCTCTGTTCCAATGGCCTCTATAGGTCAACACTAAGGTAAAAACCTGTCAGACATTAATGTTATGTGAAAATATCGTTAAATAATATGAAAAACTTTTGAAATGAAAGCGCGTTCTTCCAAAAACTTATTAAACAGCCTCATATAAATAACTGCTGGGGCCTTATATGCAGAGGAAATTGAATTTTTGATAACTCAAATACCAGTTGTCAGATTGTACTAGCTTAAATCAAGCCTTTATTTTAGGAAGGAGGGGTGATTTGATAAAATGTTTTTGTTAAAGGAATTTTTCTCGTTAAAGTTGACTGAACTCTATCATTAGAAAGATTAGATAGTTTGAACTTACCATTATAATTCAAATGCTCATGCAGACATAGTGTTCAATGAATAAAATTGTGAGAGTGATGGATATGCCTTTGATAATATTTGAATTGTTGCAATTTTACTTGACAGGGCTGATGTAAAGATCACCTCTTTCATTGAAGAGTTGTGGAGAGAAAGGCCATTGAATCTTCAGGATCAAATTGCATGGAGTTACATTGGAACTAGGGGTGGAGTAATGAGGATATACCCTGGTATGGAGTTTCAACAAGATTATGATGCAACAAGGTGAGTCAGAAAGTTGGTCATGTTCTTTTCAATTCTGCCTCTCCATTTATTATATTCTACAGAATATCATTAACTTGCTTATAAATCTAGTGTAGTCAGGGACAGAATTAGAAGCTATTTAATGCAGTTATCTTATGTTTTTGTCATAGGAGGCCCTGGTACAATAGAGCACTTGCCAATAGGGGGCTCTTAGTTATGTCCAGTGTGTATCGGGATGCCCCTTCAAGTTCCAATGTTGGGCTGGGTAAAGTGGTGACAATGTCCAAGGCCATACATCAAGTCAAGAGTAACATAGGCTATCATTGTAAAAGTAAGTCATGTTTTGTTCTCAACCCTACAATGTAAATTGAATGACTACGCTACCTCTACTATTAATTCACACAAGTATGCAAATTATACTTGATGAAAGGTTCAGGAATATGTAAACGAATTTTGAATTTGGAAAAAACAGAATGACACATTTAGCTATGTCAGAACACTTCTTGGATTAGTGACTGGTCCTTTTTATTAGAGGTGTCATGTTGGATAAATATGCATTAATTAATAGAAATGTAATTTTTTGCATCATTTTTGAAAGGCATGAACATAAGATATATGAAGTTTTTCTTACATTTATAAGGAATAAAGAAAGGTCAAGGCTGTGACTGTACTTCAAATGAGGAATGTCATTCAGGATTTTGTGACAAGTTGAAATGCGCTCATGATGTCATTGAGGCAGTGGCAGCAATTGACTTACGCTATGAAGACTTTCAGAGTCTCACTTACAAAATTCTTGACCCTGTCATCCCAGGACACAGTTGCAATACAACATATGAGTGCAATGGAGGATACAACTGCCAAACTAGGTTCATATAACTCCTTTGTTTGATTACAAGGAGGATTGGCTCCCAGAATGCAATCTCAATATTTTCAAACAATCAAAATGTCAGAATGTCGCTATTGTCTGACATTAAACTGGTTAGAAATTAATATTCTGCAATCAAAATTATTTGAGCTAATATCTTGATTAGTTCTTGTGTGTTTTGAATTTTTGTGTTATGTTATAAGATCAAAGTTCAAATTTGTAGTGAAAATCATGTCATCCTTTATGATCACATTCATTGTTGGAAAATAACGAGATTGCATCCTGGAGCCAATCCTTCTTGGTTTGATTACTTACGTTATATTTTTACGCTTATAAAACTTGAGGGGATAAGGATAAATCATTGTTGAACAAATGTTTATTTGTTCTTCAGACTCTGTTGAATTGGACGCTGTCTCCATTTAATGCTTCTCTAAAATGACAGAAATTGTAATCTAATTCAAAAGAAGACAAACATTAATTCTCTTACTCTTAAAGTAGCCTTGGAAATTGTATACCTCCAATTGATGAAAACTACTTGTCATGTGAGTGAAATATTTAGACTTAGGATTGTAAAGGATATTGTCCCATACTTGGATCATTGGATGCATTGAGCCTGAACCTTATAAAAGATTATATTCTGAATTTACTTTGATTCACATGAACACTTCCAGGTGTTACATCATAGATGATGTGGGGGATCTAGTGTTGGACCCTGAATTTGAAAAGCTTCCCGAAGAAGCAGTTCTGGAATATGAACATCTGTCACTGGCTAAGACACATGGAACTATATTCTCTCAACTTATCAAACGTGGAGTTTATATGAGGAAAAGTACACTGGATTATCAAGCTGCTTGTACAATATCCTCTGAAGAAACACCAGTAAGTTCAAACATATTAAATATTTCACTCTATTGCGTGTATTAATGTTCTACTTGATATATTTCATGCAGGGTGAAGGTATGAACAAGTCCATGTGAAGGAGCAATTATTTTTTATTCAATGTTATGTTTTTCACTCTAATAAGCATATGAGTGGGGAATTACCAAAGTGGAATATACAGTGAAAAAGAAACTTTATGCTGCTGTAAATACAAAAGATTTTATAGACTACAGTCTGAAAACTAGGCTGAGAGTTAGAATATCTTCTTAATCATGTAATGCTTATTAGCAATAGAGAGAGTGAGACACATTTTTAGTATTGATTCACACTATTTTGCTAATTGATTGCCCCCAATATGAATTTTGGAATCTGCTGAATCTTAATGTTATCTTAACAAGGACCTTGATCAGCTCAATGTTCATTTGCCCAATTCTGAATTGTGTGTACTATTCTCTCTGACCTTTTGAATCCAAAGGACCCTGATTGACATGTTAGATTCCATAGATGTAAATTTGTCCTAAATGTTAACATACCAGTTCAAGACTCTGTTAGATTCCATAGATGTAAGTTATATCCATGAATTCACCTTCAGGTTAAACCAATACACAACCAAGCTACTAGGGGCCCAATACCACCATTTAAAAATAAATATGCCTGTACAAAAGAAATCATCCATTATACCATCAACAAAACAGTACTAGATATGAACCAAGGACTCATTGGGGGTCTACTGGACGATGACCCTTGTGCTAGGGGTTCATATTTTTTTGCACAAATAGATGGCAGTAATGTTTACCTCCTGGTCTTAAAGGATTACTATAAACTACCAGCATTGGTGAACCTGAACTGCCTCATCTCCAATAGGTATGTGAATGACTTTAACTCCAAGCTTTAACTCCTTTTATAGTAATATGTTTTGGACAATTTATCTTGTAAGCAGACCCCAGGGAAATTTCAAATTGGTGTTATTTTCCGCAAGACTGGTAAGAATCAAGGAGACACCATGTTCTTCCAGTAAATGATATAAAATGTAGTAATTCTAGTTTAAGTGCAGAAGTAACAACATTGGTAATTGAGCAAACAAACTTAGATTCAAAAATTTCATCTTGTTAGTGTAAGGCTTGAGAATTCTTCAAGTATGAGAGATACACCAGATATGCACAGTCATCACTCAGTATCAATCATCCCTCAGTATCAGTCATTATGGCTTCTTCTGGAAATATAGGTACATCCCATAACATAAAACCTGTATGTAAAACCTCCCAATACATAACCCTTTTATACTTGCAGGGTTCATGCACCAGGGGCATTTAAATTGACAGAAGATGTCTGTGATGAGCACAGTACCTACAGTAACATGACCGCAAGTTCCACATGCCCTAAACTAAAGACAATCAATGTAGAGTGTGGATATGTCAGTGGTGCAAATAGCAAGATTCAAGCTGCATTCCTTGTTTTAATACTAACAGTATTGTTGAGTAAACATTTGTGTCAATAGATTTTACATCAGCTGAACTATACAAAATTGTTTCATCAATTTAAGACAAATAGAATAGGATTTGATCATAGCAATTAGACCAGTAATATATGTTTATCAGGTCACATTTAATTTGTAGAGCCCAAGAGAACTTCTAAACTTAATATTTGATGGTTAATGATGTGAGAAACAATTGTTCTCTGTTTTTGTCATCTTATTGTTAACAAAGAGTGTAGTGTTTTGTCAACTTAACAATTTTGTTTAATTCAGGGGTGTCAAAAATGTAATTATTAATCATTTGCTGCAACTATATTTTCTATTAATGGTAAATTCTGTAAGGCGTAAGCTCAAAAGTGTCAACAATGCCATTTTGGCAAGAAATGATCATTACAAGTATTGACTAATCAACTTTACATTCATTACAAGTTCAAAAGCATATTCATGAAGTTACATTTATTTTATACTCAGAATAATTATTATTGTTTGTTCCTGAAATACATATATCTCAAAGTATGGGATGAATTGAACCATAACCATGTACACATCACAAAGGTGATATAGTTGATAGATACCGGTTTATTACATGTTTATGATGAAACCCCAGAGAAAGAAATCCTGTGCAATAACTTAAACCAGCCTGAATATTTTACAATTCAAGTACTGGAATGCAGTTTTGATATATCAAAATGTACATTGACATTTTTCTTCTGCTTCGATATGAGGTGGTCTCTTTGAAAATTTGTTATGTTTATATTGCCTTTGAGTCAATGTTAAGTCAATATATGTCAAAATGTCATTTTACAATTTTAAGGACATAATGTCAATTCTAATATGATACATGATGTCACAATAGCTAGAACAATTGATTTACTGGTCTATATTGGAGTATGTATGACTGCTAGGATTAATAAATGCAAATAGTTGTGTTTCTTGTCTGTTTATCATATTAGAATCGTCACAAAAACCTCGATTTTATGATTTATGTCAAATATATGAGCTCAAATTTTATTCTGCCATTTCCAAAGACCTACTCTGCACGCAGAGTCTAGTTATAAACAACCCTCTCCCTAGTATAGACTATATTACAGTTTAGCAGCCCCGCCCCAAAGATTGGTGCCTGTGACAGCCTGGGTAATAAATCATTTCAAATCTACCATGCTTACCCTTTCGCAACCAATCAGCCAAGTGGAAGGAACGCGTGCTAAATACGTGCTCATTAACTATGCACTTATGTCATAGGAAATGACCAAATAGAAAGTCGTCCATATTTCTACGACAAACTGATTGGCTCGGTGAGATCAGAGATTTATTGTAAACTGAAAGAGTGAAGACAAAGCTCTCTTTCAAGAAGTGAAGTCGAACGAATGCAAAGGGTACCAAAGACCTCAATCGCTACTCGATTTCGGTCTTTTAACAATGAACAGAATAAAAATGTTGGTCATATATTACGCCATAAATCATAAAATCTTGGTCTTTATTCCTTAATTAAACAGCAATACCATTTTACAATTTTATATCATGGTGTCAATTAAACATCATGTCTTTTGGTGAAGAATCAGTGTTTAGCAGATGATAAGGTCATTTGAACATTATGATATACCCATACTGTAATGTTTAAGAACTTATTAATGCATAAAATGTTTTTAATGTACTGTTTAGTGTACAATTATTAGATTTCAGTATATAATCATTCTAGGAATTTATTTTTATAGTACAATTTTAGTTTGTAAGCAATAAAGTGTGTTAAATTTTGTACAAAGTATTTTAGTATACAGAAGGCTTTGTCATGTAGGCCTAGTAAGAATGAGCCATATACGTATTTCACCAAGTTTGTGTAGAAATGGGAGCTAGAATACCCAGCAATTGATTTAGTTGAGTTGGAAATAAGTATGTGTGATAGGTGTTATCTATGCATAATACATATTTGTATTGTTTTAGCTCTATCTTGAATACAACTGGATGTGTTTGTTGACAGTTATACTTTAAAGGAAGTTCTATAAACGTTCAATTGTACAATGTACAATTTTGCTATAACTTAGATATCAGATTTGGACCATTATTAATTGGATTGCTTTAAAGGTGTACAGTTTCCAAAATGATATGGTTTCAATATGCTGTTTTATTTCAAAATGCTAACTTCAGACAACTTCAGGGGATATTGTGACGATATACTCTGCTTTTTGATTTCGAACAATTTATTTTTCAATGGTATTATACATTTAGTACACTAATTGAAGGATAATATTATAAGGTAATCACCTCACAGATAAAAATGATTTTCCTCAAAATCATAGGATATCGTACAATTATTAGACTGGCTATTACTGTCAATTCATCAGATATTACTGCTAGGTCAATGCAATATCCCCTGGAGACGTATGGCCAATGACCAATCAGAATAGGAGGTAAGCAGGGTGTTTGAAATGTAGACCTGGGTTTCACCCTTTTGATCAATGTTATACACAAAATTGAATTATATTTTGAAACAATAGTTCACACAATGAATATGCTTTTTTCAAGGGTTTTAAAGATACAAAATTGGGCTGAAAACAATGGAAAGCATATTCATTTGCTGTAGTATCAAACACTGATTAAACTTGTGGTCCAAAGAGTAAAAATGAGCTCAACATTTTAGAAAAAATTGATTGATTGCTCGATATCTCTTTCGTGCAGTTGAGGCATTCAAGATTACATGAGGTTTCACTGCTACTTTTTTAGCTCAATTTATCTGTAAACAAATCAATAAATCTTTGATTGAGAAAATGTGTATCTCTTTCAATTATTTATGGATATGTGGGACTAACAAGAGTTACTCAAAACCTGACTAGTATTATATGTATTATAATATAGCAATTATTCCATATAGCAAATGTCTATAAAATGTAACATATGACAATCATAGTACTAGTTCATTCATTTATTACTGTTTGGACAATTAAATTGTACTGTCTGGATAATTACACAAAGTTTTGTTTCAACTCCACAAAAATAATTAATAAAAAATCCTTGCATCTGCTATTTTTCATGAGAAGTCAAAAATTCATTACTAATTGATTAATTTTCTCAAATTGTATAATTATTTGAGAAATCATACTTTGGTAGGATATGTCCCTCGTTTTAGTAACCTAAAGTATTGTTTAACATTGTTCAGTTAATAAATAAATCAGCACAGCTGATTGTAAAAAAATAAATTTTGAATATTTGTTATACTAGATAAAATAAGAAAATTATATTTTTCTCTCAATATCCTATTGTCATTTATGTACTCTTTCATCATCTATATGGTCATAATATATGTTATATAATGTAATATATGGATATTAATTGTCCCTCAATCAGATATCATATCAACCTCCAGGATAACTTCAATATTTTCCCTCAGTCATGAAAATGATATTGATACAGCCAACCATTAAGCACATGTTGCAATTACAGATACTATTATTCTTTTGGATTGGAATAACATGTATAGCCTCTCTCTTACTAACAAATTGCACTTTCTCTTGAGAGAAAAGTTCATTCCTTGCCAGTCGTATGTGGAAAGAACAGGGAGCAATGGCGATCACAGTCACTGTAGAAATACTGTAGCCATTCATATCAACACTATCTCTTGCTAGTTTTCTTGGATGTGTTAAATCCCCTTCTATGGCATTTCACTGATATTTCATTCTTGAATACCATGGTTAGTGAATATTTGAATTCAATTAGGGATTTTAAGTTTGGTATTAGCACATATCGCCCTGGTCCTAACAAATAGTTTGCATTTACCCCAAAATACTTCATGTATATGTAAGTTTTGGCACTAGCATTGTCATCTTCTTGTACCAGCAAAGCTGTTTGGAGCCTGGATGGGTTTTTATGTTGAAATGGTATTTTGAAATTATTGTTGAAAGGTCCAAATAGTATTATTCCTAGAGTGGGTTCATTCTTTGTGGGAAGTGGGATACTTAAGCTGACCATCAAGGGTTCATGCTCTGAAAATACAAGTGAACAATTGACAAGTCTTGTTTGATTTTTGGTAATTAAATATTGTACTTTTACACAGACTTTCCTAAAATATCATTATTAATATTATATTACAATACATTGCATTATTCATTCATTCTGAATTAAAATGAAGATTAAGCATGTTGGCTCACCTCCAGGGGGTATGGTGAACTCATATTGTGGGTTAGTATGGAAAGTCTTGCTTGAGGTCCAGCCACCATTATTCTCCCCTTTCACCCAGGCACCATCATGGAACTGAACTTTCTCTGCAAATAACATTGTTTCATATCTTCTGACATGACTACATCTAAATCACAAAAGTGATCATACTTATGGCAGTACAGGGTGACACTAAAAGGTCAAGTCCTCTACAATATATGTAATAACTTAAAATCTGTTTTGTCAATCTTAACCAAAGAAGTAAGTCTATCCATCATTATTTCCAATATTATTCCTGAATGTGGGTATAAATAAGCTATCGAAGCAGAAATAACCCAAATAACAGCAAAGGCAGGTACCCCAAATTCAAGAAATTTAACACTTTTGAACATCTTTGGATGATTTTGCATGAGAACATTCCTAGTGGAGGGGAGACACTATTTTTCTAAACTCATTGCTGCTTCCTAAACACTTTTTACACAAAAATCAAGATACCATCAGAATTGAGAGATATTTCAGAATTAGTTTGTTGCACTTTTGTATCGCACTTTACAGTTCATGTATTTTTAAACAGCAATTATAGAGCTGAAGAAGGGTAATGTGCAGACTACATTGAGGTGAAACTACTGTACTAATTACCTGGTTTATAGGTTATTCCCTTTGCCTTAAACTCCTCTGTCATCGAGGGAGCCAGGAATATTGTGCCGGACCCAGGTTTATACTCTCTGAAAATAAGAAAATTTTGAAAAATTTGAAAATCCATATCTGCATACACTGCAATTGTGTACATGTATTCCACCAAACAATTTTATTGATTATGATCACACTTTTATTTGCAAATTCATTGAAAAAAGATTTTTCTGCAATTCATTCTGCAACTCATTTTGAATTATTTTAAGAGCCTTCATTCTTTTCATAAAAACTTTATGCAGTAAGTATATGTATTTACTGCTTCTAATCTATTACATATGAAGACTTTAAATGCAAATCAAAGCATTAAACTTGAGTGGCTCAAAAAGTGATTTTCCAAGACAAAACTATTTTGACCTTTCTCAAAACTTCAATCCTTGTTGAGAGCATACATTTTAATGTAAGCAAATCAGCTTAAAAATTCTTTAGGTTTGGTTCAAAAATGATTTTCCATCAAAACAGCGAGACACAAGTTTTCTATTGATATTAAACAAAAACAAAAATAAGCTTTGAGGAATTACAGAAGATGAATCATATCAGCAGATTTTAAATGTGCTATAGAGATGGATGAGTGGAGAGACAGACAAATAGGTGATGGCAATAACTAACCATGTATAATACAAAATAGTATTAAAATGAGAACACACCTGCAGTTTGTTACAGGAACTTTTGTAAAAACCCTGATGTTATAATGAGCACCTATATCTTTGCTGACATCACTGAAGACATATGGCAGCACAAGGAACTTGCCCGGGGTACTAAAGTAAACGTAAGAGTTGTAGTATGTATTCATGCTCTTCTCCGTTGGCTTGAGTTGAACAACATTCAAACATTTTTCCCCTTCCTGCTCCCGGTATACCTACAATTTACAAAAAATTCACTCATTATTTATATCATTCTTGAGAGTACATGTACTTTACAAAAACTTTACATTAAGAAGTGACTCCAACAACTTGACTTATGTAATAACAATTGAACTAACTAACTATAGAAGTAAAATAATTTATATAAGGGAATGTTACTTTTAAGTACTTCATCCTTTGTTTCCCCAAAGCAACAAAGATAAAGAAGCAGTAACAGGTGTAAGTGATACAACATGAATTCATTTTGGCATTTCTTGGATTTCCTCATGTAGTATCTGTATCCTACTCAGCATTGAACAATTTACTTATTTGTCACATTCATTTCTTTTTATTTACATATAAATAAAATATTTGAGAAAAGAAGAAATAAGCCTTTAAGCATGCCTCGCTGAAGATTCTGCTTATACCACATAATTCTCAAACAAACTCCTATCTTTTGTCTTTCATATTTTGAAAAAGTGGAGTATTACCTTGAAAACCACAATTCCCATGGAAATATTTTCCTCGTCTTTTGGGAAGCGTTTACTTGTAAATTGTACCACCAGAGGAATGTTTTCTGAGGGATCTGAAAAGCAGTGCATTTTTAAAGTTATTAACCTAGACATTTAGAAAGTGAAACCTGTATACAAAAAATCTTAATCTGAAAACCTTCTAAACATTTTGCTAACATTTTTCAAGTCTCATTTTTCCTTCCATTGACCATGTAAAAAGTTGTAATGTGAACGTTATTGATACCATGTATGTGTCTTTCTAATAAGAGTGATGATTTCATTTAAATTACATGTAATTTTCAAATTATTGGTATTATTTGTGATCAATTGAACTGTTTATATTGATTGTGAACATGTTCCCATTTCTTCAAAATCCCACAAATGCAAAACCTTGAAATGTGAACACTTCCTCATCCAAATACGGATTAGGGAGGTTTTACAATATATTAGAGGCACGATTTTACATAATAAATAAATTGATTGGAGAACATGTGAACAAGATATCTCAAGCCTCAAAGATGTACAAGGGGAACTCACCTCCAGGTACTTCTACAACATAGGTGGAATTTCTCATATAGTCACTCCTAGCAGGACCACCAATTCCTTCACCGCAATCTCTGAACTCTCCAAGGATGTTTGTCACATAATCTGATAATAAGAAATCATTCAGTAGGATGTCACAAAAATTTACACTGTAATTTAACTAAAAGTTCATGTTCAGTTATGTAGAAATGCTATTCATTTCCAATTAATATTTTAGGCAAATACTTACTTAAAGGATCTGGCTCTCCATCAAAATCAACATCTGGAGTGAATGAGCAAAAGTTGCAATTCTGAAAGTACTGTGAAAAATCTTCGAGTGACATCCAAAATTCTCCATCATCACTTTTGTTCATCAATTGTGATTTTCTCTCTACAGTGATTTTATTCCACTCAGGTGACCTGAAATACAAAACATAGCATTTGGAATCAATTGATGAAAAATGCAGAATATTTATGTATACACAGTTTAAAAGTCATAAAGTATGTCTCTAAGGTGCTTACAATACAGGTCTACTTCCAATCCTTCTATGAGTTTCATACACTCAGAGTAATTTGCACTCCAAAAATAAAGCGTTTCAACTAGAAGAAGGTAATGAGTAATGCTCCCATTTACATGTAATAGCTATCAAACAATACAATCAACAATACAATCAAAAAGCTGTCTAAGTGGAACGACTTTGGTACCTCTAAAATGTGTTCCACTTGGGAGGTGTTCCATTTACAGAATTTCATTGCAAAACATAAAGTCAGTAGATCTTAGGATTCTGAAGTGTTCCAATAACAGAGGTGTTCCACTTTACAGGTTTCACTGTATGTTTAGAATGGTAAAGGAATCATTATGAGAATTCACATCCATTTAATGTTTTTCAATGCTGCTTACTTGTCTGACCAAGGCCCATTCCATTCCTTATGTCCCCAGGGATTCCTAAGTCTCACAAGGGTGGTGGGACGACCATGGGCATCTACCTGGACACAACCAGTGAGAGAATACAGGTGACTTGATACTAGACCAAGCCTATTGCTCTTACCGCTTGCCTAAATCAAGAGATAATAGTTTAATGAATGTATGGATACACATACTTGCTAATTTTGGCAATTTATCAGATTCCAACAATTCTCTGAATTAAGCAATCTGTACACCCAGAGTGGTGGACTATAAAAAAATTTTGAATGAAAGTTCAGACAGGCAGAGAGATAATTTCATACTTTTAACTTTTAATTTGAATGACTGATATATGCATCTTTGTTCTCACAGCTCATGTCTGAATCCAGTGAAGCTCAAGCCCAAGCGTGCAAAGATGTGATTCATGAGTAAACAATACTTCTCCCCACTACTTCACAAACACGCAGATAATTATCCCATCGAACGAAGTTCGGAGGGATATAGGGAACGCCTCCGTCCGTCCGTCCGTCCGTCCGTCCGTACGTACGTACGTCCGTCTGTCCGTCCGTCCGGGCAATAACTCAAATACCGTTGGCCCGATTTTGTTCATATTTTGTACACATATACCCTATGGGCGTAGAAGTTCTGCTCGAAAGCCGATTTTCAAAATGGCCGCTCATTTCAAAATGGCGGCCATTTTAGTGCCGATTTTACAGTAATTTAGGTACAATATGTAAAACTGTAATAGCAATATGTTTTAAGTGTAAAAAAATTATAAAGGACATTAATAAAGCTACAAATGTAGATATTAAAAAAAGCACATGGCAGCCATCTTGAAAAATGGCGGCCTTTACTCGTTATTTTACGATTTTTGCTGTAACTCGAAAAGTAGTGGAGCGATTTTGTTCATATTTGGTATGTGAATACTATAAGCATGGCACACTGTCCTATGACACTTTTGGTAGAAGGCGGCCATTTTGAAAAAAAATTTGAAAAATGGCCGCCATTTTAACATATTTTTTTACTATAACTCGAAAAGTAGTGGAGCGATTTTGTTCATGTTTGGTATGTGAATACTATAAGCATGGCACACTGTCCTATGACACTTTTGGTAGAAGGCGGCCATTTTGAAAAATGGCCGCCATTTTAACGTATTTTACAATAACTCGAAAAGTAGTGAAGCAATTTTGTTCATATTTGGTATGTGAATACTATAAGCATGTCACATTGTCTAATGACACTTTTGGTAGAAGGTGGCCATTTTGAAAAATGGCTGCCATTTTAACGTATTTTACTATAACTCGAAAAGTAGTTCAGCGATTTTGTTCATATTTGGTATGTTTCATATTTTATATGTGAATACTATAAGCATGGCACATTGTCTAATGACACTTTGGGTAGTAGGCGGCCATTTTGAAAAATGACCACCATTTTTACGTTTTTACTATAACTTGAAAAGTAGTGAAGCGATTTTGTTCATATTTGATATGTGAATACTCACGAGCCTTGCACACTGTCTAATGACACTTGGATAGTTGGCGGCCATTTTAAAAAATGGCTGTCATTTTTACATTTTTTATTTATTTCACAAGTACAAGTGTGCGATTTTTCAAAAATTTTATAGGTGGCTACTAAAAGCATATTATTTCTTCTGATGACAACTTGGCTAACCATTTTGAAAATGGTGGCCTTTCTGGTGTGTTGTTTTATGATATTTGCTATATATTTCGTTTGTAAAATGCCAGGTTTTTCTTGGAGAGTAGTGCTTTGATGTCAACATACAGACGTATGTATCTCAACTCTAACCAGTTACCTTTTCTTCAGGTGTCTCATGGAAAGATGTAGTAACAAAAGCTGATGATGCCAGAGCTCTGCGCAGACGATCAGCAAACTTGTCATTATTGTGTATTTCCACCAGATTTGTGCAGCCACCAGTCAGGAGAACAAAGGCAAAGCGACCGGTGTTAGAAGCTGCTTGCTCATAGCTTCCCATGAATCTAAACACACAAAGGTAAATCTAATACAAACGTTAATTGATGAAATTGAAAAATGAAACAATAGGATTTAGATTTGGTATTGCTTCTTTTGTCTTTGATAATAATAGGATTTAGATTTGGTATTGCTTCTTTTGTCTTTGCATTATACCAATGGAACAACAGGATTTAGATTTGGTATTGCCTCTTTAGATTCGGTATTCCCTCTTTAGATTTGGTATTGCTTCTTTTGTTTTTGCAATTTAACAATGAAACAATAAGATTTAGATTTGGTATTGCCTCTTTTGACTTTGCAATATACCAATGGAAGAACAGGATTTGAATTGGCATTGCCTCTTTAGATTTGGTATTGCGCCTTTTGACTTTGCATTATACTAATGGAAAAACAGGATTTAGATTTGGCATTGCCTTTTTAGATTTTGTATTGCCTCTTTAGATTTGGTATTGCATCTTTTGACTTTGCATTTTACCAAAGGAAGAACAGGATTTAGATTTGGCATTGCCTCTTTAGATTTGGCATTGCCTCTTTAGATTTGGTATTGCCTCTTTTGTTTTTGCAATGTAACCATGAAACAATAATATTTAGATTTGGTATACTTCTACTACTTGTGAGAGCTGCCTATCGGGCAATATAAAGGCATTGAGTCTTTGCAATAAATATGGCCTAAATAGCCCATCATGAAGTCAAACCTTATTGATGTCACATATTGCATACTTACTTTGATAAACCTTTCTCGAGAAGGGACACCCATAGTTCACCAGTGAAGTCATCTTTGCCCTGCTCTACCCCCCTTGCCCCCCAGACCTCTTTGTTACGCTTGTATGCAGGAAGAAGATCATCTACATAAATGTCCACCCATTCTCCTGCCCAGAATAATCGACAGTGGAAAACTCCATCATATTCAATTGTGTTCAATTTGTAGCAATCACTGGGGAAGATCTGAAAATATAATATGTATGATTGCTTAAACAATGTAAAATTCTGTTTCTCTTTGACTTTTAGAAATAATTTTCCAGCAGTTTAATGATGAACAAGAAAAATTACAAACTCCACTGAGTAGCAAATCTTGCCACAATATACTTTCTACAGTGAAGATGAACTTATCCATTGCCATATGTTAAACATAATTTGACTGACTAAAAAAGAAGTGGCCAGTTTGAGTTGAGAGGAGGTTCTATACCCATAAAGGCAGTTTGAAGTTTCATTTCAAAATTCCAATAAGCTAGGTATGGCAGGCAATAAGGCTCTACTAAAATTCAACAGAGTTTTTTCAAAATTTTTCAGCAAAAATGAATCCAGGGATGCACATTTCATCTGATACAACATCTCACAAATAATAATCAGTACTTACATTTTCATTGTTACCTGAACGTAAATGTATGCTTAAAGCATATATGACATAAGTCTTCTCAAACTGCAGCTATAAAAGTGTGATTTTCTTTAAATCAATGGATCTTTCAGATTGATCACCCATGTGATCACTGCCGTCACACTAAGTCTAGTTCTGCTGGTTTACTGATTTCTTGGTAATCACGAGGTCATAGCAATGACATGATTGCAATGTAAACAAATAGAAAACATCTTGGATGTCATGATTTAGTCAGCTGGAACTCTGGTCAGTTGGCCCCAGTGAAAAGTCACGTGGGGCCAAATATATGTCATACAACATTTGAAAATTGTTGATGAATCAGCTACCATGTTCAGACCTTTAAGACTTAATGAAAACTAGCTATCTTGCTATATTGTAGTTGTCTTGTGTTCACAGGCAGGATGTAAATAGTTGATAGATATCCTCTTTGGACACCCTGTACTTGAATTCTCGTCTCTGGACACCCAATACTTACATTTTTCATCCATTCATTCTGACATTTCTTCAAGGGTTGCATGTCCTTACACTTACCATTGTCTCTGGACCATGTATATAAATTGTTCATTCTCTCTGGACACTCTGTACTTACATTTCTCATGGCTTCTGGTTTCTCAGCTAAAGCAGCAATGGTAGCAAGGAACCAACATGTGCCAACACCACCCTGGCCAATGTCAAACTTTGATGTGCTGTTGTGGAAGAGACAAAGAGGCACCTCTCCATACTTTTTAACCTCCTACATATGGAAATCAAAATACATGTATGAATTAAGTGGCAGTATTTGCAAGTAGACAAATCATATCATTTCACTTTTTGTATATAAAACAACATAAGCCTCACTTTCTTAACGCATTTCTCTTATCACAAATGGAGAAGCTGTTACAAAGAGGAGCTAGAAACCCTTGGAATTATGTTCATTTTATTCATAGTGCACTGATCAAATTAGGATTTTTCCAGTGGTATGGAAAAATAAATTATTAACATTTCAGCAATTCCGTTTTTATTTTATGACTAGACAGATGACAGATCCATAAATAAAGGCATATGGGTGCACTAATTCATCTATAATTCATCATAAACTAAGATTTATCATGTCCCAAATATGTGGGTACGAGGTTACGAGGTAGGAGGTTTTTTATACAAAGCCCATTAGAATGCATATAATTGATTGCATTGAAGCCATTATTAACATGTGCAATGACATTGAATTATTTTACCTGTGGTCTAAAATAACCCAGTTTAGTTTTTGTTTCTGCATATCTTTCACCAGGTATTGCTGTGTCAAATGTGAAGTTAGGATCAGTCCATACATTACCCTGACTGACACGAGGGCGTGTTGATGAGATCTTCCAACGTGGTGTCACACTGAAGTTGTATGTTGACTCAAATACTGCAAAGGAAAACAAAGAAAAAAAATAGTAGTTATTTCTGGTCTTCTATATCATTGAGAGACATCATTCAGGAAAGCATGAACAAAACTGTTATGTGTTACCTTATCAAATGTTTTGTCATTATGCCATGGTGTCAATTACATATAATATGCATTGTAGGTTTGAAAGAAAAATATTCATAGCCAGGGGGGAGCTTTTCGGATGACTTTTTTAGCCAAAACTGTCAAAAATCTCCCCCCCCCCATGGAAGAAAGCTCCCCCTTGGCAAAAGCTGGCTATGGGAAAGTTAAACACTATGTATTGAGTGTCATACTCACAATGGTATTTTGTATCTACAGTGTACTGATATTGCTTCTGAGTTGGTTGTCTTAGTAATGGTTTTGGATTATTTAGTCTCTGGTATGCAGCTAACTGGCCCCGTTGTTGAGCATCAAGTTCACGAGAACCATCTTCTTGAATCTGCTCTAACTGCTTAAAGTATTTTTCCCATTGGGCTTTCTGGTCATCCTCTAATGCAAGAAAGAAGACTTCCCATTGTTTTATGATGTCCCTTTGGTCATTTGATTGTCCTTTATTTTCATCAGCTTCCCTAGCACGTTCTTTTCTCTCTTGCTCTATTTGCTCTTGTTCTTTTTTATCTTGCTCTATTCTTGCCTGTTCTTTTTTTTCTTGTTCTATTCTCTCCTGTTCTTTTCTTTCCTGTTCTCTCAACTCTTGCTCATATACATGTTTTTCTTTCTCATATTCTATGAGTTTCTGTTGGTACTCCTTTTGCTTAATGTTATACTCATCCCATTGTGCCTGGAGCTTCTGCTGCTGCTCTTGGGTGGCCTTCCACTGTTGTTGCTGCAGACCTAAAAATAAAAATACAGGACAAGAATGAAGCAGTAGCTGTCTCATAGTCCAACCCTCATTTACAGAGCCAGAAAAGGTGTAATGCAGCTTTGTGCTCTGGACACGATTTATTTCTATTTTTATTAAAGTATAACTCAAACCTACATATCCAAAGATTGGGTCACATCATATTTTGCATCATATAACTGATGTTAGTATAAAAGCTGGCTGGTATCTAAAGCAGTTTTATCATAATGGTACAATGTACATGTTTTCATTTTAAAACATCTACACTTACATCTGTAGCACTAAAATATTTTTCTAAAAATTAACACAAGAGATTTGTAATCAACTGAGAGACTTACTCAATTGTGACTCATAGCAATTGTATGGGTCAAATCTATTGCCTGAGAGACTTACTCAACTGTGACTCATAGCCATTGTATGGGTCATATCTATTGCCTGAGGGACTTACTCAACTGTGACTCATAGCAATTGTATGGGTCATATCTATTGCCTGAGGGACTTACTCAACTGCGACTCATAGCAATTGTATGGGTCAAATCTATTGCCTGAGAGACTTACTCAACTGTGACTCATAGCCATTGTATGGGTCATATCTATTGCCTGAGAGACTTACTCAACTGTGACTCATAGCCATTGTATGGGTCATATCTATTGCCTGAGAGACTTACTCAACTGTGACTCATAGCCATTGTATGGGTCATATCTATTGCCTGAGGGACTTACTCAACTGTGACTCATAGCAATTGTATGGGTCACATCTATTGCCTGAGAGAGTTACTCAACTTTGACTCATAGCCATTGTATGGGTCATATCTATTGCCTGAGGGACTTACTCAACTGCGACTCATAGCAATTGTATGGGTCAAATCTATTGCCTGAGGGACTTACTCAACTGTGACTCATAGCCATTGTATGGGTCATATCTATTGCCTGAGAGACTTACTCAACTGTGACTCATAGCCATTGTATGGGTCATATCTATTGCCTGAGGGACTTACTCAACTGTGACTCATAGCAATTGTATGGGTCACATCTATTGCCTGAGAGACTTACTCAACTGTGACTCATAGCCATTGTATGGGTCATATCTATTGCCTGAGGGACTTACTCAACTGCGACTCATAGCAATTGTATGGGTCAAATCTATTGCCTGAGGGACTTACTCAACTGTGACTCATAGCCATTGTATGGGTCATATCTATTGCCTGAGAGACTTACTCAACTTTGACTCATAGCAACTGTATGGGTCATATCTATTGCCTGAGACACTTACTCAACTGTGACTCATAGCCATTGTATGGGTCATATCTATTGCCTGAGAGACTTACTCAACTGTGACTCATAGCCATTGTATTGGTCATATCTATTGCCTGAGATACTTACTCAACTGCGACTCATAGCAATTGTATGGGTCAAATCTATTGCCTGAGAGACTTACTCAACTGTGACTCATAGCCATTGTATGGGTCATATCTATTGCCTGAGGGACTTACTCAACTGCGACTCATAGCAATTGTATGGGTCAAATCTATTGCCGGAGAGACTTACTCAACTGTGACTCATAGCAATTGTATGGGTCATATCTATTGCCTGAGGGACTTACTCAACTGCCACTCATAGCAATTGTATGGGTCAAATCTATTGCCTGAGAGACTTTCTCAACTGTGACTCATAGCCATTGTATGGGTCACATCTATTGCCTGAGAGACTTACTCAACTGTGACTCATAGCCATTGTATGGGTCATATCTATTGCCTGAGAGACTTACTCAACTGCGACTCATAGCAATTGTATGGGTCACATCTATTGCCTGAGAGACTTACTCAACTGTGACTCATAGCCATTGTATGGGTCATATCTATTGCCTGAGAGACTTACTCAACTGTGACTCATAGCCATTGTATGGGTCATATCTATTGCCTGAGAGACTTACTCAACTGCGACTCATAGCAATTGTATGGGTCATATCTATTGCCTGAGAGACTTACTCAACTGCGACTCATAGCCATTGTATGGGTCATATCTATTGCCTGAGAGACTTACTCAACTGTGACTCATAACCATTGTATGGGTCATATCTATTGCCTGAGGGACTTACTCAACTGTGACTCATAGCAATGGTATGGGTCATATCTATTGCCTGAGGGACTTACTCAACTGCGACTCATAGCAATTGTATGGGTCAAATCTATTGCCTGAGAGACTTACTCAACTGTGACTCATAGCCATTGTATGGGTCATATCTATTGCCTGAGGGACTTACTCATGATCAACTGCGACTCATAGCAATTGTATGGGTCAAATCTATTGCCTGAGAGACTTACTCAACTGTGACTCATAGCCATTGTATAGGTCATATCTATTGCCTGAGATACTTACTCAACTGTGACTCATAGCCATTGTATGGGTCATATCTATTGCCTGAGAGACTTACTCAACTGCGACTCATAGCAATTGTATGGGTCATATCTATTGCCTGAGGGACTTACTCAACTGCGACTCATAGCAATTGTATGGGTCAAATCTATTGCCTGAGAGACTTACTCAACTGTGACTCATAGCCATTGTATGGGTCATATCTATTGCCTGAGGGACTTACTCAACTGCGACTCATAGCAATTGTATGGGTCAAATCTATTGCCTGAGAGACTTACTCAACTGTGACTCATAGCAATTGTATGGGTCATATCTATTGCCTGAGGGACTTACTCAACTGCGACTCATAGCAATTGTATGGGTCATATCTATTGCCTGAGGGACTTACTCAACTGTGACTCATAGCAATGGTATGGGTCATATCTATTGCCTGAGGGACTTACTCAACTGCGACTCATAGCAATTGTATGGGTCAAATCTATTGCCTGAGAGACTTACTCAACTGTGACTCATAGCCATTGTATGGGTCATATCTATTGCCTGAGGGACTTACTCAACTGCGACTCATAGCAATTGTATGGGTCAAATCTATTGCCTGAGAGACTTACTCAACTGTGACTCATAGCCATTGTATAGGTCATATCTATTGCCTGAGATACTTACTCAACTGTGACTCATAGCCATTGTATGGGTCATATCTATTGCCTGAGGGACTTACTCAACTGTGACTCATAGCCATTGTATGGGTCATATCTATTGCCTGAGAGACTTACTCAACTGCGACTCATAGCCATTGTATGGGTCATATCTATTGCCTGAGGGACTTACTCAACTGTGACTCATAGCCATTGTATGGGTCATATCTATTGCCTGAGGGACTTACTCAACTGTGACTCATAGCTATTGTATGGGTCATATCTATTGCCTGAGGGACTTACTCAACTGCGACTCATAGCCATTGTATGGGTCATATCTATTGCCTTCATGTGCTTGCTGGTGGAAGTGCCATGGTCTTTGATTATACACATCATGGTTAAACTTCACTGGTTCATGATGCTGGTGATGTTGTTGTTGCTGCCAATACTGTTGTTTATAGTAGGTATCTGGGTCAGGTGTTGAGCTAGGCTGTTGTGGCACACTGGCACCAACCCCCATTGTAAGCCACCTCAGATGCTGCCAGTTTGGGTTACTTTACTATTCCACCATGAACTGATATTTCTAATATCCATTTTTATAGTTTTGTAGATATCCAACCTTATGTTGCAATTTTGACATTCTGTTCATCACAATTCTGAAAGTAATAGTTTCTGATTTTAACTAGAGCAATATAAGATGTACACTGTCTTTGTTCTATTAGTTACTATAGATTTCCATTAGTATGGACTTCAACTTAAAATGTCATACTAGAGTAATAATGTTATCCTAGAGGAATCTTTTAATCCCATATATGTCTACTGAAATATTGCATTTGATCAGGATTTTGCAATTCAATAAATACATGTAATACCATAACACCTGTGTTATAATATAAACAGAAATATTTCCTTTATACTCATCAAAAATCTACTATAATTCAACTCCTTACTGAATGTAGTACTTACACTCTATAATGTCACACAAAACATCTTGAAACTATTGTATAGGTCTTTATCAATCAATATACTGGCACACTTCATATACTGTTAATATAATACTGTAAAACTTTATTTTTGAATTGATCAATATCATTTATGGGGGTTTAAGCAGGGCTATATTAATATTAATCACACAAATATAGGATTAACTAATTCAATCATTTGTGATTACATGTCCTACCAAAGATCACTCTATTTAGAATGTAGTATTATTGTCTGTGTATGTTTAAAAAACTGCAATATATAATTCAGACAGTATTTCTATTAAGTGCAAGCCTGAAAAAGTAAATCAATATAATTGTTGTCTTATCGCTAGTGGTTACCAAATGCAAAGCCTATTGTAAGCTATGAATGGGAGAGTTGTATTTACTTTAAGGATTTCAATGTTATCCACATACAGCAACACTTATATATATATGAGTCATAAGAATTTCCTTTCATTTTAAGAACAGTAGAAACAGTGAAACCTCTCGAAGTGGAACACCTGTTAGTGGAAGACCAACTGACTTATGTTAATTTGTTAAATGAACCTCTAAGAGTGGAACACTTTTTAGATGTACCAAAGGTGTTCCACTTAGACAGGCTTCACTGTATATATATTATTTCACCACCAATTAGTGGTGACATGAAAAGGGTCTTTTTTCAACTCACCACCAAAAAGTGGTACATGTTGTTGTAGTCTCCGTTTTTTACGGTGGTCGGCAGTTGTTGGTTGGCGGTTGGCAATCAGCGGTCGGCATCTGTAACAAATTCTTACAATAATTTAACAAATGCTGTGTAGACTGACTTCAATGTTTTCAGAAGTTCAAATCTGACTTTATATTTAAAATTTGACCTTCAATGACCTTTTCAATGTCAAAAAGGTCAAAAGTGTCTTTTTTCAACTTGCTTCCAAATGACCTTTTTTTTCAAAATCATTCACAAGTTCTCAACATTTCAAATCTGACTAGAGATTTGACCTTCAATGACATTCTCGAGGTCAAAATAGATTTGACCTTTAATGACCTCCTAAGGTCAAAAAGGTATTTTTATCTTGCTTCAACTAGGTGGTGACTTATAATTATTAGATGGCCAAATACCATTCAACATTGAATGGGAGCCAGGATTCTTATAAACTGTTTAGTTGTTCTTCACACCTCTTGGTTTATGTGTATTAAAGTTCATACAACCATCAACTAGAATGAATGCATACACGTTTAGCTATTTCCCTAGGACAATACATGTAGTTTTACTAAAACTAAATTTACCATTACCATGGTTACCATTCTTATTATTTTGGAGAATCTAAACATTTTTCAGGCTTTGTATAAAAAACCTCCTACCTCATACCCACCTACGTGGGACATAATACAGTCATTGAAGGGTTCAATTTTAAAGATTTTTAAATCTCAAAATAGCTCGTATTATTAACATTTCTACAATTCCGGCTTTATTTTATGACTAGATGGATGCCAGATCCATAAATAAATAAATATGGGTGCATTGTAATGTGTAATAACCCGAGGGCGCCCCGGGGGAATAACAAACTAACGACCGCGAGCATAGGTCCAACAAGTCAGATAAAGAAATTGAAGGGTTTGTGGAAAAAAAAACGGGTACCGGGTAGTAAATCCTCCATGCTGGGTTCAAACTTGGTACCCGATCGAAAAAACCGGGTACCCAAAAAACAAAAAATACGAATATAAAACATAATTAGATCATTAGAAAACGTGTAAGATTTGTTTTGAATTTACAAAAATGTATGTAACTTCCTTCAAAATTGAGCTAGAAGCTTCAAATAAAAAGCATTTTAATGCTCTTTTCTTCCTCTATCACCATGGTCATATTTTCATTGGTTATGGGGGGGGGGGTGCAATCGCAACATCAAACCCCCTCCTGGCTACGCCTATGACATTGTAAGACGATTTGAAAAACATGACAAATCAATCTTACTCTATTTTCAATAGTTCGTATGTTGGTACGTGAATTGTTTTGATTATGATTTAAATCTGTAAATAGCTATCGTTACTTTAGCAGAGAGGTGACGTGACATGATGCAACGTTTAATATTTCGATCACACCCCCCCCCCATAACCAATGAAAATTTGACCATGATGATAGAGGCTTTTTATTTGAAGCTTCTAGCTCAATTTTGAAGGAAGTTACATACATTTTTGTAACTTCAGAACAAATCTTACTCGGTACTCGAAATTGAAAGAAACTGTGCTAAATTCGGTGCCCCGAGCACTGGCCCGGGCCCCCCCCTTGGGTGGACCCAGAAAAAAATTGGGCCCAAACAAGGCCTTCAGGCCCCAAAAAGTGGGCCTTTTAGGTCATTACTGGGCCTTTTAAGGCCTTATTTTTTAATTTCAGGCCAAATTTTGAAGAAAATGGGCTTCAAAATTTCAAAATTTGGGCCCACTTTTGGATTTTAGAGCTGGGCTGTAGTAGCAACTTGTTATCAAGGTTCGTTACAAATGCATCTGTTATAAATCATCACTATGATAACTAAGATTTAATAAACTAAGATCTTTAAAATTAAACCCTTCAAAGACTGTATCATGTCCAACGTACGTGGGTAGGTGGGTATGAGGTAGGAGGTTTTTTATACAAAGCCCATTTTCACTCATTTTTGCACTTTGAATCATCAGTAACTTCACCAATAACATATTGTGAATCTTTTGGGAGATATTGTCACAGATCCGGAGCCAGATCCAGCCCCTGTTGGTAGTAGGCTCAAAGGATAAAGGCCTAAGCTTACCTTACTCGAGTCTCTAGCCAAATAACTTGCACAAAGTCCATGCTTGCACTCTGTGGCCAAAGAATAAGGTAAGGCTTACTCCGAGCTGACAGAAGGCTTTTGAGCCAGCTGTGTTCAGTAAGGTAAGGGGCTTCACAGGATCTTACATAGCACGTTTATGATGACTGATATGGGGCTGCCTGATATGGGGCTTTATATAGAGAGACTGATATTTACATACTTATACTTATACTATAGGGCCTATCATAGTGCTCATCTCATAGTGCTCATCTCATATCATAGTGCTAGGCCTACAATGCTACATGTCTCTGTGAGGGGCTTAGGCCTACCTACTCCCATTCGCCGTCTCTGTATTCAAAAGTTTGTTGGATAGAGACTCGACTAAAGACTTCCGGGCCGGGCACTATAAACGTCGATCTGTCCAGGACCAGGGATCTGTATCATATGTTTGGACATAGATCCCGGCCAGATTCTTTTGTAGTAGGATCAGTAAGCTCAATAAATATTCTTTGAGCCTAGGATCCTACTACAAAACGATCTGGCCAATATCTGTGTGTTTGGACGTCTTTTTGATTTGAAATCCGCGGGTTTTAAACATTTCTTCTACTCCTCAGAAAAGCCCGGATGAACAATAACGTGACCTTGAGGCAGCCATCTTTGAAATTTATCTGGTGTAAAATTTTATCAAACAAAATTCAATTTTCGAAGACGACATGGCATCGAAACGAGTTGCAAGGTCCGTCGTGAACTGGGGCCAGTTTGCTGAACGTGTTCATCCAAATCAGAGAGAGTACTTCCGAGCATTCAAAGCGAAGTCTGAGAATTTCGTAAATCGGTAAGTTTTTGTAGGCGCCTCGAGTCTGATCTTTCTTTCGATTCTTATTTTATATAGGCATAGATCTAGTGTAAATGATTTTCCATGTTTGAGTTTTTGATGCTTCTTTCTTCCTCCATGATTGTGTTTTTTATTTGACCATGCAGTTATGATATACAGTCTGTTACACTGCTTCAAGCAAGCAGTTGAACCTGAAAAATAAGAAATCTATAGATCTAGACCATTGTGCCATAGATCTAATATATAGAAAAATATACTCATATTGTACACGAATGACATTTGTATATTTCAGATTATTTAGTGTTTACAGTGTAGTGCAATAAGCCTGTGCCCTCTTGTAATTTGAGGTCCGTACGCCATGTTATTTTTTGAGAATTAACATGGTAGAGAAGCATCAAAATATAAGAGGTTACAGACTTTATGAGCCAATTTACAAGCAATCCAACATGTACAAATGTCATTCGTGTGTAATATGAATATATTTTTTTAATATATTATTGCACAATATTATTTAGATTTCTTATATTTCAGGTTTAAAGTGGGTATAAAGACTGCCGAGTCGTATCCAGTGATCCTGGGCCTATCGTAAAATGAAATGTTATAGCCTTTAAAGTGTGAACAAGGGATATAGAGAGAATTTTTGCAAAATTTTACCTTTTCTGAGCTATCATCGTGAAGTTTACTACTTTTTTCATGGCCCGACTTCGTCGCTAAGATGCTAAATATAAGAGTTAGCTGACGTTTGGGAGTCTGACTTACCTTCTAAAGGTTAGAACCCGAATCTTAATGAAACCATATCACCTTTGTTCCGTCAACCATGGAGCATTTGCCACAACATCCAAGAGGTAAATCATGGACCGAGAAAATGAATGATTTCCTTGTAAGTTCCGGAAGTTTCAATACGAAAAATTACTGAACATATGTGAAAACCGAATATTTGTTCGTTGTTTTCACGATTTACAGGTTCGTTTGTTCTTCAATGTTTTGGTCTAAATTATAAAGCATCACCAACAGGTCTTACTCTATTAATCGACTAATACAGCAGATGGCTCATATTTCTACGTACCATTTCATTCAGACCAATAGTGGGAGTGTAGATCACGCAGTTTCGTTCGTTGCGTACTTCACTTGAAATTGGTAATTTTAAATATTGACTACTTCACGTAGCTTGGCGGATGTAGAACATTGCTTAATATTCTTTTAATTTTCACACCAGACATGCTTGGTTGACACGTCAACAAAGCAAAGTTCAAGGGTCAATGCGTTATTTCGTGATAACTACAACGCCTTCCCGGAGGTCAACATTGATGAAAAATGAAAAAGCATTTACACTAATTTCTATCAAATGCTATGTTTATGCATCATCATCGACGCAACAAAGGTGATATGGTTTCATTAAGATTCGGGTTCTAACCTTTAGAAGGTAAGTCAGACTCCCAAACGTCAGCTAACTCTTATATTTAGCATCTTAGCGACGAAGTCAGGCCTTGAAAAAAGTAGTAGTTTAACATCTTCTTCGTCATACCTATTTTCTTGAAGTGTATGGATATGGCCGCCTTTAACATCAATTAAACTTAAAGTACATCAGAAATAACGAACTGGAATTGTGGGTTTCCCCTTTTTCATTTTTCAAATTATCCAGTTTGTCGACCTGAGAACACCTTGCGGATATAATAGGGACTACACATTTATTTCGTCCAGTGTAACATAACTTGCACTGAACGAACTCTAGAATATTGAAATCAATTTGTAGATAATTGATTGAGGAACAAATAAATATATACTATATCTATACAATTACGATAAAAGGTGACTAAAATTAACAAAATACCTCGCTAGACATCTTTTCCCCAATTTTTTTACATTTATTTCCCAGAGTTCAATTCTTGCGCATGCGCAGTGAGAATGAAAAAAAGAAATGTCAACCGTGAAAAAGACGAAGAATTTGGTCATTTTCTCTCCCTGTTATCCACCGAAAGAAGGTACGTGGAAAGGTTTTACTTGCAAAAATACAAAATAGATCGTTTCCAAAGTCCTATAATGTGTTCAAAATATTCATCTTGCGACCACAGGCAATGGAACATAGAAATAATCCCCCCCACTCTCTGTACATTAGCCTGTGGTTTCGACGTCGACTTGGAAAGAATTTTGAAAAATCTGTGAGTGGGACTCCTTGTATAGAATTATAGATTCTAAACGATTTGCCAGTTCTACTGGTTGATGAATATTGCCATATGCACAGTCAATGGAACATAGAAATAACCCCCCCCCCCCCACTCTCTGTACATAAGTAAATAAAAGAGGAACTTATCGGAGAAACTTGACCCAGTTTTTTTGCCAGTCATATTACTGCTACTGAGGGTTGTCATTCCGTATTTTTCATACCTATGCAAAGATTATACATTGAATGCGATTTATAGTTACTTACCAATACCAACTCAACCTAGTTATACTGGAAAATTGCAAAATTATGAATTATAAGTCATGTCTGGTTTTGATACGTCTTCCATCTAATATTTGTTATTTTTGACATTGTAGAAATTTGGAAATCAAAATATCGTCGTGACATTCCGGACTTAAAATTATTGGTGATTTGATTGGTTAATCGTCAGACCTTTAAATGAGTGACCGTTCGAATATTTAGGCCGTTAAAAATCAAATTTGTATCGAATTCTTCTTTAAAAAATACTAAAAGAATAAATATGTGTACAAAAGTTTAATTGAGTGCGTATTTTAATTAAACACTTTTAATTAATAATCGCTGTCATTTGATTGGCCGACTGCGAGGTAAACAAGATGGCAGTTGGACGTCGATTTGTCGTGACCGCAGGTAGGTCATAAAAAGGCCGGCTGTACTTCCACTCTCAGAATAAACATTTATCTACGAGTGGACTAATTCGTACATAAGGTATCTATTTATATTATCTGTAAATTTTAGAGACTTCCATGCAATAGGAGGTGAGATGCAACGAGGATACAGCGGGGTCAAATTTCTCTGATAAGTTCCTGTTTTATTTACTTATGTACAGAGAGTGAGGGGGGAGATTATTTCTATGTTCCATTGCCTGTGGCCATATGCATACATTTTTATAAAATAGGAACAAGGAAGAAGTTGTTACACCAAAACTTCGCCCCGATAGCTCAGAAAAGGTAAAATTTTTCAATTTTTTTCTCCACAGTCCATGTACCTGCTTTAATTACCTTTTTCAAAGGCCACTGTATCGTGGCCTTCCTCCACAGATAGATTCCTGCATGAACAACTGGTCATGTCGTAATCATAAAATTTGAAATCATATGTGCGCCATTTTTCCACAGCACAATTTGAATTCCGAGTTTTGGTCTTATTACCTCACCAAAAATTCCAAAACACACATGAAGTGATCAGTGTATTAGTTCGCATCTTCTGGATCGCTAACTTAGAATTTACAGCCAGTTACTAATGTCAGACGTTAACGACATTTCGTCCAGTTTTCGAATATCGCCATTTTGTTTTAATTTTAGACGAAATCCTGATGAAATCATGTCATTTCTCATCAAGGAGCCGAGACGGTTCCGTTTTAATTAATGATTTATTTATCTTGCGATTTTGAAAATATTCAATAAATTTATGACACAGCGGCCAGCTTTTTTCAGATGGAGTTCACAGTATTCCAGATGAAATCACCTCTAGCCAAGTATTGGCTAGAGACTCGAGTAAAGGTTTAACTGCTTGCCTTTGAAGCAGTGTAACAGACTTGATACAGTTGCAGTTGGGTCCAAAATTAAATGATAAGTCATATTGCCTTGGTGTAGGGCAAAGGGGTATAATGTCGACATGTGTTTATTAAGTCAACAAGTGGTTATTAAGTACTGCGGAACGGGACTGTTTTGGCAGCCATCCCATCCTCAGTCATTCATCCGTTTTTATCTAAAAAAAATTTCTTATGATTTTAGGGTGCACAAAAATCCAGAAAGCCTACCAAAAATAGATTTTGACTTCTACAAAGCAAGAATAGCAATCCCAGGCCTAGTTGAAGAGATGCAAAAGGGGGTAAGGAAGGACATGAGTCAATGAGACCCAATATTAGCCCCCCCCCCCCCTCTAGAATACAAAATGAAATTACTACAGGGTGTTTCATACACCCCCTCTAAACGCATCCACATAGCATTGCCACCCTATCATGCTATATCATTTTGTTCTTTATGAAAAGTTACCTTCATAGAATCATTTAAAAAGTTAATAGGCATATTTTTGGGTAATGCTTTAACTGTTTAATAGATGTTCGAAAAATTGATGAAAAAAATATTTAGAATTGAGAAAGTTGTCAAAAAAGTGAGGATGACTTGTCCTGACCTGGCTTCTTAGATAAAATTAATGATATATTTCATGCTATTATTAGGTATTCAAATCAGTTCAATTTGTTTCTAGTATGCTGCATTGAACATAAGCTATCCCACAGACAAACAGAATCTGAAGAGTAGCATAGACACCGAATCCAAAGCTGCTGTAAGTAGTAATTAATTGGATGCTTTCACCTAAAGCAAATTCTTACAACTTCCAATAACTTAACAAATACTGTTTAGACTGACTTCAATTTTTTTCAAAATCATCTACATGTTTCCAGAAGTTCAAATCTGACTTTATATTTAAGATTTGACCTTTAATGACCTTTTCAACTTGCTTCAAATTGACCAATTTTTTTTTTCAAATCATCTACAAGTTATCAGAAGTTCAAATCTGACTTTAGATTTGACCTTCAATGACCTTCTCAAGGTCAAAAAGATCTTTTTCAGAATCAAAATCATCTACAAGTTCTCAGAAGATTCAAAATTCAAATCTGACTAAGATTGAACTCATAATGTTGTGAGCAACAAGGTGGTGACATTTTGTCATGTTAATGCCTTTTTATTAAGTTGGTATGTATCTCCATCTTTTGAGGTGGATTGCGGAGTAACATAGGAATTTAGAAAATCTGCCCAACTTCGTTTTATTACTAAATGTAATTAAGGTGCAATGCAAAAGCCTAAATCTTGTCAGGAAATTGTGCAAAACTGTTCAATATCATAACAGCTTGCAGTTTGCACCATCAATAAAAATTGTAAATGTTGGAGCTTGAGATTATTATTGCTCACCTCGTAACGGGCATAAATTCTAATATGAATATTGCAGCAAATTCACTTTTTATTGCAATAGCAGTATTTTTCATTTTAATATTTAGAGACTACATCTGTATATATTTTATTGATGAAGCATTCAGTACACTTGTATACCATTCCATCACACCATCTGATGCCTTCAAAGTAAGGCCAAATTAAGCTTTGACAAGAGAATTCTATAATAGATAGAGAACATGGGGATTTTGTGTTTTCCTTATGTTGCATTTCTATCATATTGCAGGCTGAGAAGTTAACTGAGCTGAAAGATGTTGCTGCCAAAATGAGACAGGGAGCACAAGATGTTGTAAGTTCAACTTTTATTATCATACCATCTGTGTTTGTTAATGTCACCTTTTTTGTCATTTAAAGCCCAAGCCATTGATCATTTATGTTATCTTTGAGCTATACATATCTAATCTGATTTTTGCATACTGTACCGGTAATTTTCGCTCGCTACTATATTTCGCGCTTTTCAAGTTTTGGAAAATTCGCAAAATATGATAGCCACAAAATTCCTACAGTTCTAATTCGCAAAATTTTATAGTCACGAAATTTCAAGGAAATTCCCGGGGAGATACGTGACTTTTCTAGTTTTGAAAATTTTTTGAGAAATTAGAAGAAAGATCTTTATTACTGTATTAAAATGAACAGTCTAATGAAATGACTTAATAAGAAGCCAAAATCATCTATCGAAGAAACAACCATGTCTGATTTCGAAGTCAAAAGAGTGATCTCGTATGACAAATCCTGCGAAAATTGATAGTCGCGAAATTTCAAAAAACTGAAAATTAGCGAAATATAATAGCCGCGAAATTTCAAAATGCCAAAAACGTGAAATATAATAGAGTCAAATATTGGTGGGAGTATAGTATTTCTTTTGTAAATCTTAAGGTAACCACTTGGGATTTTTAAAGTCTTCTCTTTCCATTTTTAGTAATCTTTAAAATTGATTGTATGAAATTTCAGGAATGCATCTGAGTATGAATATTTAGAACAGAAGCTTCATTTTATAAAATGGAGAGTTGGTTTTGGGGATGCTGGGGAAATTTAAAGATATTTTGATATTCCATTCTTAATCTCTAAAATGATCCTCTAGAATGTCTTGGATGCACATGCACATGCAATCTGTTTCAAATTTTGAAATGACCTATTGAGTTTGTGTTTTCAGATTGACAAGATAGACAAACTGCCAAGCCCTGATGAGATGACTATGGAGATGTATACTGATTACTTCCCAGAACAGAAACTAGATCCCGAAAACAACCCTACATTCTGGCCCCACACTAAGAACTACCAACCTGGGCCACACAGTGATGCCATTAATTAACAAAAAAACAATTAGGCTAATTAAATAATTATTTAATGAACTTTGTAGATTGGAAAAGCTAGCAAGGATTAGTGTTTTGTTCTAAGCTTGAATTCATGAGTGATTTTGATTCATAAAACTTTAAATTAAGTGTGGTTTTCATTCATTTGATTTCACCAATATCTTAGGCACACTCTTAAGTATAGAAACTCTACACATGTAGAAGGTTCAGAGAAATTGAAATGGAAATTGCCAAATGGAATTGTTATTGAATAAATTAAGATAAGAACATATTACATATTTGTTCACATTTTATGTCACTACCAGAAGTTGTGACATACTTAGAATATCATCAAAACTCCTTGTAGACTTTCCTCTCAGTGCTGCATACATATAGGGTGTCTAGGAATTAAATATAATATACTCTCATTTTGAGGATGCCATTTCAAAAGTGTTCCATGTTTAGATTGCACGGGTTACTAGAGTATCCGCGTATATTGAGTATGACCAGTTCTAAGCTTACGAGTGTGACCGTATTTCTGTTCCTATAAACAGACTAGGTGAGTACTTGCTTTTTATGAACACTTTCGAACGTTTTCTTTTTATCCTACTTGGTCAATGAATGATACTTGGTATACTTATAATGCCAGGCATATCACAGGGGGCCTTAATCAAGAGAAAACGTATTAATATTAGATTGAAGCCGTAAAATCCTAGTTTCCAGCATCTTTGATCAGTTTTTGTGTAACACAACGCAACTCCGAAGAGGATGACACATCTTATGTATAATATATAGCTAGATCTACGAATTGGTCATGAATATTTTAAATAATTTAGCCTGCTCTGTCCAAATATGATACATCTTTGAATTTTTGAGAATACGAATGTCACTGGTGCCCCATTATTGGAGAATACGGTTGTGAAACAATCAGTGGGCCGTGTTACACTCGTTTCCACGACATTTCACAAGCGTATCCTCTGGGAAAAGATAAATCCTTCTCTTGCTCACTCTACGGGGGATCATATAAACTGAGATTTGGAGATCTTGTTCAGGTTAGCCATAAAAAGGTTTGGGATTTGTTTTTTTCTACTGTGATATTAATGATTTGGCTCTAAGGCGAGAAATCTGTACTTTCTGATTGATATTCCATTATGAACAGTTACATTGCTAAAATAGCTCATGTTTAACATTTTTTTGTTACATTACTATTAAATACAGCATAAACTATATTCAACAAACACAATTTCAAAAAGGATAATATAGAAATTAACCTTTATTTTCCATTTTTAAGCAGCTGTGCCTCTCATGACTTTCCAAAACAGGTCATATTCGTAGCCTATGAACCGGTCATACTCCATATACGTGGAAACTCTAGTAGCCCGTGGATTGGGAAATTTGAAGTTACATATGTGTTTTGAGGATTATTTTACTCAATATATGTTATAATACTATGCTGAGATATTTGGTTTGTGTTTACAGTAGAATGTGTCCCAAAAATAGTGCAGTGATGTACATCATGTATGTTATAGGCTTAATATTGGGAACCCAGCTACAGATTCAACAATGGTTTTCCATATATTGTTATGTAATTGTTACAAGTAACACACTTTTCATGCTGAATAAATCTTGTGCATGTAGAATGGATGAGATAGGGTTGTGATGATTAAAATCTTTCCCTTAACACATATGTAAAACCTCTTTCCCATTATAAACACAAAACTTTCATATGTAATCGTTCTGGTACGGTATGGGTATGCAGATCAATTTTAAAACTTTAAAATGTGATAAAATTGACTTTTACAAAATATAATAAACTATGGTTAAAAAGGTTTAAAAGTAGCCTAGTTTCTATCAGCAGTTGTATTCCTATGTAATACATTGGGTGACACTGGAACTCGTATAAATATGAGGGGAGTGGGTCCTCAGGCTCTAAGTTCAACCAATGGTGATCAGGTGATCAAAGCGTAATTTTGCACAATCTGACACATATACGTAGGGCCCTAATATTTAATGAGAACGACGCATTCAACATGTTAAATGAATAAGCCAACCCATTAATTGAGACCTGGGAAATTGTTCCAGTCTTTGACATTCTAAGGTATGGGTCTTGTTTTTATGACACCATCAGGAGCGGTGGTGGTTGGCTGATGGTGTTCGGCGGTCTGCGTCTGTAACAAATGGCAGGTACTGATGACGCATTTTGCATATTCGTAGAAAGGTTTCGCATGTTTGTAGGACTTAATCCATAACTATTAAATGCATACAGATGCTTAGCAGTTCAATTCAAAGGTGCATGTGCAGTATGGAAAGTGATTTTAGATGGTCATATCTTTCACCATGAGTACTTTCTGGGCATTAATACAGTGGTTTTTATTAAAACAATATGTTTTCTTTCAAGTGAAGTCCCCATGATGATAAAAATATCAATCGAACTATTCGAAAAATTATAAATAGGGACCCCACGTCAACATTTTTTTCAAAATGTTGAACTTATTTGCTCAAAAGAGGATCTTCTTTTTCTGATTTTTATTGCATGAAAACATTATTCAACAAGGGGTCTAAAACATCTTCAAAAGTAGAATGGTATTGAAAGTCTAGTTTTGAAGATATCAAATTTCGATAACCAAGATCATGCTGAAAACAATGGATAGCATGAGTTTTCCCTATGGGAAAATAACATTGGAAATGTGTTTTTTAACTTTATCGGATTTCAATACCCATCTCCTTTTCACTTTCAGAAGTTATTAATATACTAGTAGTGTAGAAGAAACTTTTGCTGCATTTAAATTGAGAAAAACAAGATCCTCTTTCTAGAAAATAAGCCTTACATTTTAAAACAGTGACAAGGTGGGGTCCTATTCAGAGGGTTTTTGTTATTTTCATACTGAACATAATGTAATGTTAAGTGATCCAAAGTGACTCACCAGAATGAAATTGGTCTTATGACAACTGTGCCATCACTTAAAAGATCACTACGATTTTACAATCTCTATGCACATTTTTCATTGTGATTTAAAATGGTTCAACAATTTATCGCGACCTATTATAATCTTTGGATTCCTAGTTTTTAGTTTTATTTTCCGTTCCTAATTTTGCGTCTATTCATTTTTTATATAAAAGACCGACAACTGACCACCAACCAAGTGTACCCAAATGTGCACCGGCCTGTGGGGTTGAAGTTATATTATGTTAAATTATATATCTGCTTTATATGGACTTATTAGCCTTTTGCAGATTATTGACATAGACAAGTTCGTGGTCGGTCTTTTTCGTTTGTACGATTTGTTCTGGGTACAATAGATCTAATGTACAATATTTTGTATTGTATTTTGTATATATATGCATGGTATGCCCCTTAGACTGTCTTCCACTGTTATGATTGTATTTGTATTATTTGGAATTTAGAAAATGAAATAAAATAAAACAAACAAACAAAATCACTTCTTTCCAAAATGTTGAAGTTAGTGCCATCTAGGGAAATCCAAATACTTCCTCAAATGACGTCATCCTGGGGATTCCCTAAGAGGAAGTAGAATCAACATAAATATGGCGGATAAAAGTTATAAGTTCCTGCTCGATTTGAGGCAAAAACCTGGAAATAATGCGTGTGCTGATTGTGGTGAATCTGGTAAGCTTAGCTTTTAATTTCGTCTATTACCAAGTCATATTCTGAAACCATTTCATCCGATCTTATTTGTGATATACAGTAAAAATAGCATGAATCTCGTCAGTCCAAAAATTGATTTTTTTGAAAATCATCAAATCAAATATTCCTTCTAAATCATCCAGGCTACTTAATTCAATGTGATTACGGTGTTTTTATGGCAGTGTGTATTTACCTATTCCATAGCTAATAACAGAAATACTCGAAAATCGATATAAATATCGAAGGGGATGTCATTCATTTTCTCAAAAAAAGTTCTCATGCCCTGTGTGGCATCCGCGGTGTTCCAATTATTGGATGAATTTATCTATCAGGGGTGAAAATATCTGAACTTGCCATTTTATTGAAAGATGTTTGCTGCTTAGACCTACCTTGTCCAACACCATTAGACTAATGGCCCCGACTAGGAGTTTGTAGAAAAAAACGGGTACCGGGTAGTAAATCCTTCATGCTGGGTTCAAACTTGGTATCCGGTCGAAAAAACCGGGTACCCAAAAAAACAAAAAATACGAATATATAACATACAGTGTATATCATTAGAAAAGTTAAACGTGTAAGATTTGTTTTGAATTTACAAAAATGTATGTAACTTCCTTCAAAATTGAGCTAGAAGCTTCAAATAAAAACCATTTTAAGTCTCTTTTCTTCCTCTATCATCATGGTCATTTCAGACATTACAGGTCATATTTTCATTGGTTATGGGGGGGGTGCGATCGCACCATCGCACCCCTCCTGGCTACCCCTATGACTATTAATTTTAGCAGAAATACGGTAGATTTCTAAATTAATATGGTGTATTTTACGGCCGTTATTATAGAAAAAATCGAATTATAATAAAATATTTTACGGTAGATTTTGGTAAAATTACGGTAAATTTTTTACGGTCGTTTTTATGGGAAAAAATGGTAGTTTGTAATTTTCTACGGAAAAACAAAAATTTTACGGTAGATTTCTGTAAAAATACAATAGGTTGGCAGGTATGCATAAATAAATCAAATAATGGTGATGAGGGTTAATTTGGTCAAGTTCTGAGCTTAAAGGGAATGCGAAGTTTTGTCCCTTAAACTTGATAATAAGTTAGAATAAAGATATATCTTTCAATCCAACTTCGTTTTATTGTTCTATCATTATCCTTTTAATTGTTATTGAGCCCCGGGTTTTGCATATGAACTGGACCACGGAGCTGCCATTTCAACCGTAAAGTGGTTCTTTACGACATTATTATGACGTCATTGATGCCAGATTGATGCCTTGGCATTCCAAAAGTTTTGTGGCGCCATTTTTGAATCAAAAAATGAATGCCGAGTTGTTGCCATTCCAAAACCAAATAAATCATTTTAAAGGAACTAAAAGAATACGTATATACCACCAATAATAAAGAACGATTTCAATAGAATATTAACGCCGGCATTTTCGGAATTGCTTTTTACCTATCTAGACATGGAATGCAGGTTACATTTATTCTTTATTTACACTTGAAACAATCTGGGATTCGTGACTTTTTACTTTTATTAGGTCTAGCGCTAAATGCGAACAGAAAATGCTAATTCCATCGCCTGATAGAATTAGCATTCTCTGTTCGCATTTAGCGCTAGACCTAATAAAAGTTAAAAAGTCACGAACTATTTGAATAAAACATAATAAAATTAATTCAACCAACCCATCTTGAATTTCCAAGAATGCAATCTCGGTGATGATTTAATTTGCTAGTCTCATTACAAAAATAAGTGTTCGTACTTTAATATTCATTACATTTATGTTTATCTTTAATACAAGTATTCGAAGAAAATTTTAAAATTAAATTTCAAAACCGCATATAATTACTATCATGGATTCTTAGCCTGACACGTCACACTTTTACGGGACCATACGGTCTTTCATTTCTGAAAGTATTTAAGTAATTGAGTAAGTATTTCTGCAGTCAGATAATTTAGCAGTCACATTTGCTAAGATAGCTGTACGGCGTATCTTGATTATGAGGAAAAACTACGATTCCGTACGGCTGATAAATGATGACGCACGATCAGCGTAGGGCGGCCCTACGACGTGCGTAGTTTTTCTTGAAGGTGTCCACAAGGGGTTCTATGGTTCGGAAAGGTCAATTGTAACCTATGAAATCCAAGCGCAGTCACAAGTCGACCGTGAACCCGACGTACGGCCGTCGAGGGACCTACGGTCTGGCTGCTGCTTGCTGATATCTACGGTGACCATAGGAAAGAAAACGTTTTAACTCCAACTCTACGCCCTGTAAAAACTGGATATGCCGTGTACGTAGACCGCAAGGTGATCTTAATACGATCGACGTGTGGTCGCATTGAGCAAATGTGACTGAAGCTTTTAAAGTTCCACTTATTTTCCGATATTGAAAAACAAATGGTTGTATGCCATTAAATTGAAAATCATTATTTGGAAAATACTGTAGAACTGTACTTACCACGGATGTTATATAATTAAATTCGAGCTCGAAATCAGGAATTGTTAACAAAAAATAAATATAATTATAATAAAATAAATATTAAAATATTCAAGGAGTACTATCAATACGGCAATCGCCTTATGGTCGTTGAAATGAAATATGCTACAATCGACCCCATCGTCTCCCCCGCATCACTGAATGTTATGAGCCTTCTCTTGTCATGATCCAAGGTGAAATACCATTGAATTTTGAGAAGCTATTCTGTCATATTGAATGTCGCTAAGGTGATATGATAATTGAAATTGGTCGTTTAACAACTGAGAAAAATTAAACATTACGTATTATTCTTTGAAAATATGACACTGGCATGTCCTTGTAAAGCTATTGCCAATCTTAATATTTAGGAGATTGACATTTACATGTATCATTTAGACGACATTGATTTTTCGTTAATTTTGTTTGCGTTTTTCATCAGAATTTAAATGGTTTAAAACACTTTAGGGAGTTACTGTTTCATTGGATAATTACTACTTTTAGTTTTATTTCTTTCATTCTCCAATATGCACCTATTCATATTTGAATAGAATACTACAGATTGAAGAAATCTACCATTTATGATAAGGTAAGAGAGCGGCAGTATGCCTATTTGCCGAGGTATACCTTATCATTATATAAAATAATTCTAGTGGAATATAATGCGATGACTTTTCAGTCAAAACCAGTTAATTGCGAATCGCGCAGCCGATATCTCATAAGTTTAGTAATTTTTCTCCCTAGCCTTTACTATATCACATTGGAGAAAATAAATACAAACATTTGAAAAAAGACATTGCAACAATTCAATTTCTGTGAAGAATATATTGAAACAACCTTTCTAAATATATAATATGATATGGACATGAACATGCGGCAACGATGTTAAGCGGACAGAAAAAGTTATAAAAATATCAGTGAAATATGTTGTATTTCTGCGATCCGGGTATGACGTGATTATATAGCGACACTTCCCAGGCATCAATTTTAAGGCATCAATGACGTCATTGATACATAACAATGGCGGCATCCGCAGCGATCCAGATATGGGTACTTTGAATTTGAATTATATGTTAGTTCAAACACGATATGTCCCATGACTGAGCTGAAGTGATAGATGATGGTAATAAGTAGTCAGCGTGTAAATTAGAACATGAAACTTCGCATTCCCTTTAATGAATAAAGTTTGGATCTTTGGTGGATTGCATAAACGACATGCTTGTTAGATTATTAAAATATCAGTATTGTAATCAAAATCAGAATGACCATTTAAGTGCATGTCCAACATATCGAAAGAATTGCAATCTATAAATGCGTATAAGCAATTAGCCATATGTACAGAAGGCACCGTTGAAAAAAGTGTTTTGGTGTTTCAATGTGACTACAGGCATGACAGGCCCGTAGCCAGGATTTGCCAAGGGGGGGTTCAGTTTCCAAAATTTCCAGGGGGGGTTCACATTTGGCAATTTTGGCCCAAATATGGCTAAAATCATTTGAGAAGTGCTCAAAATGGTGAAAAACTGCATGATTTTGAAAGAATTTTTGGCCAGGGGGGGGGGTTCGTCCGAACCCTGCGAACCCCCCCTGGCTACGGGCCTGCATGATGAAGGCACATTATTAAAATTATGTGCAAAAAGCTAACTCTTTAAATAAAGGTCTACTCTGAGTCTGTTAACCGAGACTTCATTTTTTCTTTTCACATTCATTTGCACAGTTATCATGAATTTAAACGTTTTAGGGTGATTTCAGATAAAAATATTACAGAGGCCACTTTTTTAACCATGTAACATTTACTATGATGGAAATAAATCAGTGTTTTATACATTGTTTCAGATCCTGAGTGGACGTCATGGAATCTAGGTGTTTTTCTATGTGAAGGTTGTGCTGGGGTACATCGTAGTCTTGGTGCACACATAAGTAAAGTAAAGTCAATCAGACTAGACAAATGGGAAGAGGACCAACTCAGGGTAGGATGCAATTTAATGCAAACAATTTTCACCAATCATTTACCTTAAGCATTTAATACTTGAGGTCCATAGCAGTCATGCAGTTTTTATTAGCTCACATGGTGAGTTTTTGCAATCACTCACCTGTCTGTCTGTCTGTCTGTCCGTCCGTCCAACCGTCTGTCTCTAGTCTGTGGACCCTGAAGAATCAAATTAAGACAACAATCAAATCAAGACTAAGAAAGAAGAAAGAAGACAACGAATGAAGACAATGATGCAGCAGCAACAAATGACGTCTATCCGTCTGTCTGTCTGTCAACTATTGGCCCATTTTAAAACCTCTGTCAATAGTATTCCTGTTTTAAATTTTTTGTTCAACATCAATACAGAAAAAAAACTATGACTTCTGGTTCAAAAGCTTGCCTACTTTCTAAATAGTCGCCATTTTTGTTTTGCGAAATCCATTTGCTTTAAAACCTCTGTCGATAGGATTCCCATTTTTAAAGTTATTTTTGTTCAACATCAATACAGAAAACTCCCCTATGACTCCTGGGTCAAATGCTCGCCTGTTTTCAAAATAGTCGCCATTTTTGTCTCGCGAAATTCACTTTTGACCCATTTCTATTTTCATTCATTTGGAACCATTCATTTGTATTTTGTTGATACTTTTTAAATGACACTTATTTATATGTATTAGTTTTAGACCTTTATGTCAGTTTTATTCATTACATGTATATGGTGTCTCAAAAAAATGTACCCAAAAGTATATCAACAGCATAGACAAACCAATCAATATTTTCAGATATTTTTTGCATGGTCTTGTAGATAAAAGATGAAAATTTTTTCCCATATACACAATTTTTAATTCAGTTTTGCCCTTTTGATACTTTAACCCGTTACCTTTTACACCACATATTCAATGTAACCTCATATTTCGATGACAGTCTGCATCCTTATTGTTCATCACATTTGATATTTCTGGTGGAATATTTTGATTTCTGTTTGGACGCTGGCCTTAAGTTGTTCTAGGTTTCTTAGCTTGGGTTTAGCATAAAAATGGTCCTTCAAATAGCCTCAGAGAAAAAAGTATGGGCCGTCAAATGTGGTGAATAGGGAGGCCCTCACAATGTTTTATAGCCCCCTTATACAGAGAGGTCAGAGGTTCAAGAAACTGCATTGGTTGGGATTCTAGTGTAGCTTTTGTTGTGTGTATCAATTTGAGACCACTGTGTTTTCATTTGGATATCATTTGGTCTCCAGGCTAGCCTGCCTAACTCTGGAAGGTAACTCCTGAATCATTTGCCGATAATTGACCTGATAATCTGTGTTTGTTCTGCCATCGTCATCCTCAAACATCTTTCTCTGTGGCTTTTTGAAGGAGTGTTTTAATGATCATTCCAAGAAAAAAGACAGAGAACAACTTTAGGGCAACATCCAAAGAGAAATCCAAAACATTCCACCGCAATTATTATCAAATGAGATGAATAATGTAGCAGTAAGGATACAGGATGTCATCGAAATATGAGGTTACATCGATGTGGTGTAAAAGGTAAAGGGTTAAAGCATCAAAAAGACAAGACTGAAATAAAAATGGTGTATTGGGGAGAAAATTTTCATGTTTTGGCTACATGACCATGCAAAAAATGTCTGAAAATATTGATTGGTTTATCTGTGCTCTTGATATACTTTTGGGTACATTTTTTTGAGACACCCTGTATATATCGAGTGTCCCAAAAAATGAGACACTTTTTGACAAGTATTTTCTTGGCAACTGATGAACTGTAAATTTCGAAAATATTTACCTCGTATTATGTGTGTATTTTTGAATTGAAGACAAGTAAAAGTCACTTATTAATCCATTTTCAAGCAAAATACCTTTCCGTATTTATTCTAACAATATCACCTCCAATGAATTTTGAGAATAAATGGATTTTGGTTGTTTGGAAAGAATAAAATGAATTAGGTAGACATGACACACAAACAGACTATTTTGACTGATTAACAAATGCTATTACCTGGTAGCTGATACAAAGACTATAGAAGCTCATTGCAGAGCTCCGGTATTGGGATTTTTGACATGCTATTTTGAATTTATTTACTTGATCTTTTTAATATTTTTACAACTTGCTAATGATACTCTTAGGCTACTTTGTACAAATCTTTGTACTTTGGTTGATCACTTGCCGAGAAAATACTTGGCAAAAAGTGTCTCCTTTTTTTAGGACACCCGATATAATGGAATAACATAATTATTAATTATTTTAATTAAATCAATTATTTTTTTCTCAAGTTCCAGGATAAAAAAGAATTTCCCATTGAGATCCAATGTTAAATTAAAACATTTTTTTAGAAATAACTAAACTGTCAATCTTTCTAATTTTGACATATTTTGTTATATATCAGTGTATCTTTTACCAAGATTTTTTTGGAAGAAAATCTGAATTGCAGAAAAAAGCTGAGACACTATGAAGTACTACCTTAATACAGTTTACAGTTATTGTACAGTATCTTCAGCTAATACACCATTTACAGTTAATACTTTATTTACAGTTAATGGAATCAGAAGGTAATATTAAGTGCCAGGAAAAGTATGAACAGCAAGTACCCCCCTCATATAGGCGTCCCTGTTCAACAGATGTACAGTAAGTACCTTACACTACCATCAGGTTATTCTGTATACTGTAAAATTTGGCAATTTTGGCAATTTAAAAATGTACATGTACTTCCTAAAACATTTAAGTTTGTGATGTGAATCCAGTTTGGGATCCACAGCCTGTAATATCCCTTGGAACACACAGGCTGTGGGGGAAAGACTAGAAAATGTTTCCTTGAAGCCTAAGATGTACACACCAAGTATACTGGCCCCCACCTGGTTATAAAGACGTTACATCTTTATAGCAAAATGGATGAACTTCCGTCAGGGGAAATTTTTATTTTCATCATTTTCAGAAGGAGGTCGATTTGTATCTAAATATTTTAACCCTATGTAAATAGTAACATCCAGTTACTGAAAATCTAGGCAGTCACAAGCAAATATATCCAGCAGCTCCAAAAATTGAGTGAGAATTCTTCACTTAGCAACCAGGATGTTATCTGGTGAATTTCATAACTTCTTGGTTGCTTCGTGTTATGGCCTATAAATGTCGTATACTGAAGAGAGGAATTCACACTATTAGCATAAAATAATCCAGCAGTGGTAATTTGGATAATAATTTTGGTACAGAAATTTAAATTGGAAAACAATAAGAAAAGGGAAAATTTGTAAATATTACTCTAGTTATTACAATGTTCAATATAAAACAAGAATCAACAAGAAATAATTTTGGAATGAATTTAATAAAATATAGTTTGCAAAGGGAGGAATATACAGTGATTTATTCCACAAGATGCACTGGCTAGGAACATGTTTTGTCTTATAATAAATCAGAGTCCTTCTCAGCCATTAGATACATCAGAATGAGGTGAAACAATTTAGGAAATCATGTCTTTTTTAAATAGAAGCTTTGTTTTTTTGCTTTTTAAAACTCATACAAAGCATGGTGTGGTTCTAAAAATATAGAAATTGAATTCAACACTAATCCACCAAATTAATTATAAGCTGCCTAATGTCAAAATAGCATGTTTAAGTAGCAAAAAGAAATAAAAGAAAGTATCAGCAATTTCAGCATTATCTTTTCTTCCAGAGTGCTTAAGGAGCAATGGATCCGTGCCAAATATGAAAGGTTGGAGTTTACCAACCCAGAAAAACAAACCTACCTAAGTGGAAGAAAAGAAGGTTATATGTGGAAAAGAGGAAAAGACAACAATAAGTTTCAAAGTCGCAGATTCGTCCTCTCAGAAACAGAGAACACCTTAAAGTATTATAATAAAGAAGATGTAAGCATATTCATTCTTCTATTCTCTTGCATTGAGGTTTTTTGATAAATGCAATATCATAATTTATGTGTACCATGTAATGGGTATATCATATGTTTTGATATAACAAAGAAGATGTAAGCATATTCATTCTTCTATTCTCTTGCATTAAGGTTTTTGATAATTGCTATATCATAATTTTTGTGTACCATGGGAACATGTATATCATATGTTTTAATATTTATTCATTCGTTCATTATTTAATAAGATTTATTCCTTAAGGTGTAAATGACTATTTTATAGTAAAATCCTTTAAAGCTGAATATATGTTCTATTATTGAGGCAAACTTCCAGAATACATGTAACATACTTAAACAATATGTTTACTGATTGTGAGATCAGAGTATTGTGAAAGAAGTTTGTGGATTGTGTCTGTAAAGTATATAACATGTATGTGTACAAATTGTTTTGGAATTCTATGTATCAAAATTACACTAAATTTATCTAGTAATTTAAAACTGTTTCAGGCCAAAACCCCAAAGGCAACTTTAAAGATTGACCAAATAAATGTGACATTTGTACCAGACAAAATTGGCAACTTAAACGGACTCCAAATAACTTATGATAATGAGGGCTCTACGAGAAATCTCTTCCTGTACACAGAAGAGGGAAAGGTGTGTATGATAATATGTGTAGATAATTTGAAATTAATCTGGATTTTCATATTTGCCTTATTACGCTCAGTTCATTGCAATTCAGTCATTTCCTGAAGTTTTGCTAAGACATGTGTTCATCAGTGCTTCCAAATTGATTTCCTCTCAAGTCACGCTTGAGTTCTGCATATAAGTAAAAGTAATTGGGTGCAAGGTCTGGGGAATATGGAGGGTGTGCAAGTAGGGGTAGTCCCAGTGCCCTAAAAGTTTCACTAGTGAGCATAGAGCTGTGTGTGAACTCAGATCACATGTCTTAGCAAGACTTCAGGAAATGGGCAAGAGTGGGTTTGAAAGTGTGTTTAGAGAGTGGGTGAATAGGCATAAGAAGTGTATAGCTAGAGATGGACATTATGTCAAATAGCTTATTTTCATAACAATGGGACTTTAGGACTGCTTATATTGTATTTGTGGTAGCAATAGACCTGGGAGTATGAAGAAAGCTATCAGAAAGAATAAACATGTTTTGGAAAGTTGTGACGTAAACAAACTTGCCCCGCCTTTTTGTTGTTTCGGTTGCTATAGCAACCACAATTCACAGCATAAAGGTAAAATGGTTTGGGTTACAAACTCATCAAGATTGGTGCAATATTAAGAAAGTTACATGAATATCTTTCACCTTTTTTATTGGACACCCTGTATATACATGTATTTTATTAGATATTAGTTCTATATTAAGTGCATAGTTAATATAAATGCTGAAGACTTGAAATTATGGGGAATAGTGAGATTTAGATGATGACACAAAGAATTTATTTTATTTGACAACAAGGATGTATTCATGACTAGATCGCAGTGGCCCCATGATGGAATTAGGTGAATATGATGCATGTTGATAAATTGATATATGACCTACTTCTGTCCCTTTCTCTATATCCTTCCCTACTATGAATGTTAAACAAAAACAAACAGCACTCATCCAAGCAAAATTGCTATAGAAATTAGTTGATGTTTTTTGTTGTATTTTGTTTACCACCAATGAAGGTGAGCAATACCTCTTGGGTATGTCCCGTATATATACGGTCGTAATTTACGTAATTAACATGGAAGATAGACCCAGAAACCCCTCCTTGAAGGAGCGATGTGTTCTTTTATGTGCACTTATACATAGACATACAAGTACACACCACAGCCTTTTGTACGAGTTGCGGACCACTCAGACCACTTGTATTGTATGTATTGTAAGTTTGTATTGTATTGTATGTAGTTAGTTGTTATTGTATGTATTGTAATGTGATATTATGTTGTATTGTATGTAGTTAGTTGGTATTGTATTGCAGGATATAGTTGACTGGTACAATGCAATCAGATCTGCCAAACTGAATATACTCAGAGTTGCTTTTCCTGGGACTGATGATGAAGAGGTATGTCACACTTAACATTGCTGATTCCTTGAACCTTAAGGCTGTCCCACTTAACATATCTCTGATAACTTGAACTGTAAAGCTGTCACACTTAATATCTATCTGATTCTTTGAACTGTAAAGCTGTCACACTTAATATCTATTTGATTCTTTGAACTGTAAAGCTGTCACACTTAACATTTCTCTGATTCTTTGAACTGTAAGGCTGCCACACTTAACATTTCTCTGATTCTTTGAACTGTAAAGCTGTCACACTTAATATCTATTTGATTCTTTGAACTGTAAGGCTGTCACACTTAACATTTCTCTGATTCTTTTTTTTTTTTTTTTTTTTATAGGTTATGTTTTATTTATCAATACTATCATTTCACAATGTCCGACAATGGGCCAAGGCCATTGGCATTAGTGGCCCATGTCGATTTTCACAAATACACATTTATACAATTTCTAAAATAGAGTTAAGTAGGCACATAAAAATCAAGTAATTTTAGGCTGCTGAACACTCAACATGACAATACATGTAAGTTACATGTGACATTTTACACCAAATATATAAAGTTAAACATAGTCTACAATTAAAGAAATAAAGTTGGCAGTTGTTGTGACTATAAGCTTGTTAGTTTCAATTTTATATGTTGAGCCACCATATAACAATGTATCTAGTTTCTCTTTTGCATTTAGTTTGTTATAATGGTTAATGTTGAAATTGGGTATCCCTGCAAGGTCGAGTGCTAGTTGTTCCCTGAGATCAAGTAAAAGGGGGCAAGAAAAGAATAGGTGTTGGGTTGTCTGAGATCGAAAACCGCACAGGCATTGAGGATTGACATTATTGAATTGATGCTGGAACTTATGGTAACGAAAAATGAAATCACATCTGGTTTTATTAAGCACTATTTCAGCTTGCCTGTCTAAATTCAAGTGGACTGTGTCAATTAGGGTCTTCTTCGGAAATAAATGTTTTTTAAGATGGTATTTAAAAGTGCGCTTTATTGGAATGGTTTTGAGTTGATCAGGTAATGTGTCCCTCTCCCATTCAGATATAGAAGAAACTACAGTACCGCGTCTAGTTTTTTCAGATTGTTTCGCGGGTACAATAAAATGGGGTGTTTTTCTTAGGGCTCGAGTTGGCCTCTTGTTTCGGTACAAATTGAAAATATTTGAAATGTATGGAGGGGCATTTTCATAATAAACATCATGCATTAATAACAGTTTCTTTTGTTTTCTTTTTTCCGATAGTGGAGCCCAGTTTAGGACTTTCAGAACTTGTTCCCTTGATACAGCCGCTAACAATTAAGGCTGCCTTATAGTGAAGCCTGTCCAATTTCAAGAGTTCGTGTTTTGGAGCCGCATCAAATAAAACTGAGCCGTATTCTAAATGGGGTAAAATAAAGGACATATACATAGTTTCAAGGTGTTTACTAGCAATCTTATATTTTAAACAATTAAGTGGATTTATCATCTTGTCTATTTTGATACGGAGTTGGGTTATGTGTTCGGTGAAAGTCAGAGCATCATCTAAAATTACACCCAGGTGGCAATGTGAATCTTGTCTTGCTATAGTTACACCATTCATGGTAACTGGCTCAAACTGCCTCTTGAAACGACATCTACTCCTAAATATCAATTCTTTACTTTTAGATGCTTTGAATTTCAACTTCCACAAATCGGACCATTCAGACAACTTATCAAGATCAAATTGTATTTCCCGCTGAGCTTCAGTTAGATCTCTGTCCTTATCAACTTTAAAAAATATAGAACTGTCGTCAGCATATAAGAACATTTTACCATTTCTAATGACTTCAGGTAGATCATTTATGTACAAAAGGAAGAATAATGGCCCCCAGATAGATCCCTGGGGTACCCCACTATTGATTAGGCCTTCCTCTGAGAATTTGGAAGATATATTATTGACACGGCAGTTTAATTTTCTATTGGTAAGATAACTTTGAAAGAGATCAATAATACTCTGAGGTAAACCGTATGATTTTAATTTTTTGATCAACAGGAAGTGAGGAACGGCGTCAAAAGCACCTTCTATGTCGAGGAAGATACCTCTGGTGTCCGCCAAATCATCAATATTTGAATTAATAAAATGAACAATGCTTACCAGTTGATTTTGTGTATTGTGTCCTGGTAAAAAGCCAGATTGATTGATATAAAGTAAATTATTTTCTTTAATAAAAGTGTACAAATGTTCATAAAGTATTTTTTCAAATATTTTTGGAATGTTGTTGAGTAATGTGACTGGTCTGTAATTCTTTGAACTGTAAGGCTGCCACACTTAACATTTCTCTGATTCTTTGAACTGTAAAGCTGTCACACTTAATGTCTATTTGATTCTTTGAACTGTAAGGCTGTCACACTTAACATTTCTCTGATTCTTTTCAACTGTAAGGCTGCCACACTTAACATTTCTCTGATTCTTTGAACTGTAAGGCTGCCACACTTAACATTTCTCTGATTCTTTGAACTGTAAAGCTGTCACACTTAACATTTCTCTGATTCCTTGAAATGTAAGGCTGCCACACTTAACATTTCTCTGATTCTTTTCAACTGTAAGGCTGCCACACTTAACATTTCTCTGATTCTTTGAACTGTAAGGCTGCCACACTTAACATTTCTCTGATTCTTTGAACTGTAAGGCTGCCACACTTAACATTCTCTGATTCCTTGAAATGTAAGGCTGCCACACTTAACATTTCTCTGATTCTTTGAACTGTAAGGCTGCCACACTTAACATTTCTCTGATTCCTTGAAATGTAAGGCTGCCACACTTAACATTTCTCTGATTCTTTGAACTGTAAGGCTGCCACATTTAACATTTCTCTGATTCTTTGAACTGTAAGGCTGCCACACTTAACATTTCTCTGATTCCTTGAAATGTAAGGCTGCCACACTTAACATTTCTCTGATTCTTTGAACTGTAAGGCTGCCACACTTAACATTTCTCTGATTCCTTGAAATGTAAGGCTGCCACACTTAACATTTCTCTGATTCCTTGAAATGTAAGGCTGCCACACTTAACATTTCTCTGATTCTTTGAACTGTAAGGCTGCCACACTTAACATTTCTCTGATTCCTTGAAATGTAAGGCTGCCACACTTAACATTTCTCTGATTCCTTGAAATTTAAAGCTGTCACACTTAATATCTATTTGATTCCTTAGACCATGACGCCATGAGGCTGTCACACCTATCATCTCTGATCCCTCCTTTGTAACAGTTCATTCCGTCTATCATCACTTTTTCCATTTTATCACCAGATTATCAAGTCAGCCGCATCTCACTATACATTTCATGATCCTTTATCCAACTAATGCTAATGATTTCCAATTTTTCTTTTTAAAAATCTCGTTCAGAATCGTGCAACTGTTGATTTTAGGGAGTAGTAGGTGAATTTGATAAACTTGCACATGATCAAAAGGTGAACATATATTTTACTATGCACTTTCAATCAGTTTCCATTATTTCAATTATAATATTGTCAACAACATACATGATTTATATGTTACCTAATTCTTATATATTGGAATTACGGTGCTTCTGCTCACCACAATGTGTGCTTTGCTACAGCGGATTAGGGGATTATCCACTCCCCCCTCCATCCAATATTAATTTATATAAAATATTTCTAAATAATTTCCGCATTAAATTGTTGTCAATCAGTCAACATTACATAAAATACCATGTTTTTTTACAGAATGTTTTCAATGATTGGTTTAAGAGAAAAACATTGTTGAAATCAGTTCTCCATATCAATACCACTCCTTTCAGCAATTGACTAACCTTGTGCACACAGAATATATTTCCCCAATTGACTAAATTACAAGAAGCTGCACATTGCAGACACAGACTGGTGTATATAGCTTTTAGATAAACTTACCCCCATTTCAAACCTCCTCGAAGTCGCCATTTTGTTGCAGCCTCATTTGAATAGATATGCTTGGCTGGAACTTGTTACCTCTGTCCATGGTGACACTGCTTGTTTTGCTATAGCACAGTCTGCATAGAGTGTAATATATGGGTAGAGGTTTATGTGTAAAGCCATCTGTCTATAAAGCAAGAAAAGTATATAGATACATTTCAAAAGGAGATATTCATGATTTTCACAATATTGCATATAATATTGTATCCATTAATGCAGAAGCAGAACACCCTTAAGGCTAAATAGATGGAATGTTCAAAATCTGTTATACCAGGGTTTTGATCTGTATATATAAGTACAGGGCCTAAAACTTCTTACCTCTACCACATACCAATCGGCCCATGTGACCAGTATGTGAGATAACATAATGTCATCATCAAAAAGTTGTGCCAAAAATGATTGGAGTTCAACTTCCTTGGTAATAATGTGTTCTCATAAAATTGATCCTATTTAAAATTTACTATTGCATTACTAATTTATTATTATTATTATATGATTGTAATTGCTCTTCATTTTTGTATTGAGTTTGATGTACAATTCTTTCAGTTAATAAGTAATTTAACCCGGGACTTTCTCAAAGAGGGCTGGCTGTACAAGACTGGACCCAATAAAGGAGATGCATTTAAGAAAAGGTGGTTTACGCTAGACAATAGAAAACTTATGTACTATCCAGATCCACTGGTAAGTTCATGTAACTCATCCCATTAAAACGAACAGTTCTTCATTTGTTGTTTTAGAAATCTTAGCTCGTCAAATTTTGGACTGTTTTCATGTTAATACTTAGCGAATTATTGTCTATTCACTAAATTGAACCAATCTCAACTGTTTTGAATCTAACTATCCATAGAAGGGAAATTAGTTGCACATAGATTCCAACCAGTCAGCGATGAGCTATTCTCACTCATACTTTAAATGGTTTCCATTTTGATTTTTCTCATTTACTGATTTATAAGCCTGATTTATTGGACTCATTTCAGGATCCATTTCCCAAGGGGGAGGTGTTTCTTGGATATAAGAATAAAGGCAACGCAGTTAGAGAAGGAGTTCCCCCTGGGTTTAAGACTCAGGGCTACCCCTTCACCATCAAGACACCCGAAAGGAACTTTGTACTTAGTGCAGAATATGAAGATGAGCAAAGCCAGTGGATGGAGATCCTCAAATTTGTGATAGAAAAACCGCTGACCCCTCAAGATAGCAGCAGTAGGTTTCGTTATAAATGAAACATTATGGGATATAAAGCATAAAATAAATCTAGAGGTATGGTAAATCCCATTGTGTGTTGTCATGGATTTGCTTGGTTTGTCTTAGTGTTGTATAAAGTCTAGTTAGATCTGTTGTTTGGATAATTGCATGTTCACTAGCTATCATATTCACTGGTCCCCCACCTGGTTTAAGATGTAATGTCTTTGTAACAAAATGTTATGAACTTCCATTAGAGAAAAGTAAGACTTTTTATTTTCATCATATTGACCAACAAAGAGGTTGATTTTCTACCTGTATGAAAATAATAACATCCGCTCACTGAAAAGGTTGTAGTCTATAGTGAGTTGTGAGTAAATCCAGCAGAGTTCCCTCACTTCAACAACCAGTACATTGTCTAGTGAATTTCATTATTTTCATAACGTCTTGGTTGCCTTGTGTTAATGTCCTGGTTGCTAAAATGAGGGGTTTCTCACTAGAGAAATGGATGTATGAGATACACGTGACTGATTAATTTTCAGTAACCAGATGTTGCTATAAAAATATGTGTAAAATATCATCTGAATACAAATCAAACTCCTTCTTGGTGAAAATGATGAAAACAAAAACTTCCTCTGGAAGTTCATCCATTTTGTTATAAAAACATGATGTCTTTGTAACCAGGTGGGTACTGGTGATATTAGAAACAATGATTTTTCTAAGCGTACTATATGTTAGTTTTAGCACATTCAGTTTGAAATTAACCCAGTTCCAAATTGAATTATTCAGTTGCATGATTTGATGGTTCTTCTTTTGTCTTCGCCATTAAACTGCATTTTTTAGATTCAATTTTGACATAAAATATGTTGACTTTTAATGAAATGAAAACACATAAAGACTGATAGAAAAGTTATATCAATGAGAAATGCAGTATCTTATATCAGGATTGAATAGGAAATAGAGCATTGTATACTAATTCTGGTAAAAGATGGTCAAATAGCTGCAACATCCTCTGAGTTTCATAAATCCTAATTTTTTTTTTAGTACACTCCAATTTCCAAATCAAATTATACCCATTGTATTATTCAGCGTAAAAAATGAAATGAAATCGTATTCATGTTGCACTTTGCTACATGATTAACAAAATATTAGATTAGGTAAAAACATACAAAAATTGAAAAATAGAAAATCTATGGTTGGACACCTTTGATTTTATATTTCTTAAAATGAACTCTAATTATTATAAACTATCCTGTCTGCAAAGATGAAATTTTCCTCTGTTCAGTTTTACTTCTCTCATTTACCCCAATTTCCTAACATGGTGATCTAAATATTTTCTAGCTTTAAGTTGGTGACACAAGTTTTTTGTTGGATAATGAAATATATTTACTAGTATGTCAAGAATTTTTAATTTATATTTCATCACTGGTGATACAACTATTTCTGTTATAAGATGACAGACATTGGTCTCGTTTTGGCAGACATTGGTCTTGTTTTGGTATATCTGTTAGGATTGGAATTCTCAGGTAAACTAGGACTGATGTATGGAGTGTGTCTCAATGTATACCATACTCTGGAAATGCCAGTGCCTCTTTATTTACGTTATGCCTTATTTTCCATTATTTTTATTTATGCATGCTTTTTATTTATTTAAAAAATCACATTATGGTCAATTTAGGTAAAACATAATAGCTTGCACCATGTTGGTTCTATTTTTTTTGATTTTTTATTTGTACAAAATCTGCATTTTATTTTCACTGTTTGAACCTATATGGTGGCATGTGATAAATGGTAGTAATACCTAATTCTAGAATGAAAGTGCAGAAATGCAGGAGTAGAATTTCGAATGTGCTTGTTATTTATGAGATGACAGAAGTATCATTTCAGCATACTGTGTGTCACATTGAAGTGAAAAGCATGTGATTTAGAAAAGTCTCATTGGTACTCATCATTTAAGTGTATCAAGATGCTGTCATATCTCTGTTTTTATAACTTGACATTTTGTATGCACCGGTATACTGCCTTACACATAGCACTATGGGTTAACACCCTGATTAAAGTAGAAAAACAGATGCAGAAATACAAAACTTCTTATATTTTTGGCTGCTCTTATAGATCAACCTGGTGCATGTATAAGTATTATTATCCCATCAAACTAAGTTTTGGGATAAAGAGAACACCTCCAATCCTCCATCCATCCACCTGGGCGATAACTGAAATACTGTTGGCCCAATACTAAAATGTACATGTATATGTCTTATGTGAGTTCAAGTTCTGCTTCAAAGTTGATTTTTAAAATGGCCACTGGTTTTATTACCATTTAAAGTCTGACTGTTTTCCTGAAAGCAATCATGGGTTGTTCTAGGGGTAATAACGGTAACAGGACAACTCATCCCTAAGACAAGTCATCCCAAGACAAGTCATCCCTAAGACATCTCATCCCAAGACAACTCATCCCAAGACATCTCATCCCAAGACATCTCATCCCAAGACATCTCATCCCAAGACATCTCATCCCAAGACAACTCATCCCCAAGACAACTCTTCCCAACTTGAAATAAAACATAATTTTATACAATTAATTTTCATTTTGAAAGAATGAAAAATATTTAGAGATTTTAGCAGTTAGCACACTGGTCATGGAATATCTTTGTTTTTTATTAATACATTTTTCATGCTGTATTTTAAACTGACACATTTCATATTTTGTCATGCTGTATTTACTTTATATTTTTGTATTTTGTAGTTAGTTGGCCTAGTTTTAGTTAATTTTTGTTGACTGATTGGGATAAAGATAAACATGTTCAAATTTAATATATACTTTGATATTAAATCAAAGATCATCAAAGGTGTAGGATTAACTCAGTTAGAATGTATTATCCAAGGTGCTATCAGAATAATTCTCTCAGATTAATTCAGTCTTTGTTTTAAAATATTTTGGCTTAATCCTAAATAAGATCAAACTTTCAGATTTATGATGATTAAATTTGGAAATAATGTCTATGACTTTTATGTTCAATCCTATATTCTCAAATATATTTAGAATAACCCAGAATTCATCAAAATAGCGGCAGTACTTACAAGTAAAACATAACTTTCAAGTGCCATTTCAAAATGCTAAAAATCAGTATTAAAAATTGAGTGTGTAATCAAAATTCACTTTGTAATCATAAAAATGAAAAAGGGATATATATATAATATAGAGGACAAAATAATTTATCAATTATACAAGTGGGATGAGTTGTCTTGGGATGAGATGTCTTGGGATGAGATGTCTTGGGATGAGTTGTCTTGGAATGAGATGTCTTGGGATGAGTTGTCTTGGGGATGACTTGTCTTGGGATGAGTTGTCTTAGGGATGAGTTGTCTTGGGATGACTTGTCTTGGGATGAGTTGTCTAGAAACCGTTCTAGGTACCTAGTGATATTTCGAGCTATAATGAGAGAATATACATTGATTAACAAATGGGGCAAATATATATACATGTATAATATTTATATGTATTCAAATACTGACGATAAATGTGTCATGCAGATTGTTCCCTTGCTCAAAAGTACGCCGGACAACTAATTTTTCTAAAATTAGAATGTCAGGTGACCAAGTAAATGATAAATATAGCGTGTTAAATTTACTTGTTAAATATAAGATGTAGCTATGGTCTGGGGCACTGACCTCAACTCGCAGGCAGATGACTGTGGTGTGGTTCGAAACCCAGCCAAATTTTTTATTTTTACTATATGGTTCTGCTTTGATATTTTGTAGAAAAAAACAATTATAACCATGTTAACTTAATATTAAAGCATTTATAATCTTGTCAGTTGTATGAAAATGTAAAAAATAATATATGTCAGTATATTGCTTTCTGGAGAACGGTCTTTAAGTTTAAGTGTCCATTTTGAAAAATGGCTGCAATTTCAAGTAGTTGAAACCATTTCACACTTTCCTTTGACAATTTGGATTATATGGCATTCATTTTGAGATATCCCTCCAAAGATATCCTTTGAGCTTCTGGAAAATCATCTAGTATGGGTGCCATTTTGAGAAATGCTTTTTAGCAGACTTGTCTGACACTTATAAGATGTTTGATGGGATTTTTAACACCTTGATTTTTATAGGGCATATATTTAGAGTAATTACATGTAACTCATATGCACCATAAGTAAATACCTACTTTGTACACTCAGTCCTTTAATAGCCCTTTTCATGAATGATTTCATTGTTCTTGTTATTACTCTCCAGATTATTCTTTGTTAATTTCTCTGTCCTCTCCAAATTATTCTTAATCACTCCATTATTCCCTGATTCCTCTCCAAATTATTCTTAATCACTCCATCATTCCTCTCCAAATCATTCTTAATCACTCCATTTCTCTCCAAATTATTCTTAATCACTCCATCATTCCCCCATTTCTCTCCAAATTATTCTTAATCACCCTATCACTCCCCCATTTCTCTCCAAATTATTCTTAATCACACCATCACTCCCTCATTCATCTACAAATTATTCTTAATCACTCCATTATTCTCCCATTTCTCTACAAATTATTCTTAATCACTCCATCACTCCCCCATTCCTCTCCAAATTATTCTTAATCACTCCATCATTCCCCCATTCCTCTCCAAATTATTCTTAATCACTCCATCATTCCCCCCATTCCTCTACAAATTATTCTTAATCACTCCATCATTCCCCCCATTCCTCTACAAATTATTCTTAATCACTCCATCATTCCTCTCCAAATCATTCTTAATCACTCCATTTCTCTCCAAATTATTCTTAATCACTTCATCATTCCCCCATTCCTCTCCAAATTATTCTTAATCACTCCATCATTCCCCCCATTCCTCTACAAATTATTCTTAATCACTCCATCACTCCATCATTCCTCTCCAAATCATTCTTAATCACTCCATTTCTCTCCAAATTATTCTTAATCACTTCATCATTCCTCCATTCCTCTCCAAATTATTCTTAATCACTCCATCACTCCCTCATTCCTCTCCAAATTATTCTTAATCACTGCATCATTCCCCAATTTCTCTCCAAATTATTCTTAATCACTCCATCACTCCCTCATTCCTCTCCAGGTGCAGCCAACATGGTGAAGAAGAGATCCAGTATGAAGATATAAAATTGAGACCTATTGGAGAATGATGTACCATGTGACATAAAATTGTTAGAAATGCATAACATTGAAGACACATCGTGCATGTCACAGAGTTGAAAATCATCACAGCAGAATATCAGTTGAATGTGATCTACTGTAGACTAGGAGCCACATCCAAAGGAATCATTTAAACCAGCCTGATTCCAAAGAAAGCTGAAATTATCAAAAACTTATTGACATTTTTATGTTTAATAGTATAACATAACACAGTTTTACATTATGTTATAAATGCTCATCCTTATTATAAATTAGCACCTATTTGCACATCACCATCCTCAGATATCTATTAAAATGTAAACCTAATGTTACACAACTCTGTCTCATAAAATGAGTGTAGGGAATAGGGATGTGATAGAAAGTTTATTATCCCACCTAACAAGTTTCAGGGGGATATGGAGAAGCTGTTCGTCCGTCCATTCTTCCATACTTTGTCCATCTGTCCGTTCATCTGTGTGTCCTGGCAATGAAAAATACCAGTTGACAGATTTGATTCAAATTTTATTGTCTTATCCCTTTTCGGTGTAGCACCTCTGCTCAAGAAGGAACTTTCAATATGGCCTCTAAATTCAAAATAGTCAAATACTCGTTCACAGATTTGGTTCAAATTTTATATGCTGATTCCCAAAGGAGCTTTGTTCAAGAAGAAATTCTTAAGATGGCAGCTGATTTTTGAAATGGCTGCCATTTTTTGTAAAAAAATTTTTTTCTCATACTCAAATGCCAGTATATTTCAAATTTTATATGCCAATGCCTAGGAGAAAAAGAGCTCTGCTAAATTTGATAAGACAATTTCAAGATGGCAGGTGATCAAAATGACTTCCATTTTTTGTAACAAGCGTATCTTTGATAAATCAAATACTGTATGCTAATTCTATATGGCTGCTATTTATCAAAATATGTTTAGTTTGGTGGGATTTGCTACTCCATGGAGTTGCTGTTTTCTAGTTTTATAAGCAATGGATATGATATACGATGACATACAAATACTGTACAAATATTACTGGTCAGTATCAGTAGAATGTTATGGCCTTTATTTTTTATAAAATGGAGGGCAATAAAGGTATGGTAACATGAAATGCAATGATGGCAAATAAAGAACTTGTGTTACCTTGCCCTAAGTGGGAGAAGATAAAACAAAATAAGGGTTCACGTATCATACTATACAGTTTTCTCCATTATAAAAGCTTGGTGTATTGGAAATGTCAAAGCCAAATGTTCTGAATTGTTAATTCCATTAAAACTTCTAACATTGAAAATAACATTTACCATCTGACACTGACCAGTGTTATTTCATTTACAGGGTGGTCCAAAAAAGTGAACACCTGCAACAGGCTGTATTTTCCTTAATACATGCATGAATTATTGACTCATATTATCACATCTTGGAGAGAAAGGTCTAAAAAATTTTATTGATGCCATAATTTATTCTCAGTCTTGAATTTTAAAGAAATTAAAAGAATTGGTCCATGATTAATGAAGATATTGACATTTTAAGATCATATAGGGCTATGTCGCGATTTCACTGGAAGATGTTTATGTCTTTGGAAACTTAGAGCATTTCTTTGGATCACAATAACTAACGGAGATAGGATGCTAATTTTTACACCATAATGTGCGGGATTCAAAACCAAACAAAACCAGAAATAATTAGGTTTTTCAGACTGCGGCTAAAAAAATTCCATGTGCAGATTGTTGAAGGGTTGTAGAATCGCAGATGTTGAAGTTCACATTTTATCCATTTTCTGTGATGTTTGGTTAGGGCTTATAATTTCTACAAATTTCAAGACTAAGAAAGATATATGGTACCAACATAAATTTTAGACCTTCCTCTACAACATGTAAAAATATGAAAGGATTCCTGCAGGAAATATGCCCTGTTGCAACACTTCACTTTTTTGGACTACCCTGTATTCTTTTCTCATCATCTAGTGTAAAACAATTAAGATGGATCACATCCAATTTGGGGCATATTATCCATGCAAATATGAATGAACATGACAAATCAGCAAAAGTGTAACATCTCTGATTCAGCAGGTGTATATAGGATCATCAGTCTTTCAAGTTTATTTTAAAATCAAATTGTGGGTTACCTAAATAAAGTAGATATGTCACACTCATCTACTCCATCGTCTTTGCCCTTATTTAAAATTTCTTTACGAAAAAGTAATGTAAAGTGCTTGTTTATTTAGCAGGTGGTTGGACAGCAGGGCTGCACAGCAAATGAGCTTTAGCTCCACAAAAAGGATCAATAAATTACAAATCCTCCATGTGATCAGTAAAGGAATATTTGAAGTAAGCCTCATATGCAGCATTATTCAAATACTGGATGTTCTGGATCATGACATCCTTCTCAACAGTATTAATACAAAATGGAATGAACTTAAAAAAGAATCATAAATAAATATATAAAGGAAACTATTTACATTGAAGAAGAGGTGTTCCAGTATGAACAGAGGAGCTGGTTAATTAAAGGTTGAACGCTCTGTATTTCAGTCATTTAAATTGTCTTTTATAATCAATAGGACTATCAAGTATATTTTGTCATTTGTTCTTTTTGTTATGAATTGTCTATAATTCTTGCTATTGTCTGGATTTTATGACTGAAAAGTCAAAACTCCCGAGATGAAATATATTTGAACAACAGCAACGACAAAATGTAGGCGATCCCATCGAACAGCCAATCGTAAAATAACACACAAAAATGGCCACCATTTTCAAAATGGTTGCTCACTATAACCAAATTGTCATCAGAAAGTGTAATATGCTTCTAAGAAGGCAAATATAAAATTTCAACAAAATCGCCCACGTCTATGTCAATGACGGCCATTTTTCAAATTGGCCGCCTAATTGCCAAATGTTATAAGACAGTGTGGCATGCTTAATGAGTATTCACATATCAAATGTGAACAAAATCGCTCTATTATTTTTTGAGTTATAGTAAACAACATTACATTAAACATTACATACAAAATAACACATGTTGAAATGGCGGCCATTTTTCAATGGCCACCTTCTACCAAAACTGTCATTAAACAGTGCGCCATGCTTATAATATTCACATACCAAATAAGAATGAAATTGCTCCACTGCTTTTCAAGTTATAGTAAAAAATGTAAAAATGGTGGCCATTTTTCAAAATGGGTGCCCTCTACCAAAAGGGTCATTAGAGAGTGTGCCATGCTTATAGTATTCACATACCAAATATGAACAGGATCGTAACACTACTTTTTGAGTTGTAGTAAAAAATGTTAAAATGGCGGCCAATTTTCAAAATGGCCACCTCCTATCAAAAGTGTCATTGACAATTTGCCATTCTTATAGTATTCACATACCAAATATGAACAAAATCACTCCACTACTTTTCGAGTCATAGTAAAAAATGTTAAAAAAACATTCTATCAAAAGTGTCATTAGACAGTGTGCCATGCTTATAGTTTTCACATACCAAATATAAACAAAATCGCTCCACTACTTTTCAAGTTACAGCCAAAATTGTAAAATAGTGTGTAAAGGCCGCCATTTTTCAAGATGACTGCCATGTGCTTCTTGGACATCTACATTTCTAGCTTTATTAATGTCCTATATCATTTTTTACATTGAAAGCATATTCCTATTACTGTTTTATATATTGTACCTAAATTATTGTAAAATCGGCACTAAAATGGCCGCCATTTTCTAATGAGTGGCCATTTTCAAAATTGGCTTTTGAGCAGAAATTCTATCCCCATATTTGAGTTATTGCCTGGACGTATGTACGTACAGACGGAGGCTTTGTTCGATGGGATAATTAATAGCAATAACCTACATTTGCTACGTATGTTGGCAGCTTGATATGCACAGTACAAGAAAGGTGGCAGCATTTGCTAAGTTCATGTATGGTGGCAGCATATGCTAAGTGCAAGTGGTAACTATTCAGTTGAACATAAATGATGAACATAAAACCAGCTACAGTATTTAGGAGAGTAATAAAGACACAAAAATGGCTATTTTAGAGTTTCGAAATATATGTATTCAACATATAATATACAACACATTGTATTAAATATTGTATATTATAACACTATATTACATAAAATAAAAATATGCATGGAATAAATGACATTTGTAGATATAATAAATATATCAATTTGAAAAAATACAGCTTGATTTTGTATGTGGCTTGACCTGATCATTGCAGCTAGAATAAGTTAGTCCATACTACGCTATATCATATCAAGTCATTGAGAAATATGAGAACTTGAAGCTTTTTACTGTATCAATCTTGCCAACCATTCAGGGATTAATTTGAAATGGATGTTTGTATAACCCTTAAGATAAGGTCTTTTCATAAGGAGGAGGTCTGCTTCCCACCCTTCGCCCCCACCTTTCAATGTTCAGTTGGGTATTCTACTATTTTTAAATGTTCCGTTTTTGCATCAAGATATTTTAAAAAGTCCTCATTTATATCTAATTGTAATGTCACTTCCTTGAACACCTCACTCTTGGATACCTGCAAAACAAGCAATTACATGATCAGCAAAGGGGGGTCTCCCGAAAGGTGCACACAAGCAATAACTCATCTTCCTCATCATAGTTCATGCTGAAGGTATAGAACACCAAACATCAAAGGTCGAACACTGTCCACAAAAAAGGTAGAGACCACAACAATATGTCACAATTTATTGTGGTGACACAAGAGGAGAGTTAGAATATCTTTTTGTGATCAAATTTCTAAAACATTAAGGTATGAATTAAATATTCTACATCTCTGATATTAATGGTGACCCTAAAGAATACTGTCAAATAGTTTCTAAACTATACATGGTATCAATTTCATTTCTAATGCACTTTTAACTTCAATCTGGTGTGAAAATGAATACAAAAATATATAAGTATATTTTTCATGATGCATTGTACCATAGATAGTGAAAACTCCTAATTCATCATCTGTATGAATGTTTGGACAAATCCCCTTAAAACATGGATCTCAAATTATGGCCTTCAGTAGCCATCAATATGGATTACTAGTTTGACATCAACCTGTACATTCACAAAGAAGTGGAAATACATGTACCTCTGAGAAGCCGAGTTTGGTGAACATGTTCAAGCTTATGTTGTTGTCAAAGCCTATCTTAACAGTATACACAGAAACATTCAGCTCATCAATACCTGCAAAATAAACAAAATGAATCACTGTATGTTAACATCACTTCATGGAAATCTGAAATACAAGGTGTAAAATAGAAATGTAACAGGATTCAAATGATTTTAATGAGAAAAAAATACATTGGGACTTGTAAATGAGAAAAAAATACATTGGGACTTGTAAATGAGAAAAAAATACATTGGGACTTGTATGGGGATTATTATTTGCCATGACAAAAAAAGGATGGGAAAAATTCAATAGGGAACTTCCAACCTTACATTTATATTTTTAACTTTCCTGGACAATCAAAAAGTTTGAAACAATTATATTTAGATTTAACCCTTTCACGACGATAGGCTCCATAAAGAGCCCTATTGCGTCATACCTTCAAGTCGATAGGCTCCTTTTGGCACCACTATTTTTTATTTACATACATTAATGAAATAGCAATATATCCAGTTCTACTCAGTATTTTTATACCAATTTCTAATTTTTACCTAAAAATCACTCTTACTTATCCGTCATCAGGCTAACCAACATTTCCTATTATATTCACGTGAGAATAGCGTTTAAGAAGAATCCAAAGAGATTTCATGTGTGTATCCAACCCTCATGACCCTTTGAAAACGTGTTATAGTTTTACAATATTCGTTTTTTCTATTTTCTCATTTAAGGTACAATGGTTTTTAATCATTTCATGAAAATGCCTACATTATTTAGGTTACTTCACATTAACAGCATTAACATGACAAAATATCACTATCTACTGTATCTACAGGGTGGGCCAGCAGAAAAACGTCCATGTTTTTGTTTTGCTACAACATTTTTAATATTACAGACAAATGTTTAAATCATGTATCATTGGAAAGACAATTCAATTTCTAACAAAACGATATATAATTTTTTGTTTTAAAATAACGTTTTGATTACCACAGGGGTCAAAATCATGATTTACAAATTGCTGAATATGGAATGCTTAAAGCTGACCAGACAGATATAACCCCTATGTCAGCTTTGGGCATATAAGTCTAATTATAGAAGGTCAAAATTGTTGATTTATGTATTAGATGAAAGCAAATTAATTTACAAATACAATATTATCGAGTTCTTTTACCATTTTGATAGGTATTTGTAATATTATAGCCTAAATAAGGTGGAGAAATCTGCATCAAATAGTTAATATTTACTCATTTCAAGACATTTTGGAGATAATGCCTATTATAGGCTAAAATTATCATGAAATGATCAATAGTGATGTTGTACTTGTATAACTTAATTTAACTGGCATTCTGAATGGCAGAAAATGCAATAATAGACACCAGAAGAGGAAATTATGGAAATGTATTCCATATAATGGGTTATGGCAAAATTTCAACTGAGTTTCTTTGCAAAACATGATTGAAGCAAATATCAATTTATCTAACAATCTTACTTTATAACAAACTACAATGCATAAAAATAGGTTCCATGATTATTCTAGAGTTATGCAATGATTTACAAACAATAAAAAACTCAACTCCAACACCTTTTCTTCATATTTAAAAGCCTAAAAGTGTTGATTAACTGATTAAGCAATACAATATTATGTATTAAGCTCAAAACATTTAGCGAAATGTTGTTTTTGACTGTTACTTCCCCATGATACAGAATTGACCATGGAGTCACCAATAGCCATTCATATATTATGCATCATACATCATTTTGTTGGAAATTGAATTATCTTTCAAATGATATATAATTTATGGATATTTCCAACATACCAGCAAAGATATTACAAAAATAAAAATATGGATGTTTTATTGACCCACCCTGTAGTAAATGGTACCAATGTTTAACTCTGAATGCTGATCGTGTAAAAATAGACTAAAATGATTGAATAAAATTTTTAATATGAACTGGAGAGATTTTGACATTGATCATCCCACAAAACTCAGACTGATGCCTTAAAGGCAGAGGATCTCTGTTCAATGAGAAATCTTCAAGATGGCCCTTATATTCAAAATGCCATTTTTCACAAAAAACATGTTGTTGCATGTTCTAGCATTTGTATATCCATGTATGTACATGCTGTTTGCTTACGTCATTGCTTTGGTGGCTATAATGCATGTGTGTCTAAAATTACTTCAGTTCTTTGCCATGCCTCTGAGTGTTAACAGCTCAGATGCATGGTTAAGATTTCATCAATATCATCAATAAATACAGTATATAGAAATTTCAAAAACTAAATTTCAAAATTCTCCCTTTCACAATTCGCTCTTGAATCAGAGCGTTCGCAAATATGTACTGAAAAAGCAGTCAAAAAGCAAGGACAAAATTTGATTGGTCAATATTTTCCCACTATGCATTTCCCGAAGCCATTTGCGTGACCCAAAAGTTCTAAATCAAACTAATTACACAATTTTGTTTTTACACCCGCATGCTAAATAAAATAAAACAATGACTGAATACTTTTATTCAGTTGTTGCATCGATGTTGCAGTTTGTAGTGCGGTAAGATTGGCATGAAAGTATTGAAAGTCGAATGGAATTGTTTTTTCCAATATGGCGACTATAGTCAACTGATCACGTGACCTTCTCTTCTGGAATATTTTGTCACTTTTCAATCATAGTTTTCACCATGCTATGAACCAATACAATGAAAAAAAAAATAGCTGTTATATTAAGATTAATAAGAGATCAATCGTTTCTAATAATATTTTCTGTGCTCTTGTACGGGAATATGAACGAATATATCATTTGAAAAATAGGTGTGAAAATCCCCACGTTAAACCTGTGAGGGAAAACAAGGTAGTATAAATTTGTTCCTCCGCAAACTGCATCATGGGAAATATTTTGACCTTATTACAAAAATAGGAAGGCCACATCATAGCGTGGGCCATATGCTATGAAGAAAACTGATCTGCCACTTTTTGTGAAAAGATCACGGAGAACAACAATGAACAAACTAAATGGTTGTTTTGTTCTGGTTAGGTAACAAGTTAATGACGTCATAAATTGATATGTACAGTGATTTGTGACGTTAAGATTATTTGTTTGTTTAAAGTTGCTCGCTGGGGTATATATGTGACTGACGTCAAAGTTTACATGTATGTGATAAATCATATCTTCAAATCCCAATCACAGTCATTTGACGACTTGGCAGTTGCCTTAATTATTGGCCATATAAGCTAATAAAAGCAAGACAGATTTGGTTCAAATTTTATATGCTGATTCAAGATAGTCATTAAATTTTAATTACTCATTAGAAGATTGACTGGACAGATGAATGGACAGTCTTTACAGCTTCTCTATCATCCTACTTCATTTTCAGAAATATTTAAATAAGATCTTACATGAGCATTCTCTGAATTGTTAAATCTAGCGAAAATCATTAAATCATTTGGATTTTGTGAGATTTGAAGAAGCAAATTAATATACATACCATATTTCATCATTGCCAACAAAGCCTCCTTCCCTAAACCTTTTTTTCTGTATCTCTTTTCTGGAGAAAAGAAAAGGAGAATTTCAATTTATTGTTATAATGTAATTAAAGTAGCATAAAGTTAGGGTTTCAATATTGTAGACAAACATGGATTTTCTTGAATGTTCAGCAGGTTATAGAAAATGAGTGTTGCATGATGCGGTTTGTGACAATCTTACCTGCTATCATGATTTCTAGCTCTGCAGAGGATTTTTCATCTGGGTCATTGAAGAAGATATTGACATCTCCAGCCATTGCCTCTGAAATATTATGATACAGGTACACTGTAATGTGGCTGATTCTTATTATGGGTCATTGAAGAACATACTGACATCTCCAGCCATTGCCTCTGAAATATTATGATACAGGTACACTGTAATGTGGCTGATTCTTATTATGGGTCATTGAAGAACATACTGACATCTCCAGCCATTGCCTCTGAAATATTATGATACAGGTACACTGTAATGTGGCTGATTCTTATTATGGGTCATTGAAGAACATATTGACATCTCCAGCCATTGCCTCTGAAATATTATGATACATGTACATTGTGATGTGGCTGCTTGTTATTATGGGTCATTGAAGACCATATTGACATCTCCAGCCATTGCCTCTGAAATATTATGATACAGGTACACTGTAATGTGGCTGATTCTTATTATGGGTCATTGAAGAACATATTGACATCTCCAGCCATTGCCTCTGAAATATTATGATACAGGTACACTGTAATGTGGCTGCTTCTTATTATGGGTCATTGAAGAACATATTGACATCTCCAGCCATTGCCTCTGAAATATTATGATACAGGTACAGTGTGATGTGATTGCTTTCTATTATGGGTCATTGAAGAACATATTGACATCTCCAGCCATTGCCTCTGAAATATTATGATACAGGTACAGTGTGATGTGATTGCTTTCTATTATGGGTCATTGAAGAACATATTGACATCTCCAGCCATTGCCTCTGAAATATTATGATACAGGTAAAGTGTGATGTGGCTGCTTCTTATTATGGGTCATTGAAGAACATATTGACATCTCCAGCCATTGCCTCTGAAATATTATGATACATGTACACTGTAATGTGGCTGCTTCTTATTATGGGTCATTAAAGAACATATTGACATCTCCAGCCATTGCCTCTGAAATATTATGATACAGGTACACTGTGATGTGGCTGCTTTCTATTATGGGTCATTATCCCAACCCAACGAACGAAGTTCGGTAGGGATATAGTGAAGCCCTCCGTCCGTCCGTCCGTCAGTCCGTCCGTCTGTCCGTCCGGAAGATAACTCAAATATTAGTTGACGGATTTTCTTCATATTTGGTGGAAAGATGTATATTGATGAATAGTTTTACGCAAAAAAATTTTTTTTCAAGATGGCCGCCGCTTTAAAAATGACGGGACTTTTTCGCAAAAATCATAAATTTTTCATTCTAAACCAAAGTAATTAATATTATTGTTTGAAATTTTGGTAGTATATTCGCAACATCTATCTATTTCACATATATTCCGTGTTTTTATCCTGACCCCCAGGGGCCGTGTATGGGGGGTCAGAGAAACAGAAATTTTCGCTAATTTTTAGATCTTTCTGAAGTATAGCTTTATTATACTCAAATGAAAGGCAATTAAGAGTAGATTGCAAATATTGTATCTTTTTTCTGATTCGAGCCTCGTAAAATTCAAAATGGCCGTCTAATGTACAATTTCGCAATAATTTTCGATCCCTTCAAAGTATGGCTATATAATACTCAAATTAAAGGAATTTTGGAGTAGATCACAATTATGGTAATATTTTTCAGATTTGTACCTCAGAAAATTCAAAATGGATTTTTGCAAGATGGCCACTGCTTTAAAAATGACGGGACTCTTTCGCAAAAATCATAAATTTTTCATTCTAAACCAAAGTAATTAATATTATTGTTTGAAATTTTGGTAGTATATTCGCAACATCTATCTATTTCACATATATTCAGTGTTTTTCATCCTGACCCCCAGGGACCGTGTGTGGGGGGTCAGGAAAACAGAAATCTTCGCTAATTTTTAGATCTTTCTGAAGTATAGCTTTATTATACTCAAATGAAATGCAATTAAGAGTAGATTGCAAATATTGTATCTTATTCTGATTCCAGCCTCGTAAAATTCAAAATGGCCGTCTAATGTACGATTTCGCAATAATTTTTTGATCCCTTCAACGTATGGCTATATAATGCTCAAATTGAAGGAATTTTGGAGTAGATCACAATTATGGTATTATTTTTCAGATTTGTACCTCAGAAAAATTCAAAATGGCTGCTTTGCAGGAATTCGCAATTCTAAAATCTAAGTTTTTCAATTTTAACCAAAGTAATGAGTATAATTGATTGGAATTCGGTAATTTGTTCGTTGGGATTTGCTACTCCGCGGAGTTGCCATTATCTAGTTGAAGAACATATTGACATCTCCAGCCATTGCCTCTGAAATATTATGATACAGGTACACTGTAATGTGGCTGCTTCTTATTATGGGTCATTGAAGAACATATTGACATCTCCAGCCATTGCCTCTGAAATATTATGATACAGGTACACTGTAATGTGGCTGATTCTTATTATGGGTCATTGAAGAACATGTTGACATCTCCAGCCATTGCCTCTGAAATATTATGATACAGGTACACTGTAATGTGGCTGCTTCTTATTATGGGTCATTGAAGAACATATTGACATCTCCAGCCATTGCCTCTGAAATATTATGATACAGGTACAGTGTGATGTGATTGCTTTCTATTATGGGTCATTGAAGAACATATTGACATCTCCAGCCATTGCCTCTGAAATATTATGATACAGGTACAGTGTGATGTGGTTGCTTTCTATTATGGGTCATTGAAGAACATATTGACATCTCCAGCCATTGCCTCTGAAATATTATGATACAGGTAAAGTGTGATGTGGCTGCTTCTTATTATGGGTCATTGAAGACCATATTGACATCTCCAGCCATTGCCTCTGAAATATTATGATACAGGTAAAGTGTGATGTGGCTGCTTCTTATTATGGGTCATTGAAGAACATATTGACATCTCCAGCCATTGCCTCTGAAATATTATGATACAGGTAAAGTGTGATGTGGCTGCTTCTTATTATGGGTCATTGAAGAACATATTGACATCTCCAGCCATTGCCTCTGAAATATTATGATACAGGTACACTGTGATGTGGCTGCTTCTTATTATGGGTCATTGAAGACCATATTGACATCTCCAGCCATTGCCTCTGAAATATTATGATACAGGTACAGTGTGATGTGATTGCTTTCTATTATGGGTCATTGAAGAACATATTGACATCTCCAGCCATTGCCTCTGAAATATTATGATACAGGTAAAGTGTGATGTGGCTGCTTCTTATTATGGGTCATTGAAGAACATATTGACATCTCCAGCCATTGCCTCTGAAATATTATGATACATGTACACTGTAATGTGGCTGCTTCTTATTATGGGTCATTAAAGAACATATTGACATCTCCAGCCATTGCCTCTGAAATATTATGATACAGGTACACTGTGATGTGGCTGCTTTCTATTATGGGTCATTGAAGAACATATTGACATCTCCAGCCATTGCCTCTGAAATATTATGATACATGTACACTGTAATGTGGCTGCTTCTTATTATGGGTCATTAAAGAACATATTGACATCTCCAGCCATTGCCTCTGAAATATTAGGATACAGGTACACTGTAATGTGGCTGCTTCCTATTATGGGTCATTGAAGAACATATTGACATCTCCAGCCATTGCCTCTGAAATATTATGATACAGGTACAGTGTGATGTGGTTGCTTCCTATTATGGGTCATTGAAGAACATATTGACATCTCCAGCCATTGCCTCTGAAATATTATGGTACATGTACACTGTAATGTGGCTGCTTCTTATAATGGGTCATTGAAGAACATATTGACATCTCCAGCCATTGCCTCTGAAATATTATGATACAGGTACATTGTGATGTGGCTGCTTCTTATTATGGGTCATTGAAGAACATACTGACATCTCCAGCCATTGCCTCTGAAATATTATGATACAGGTACATTGTGATGTGGCTGCTTCCTATTATGGGTCATTGAAGAACATATTGACATCTTCAGCCATTGCGTCTGAAATATTATGATACATGTATATTGTGATGTGGCTGCTTCATATTATGGGTCATTGAAGAACATACTGACATCTCCAGCAATTGCCTCTGAAATATTAGTATACAGGTAAAGTGTGATGTGGCTGCTTCTTATTATGGGTCATTGAAGAACATATTGACATCTCCAGCCATTGCCTCTGAAATATTATGATACATGTACACTGTAATGTGGCTGCTTCTTATTTAGTGTAATATGACACAAAGGCTTGAGTGTATAATCTTCATTTTAATATACTTGATATACCTAGTATAGAGCTTCAAATATCTTTTTTAGGTAAAAGTGGAACATGACTTCCCTGAAGGCTTCAATATAGCATTGAAATGTATGGAAAGCTTGAGAAACGGTTGAAGGCATGATAGTGAAACACATGTTATAAATGTTTGGGAACTCATGTTCACTGTATTTGGATTTTAACACCACCACATCCAATATTTTCATAATGATGTAAGGAAAAGGAATGCAAAATATAAGATTAGACCCCCAGGGTTAGACCTTATGTATTTGAGTCTCGTATAGACGTATACCATCAATTGCACATCTTTTACATGTCACATTCACAAAACCTAGTTTAACCAATCATTCAAATTTCACATTCTGCTGTCTCAATTTTAACTCCAGATTTAGCATTTCAGAGGTTCAACAATGTTACCTTCTTCAATTGAAGCCTCGTCATGTATCACATTGTAGTCCTCTTTGGATAGGATTATAAACGTACATTCTGTAATAAAATAAAATAAATACCTGTACACAAACAACTTTATAAACCAGGGTGTAGCAATTCTAATCAAAAATTGTGAAACATGGAAAGAGTGAATCTAAGTTAAGTAATAATAAATACATAATTTTACCTTATGAAACTCATCTTTGAACAGAACATAAGACCCACAATGTAACATAGTTTTGAAGTTTGACTAGAATAATTCTTGGACAATTCTAGATAGCCAAATCAAGTGATCACTATACTAGAGCTATTATGAAACAAGAGGGTACTGGGTTTTGAGATTTGATTGATATTTTACTATCATGAGGACTTCACTTGAAAGAAAACATATTGTTTTAATAAAGAACACTTTATAGGGCATATAAAAAAAATGCAACAAGCAGTTATCTCGTAAAATCACAAAACTTGTAATGACTACATCAATTTCATTTAATTTACCATGAAGCCACATCCCTCCTCTTTGCAATGATATGTCATTCATTCACATGTGGTCATGGTTGGGTGAGAAATCCTTCCATTTGCACAGTGTGTCAAAATCGTCTCTGGATCAACCAAGTTTCAGATATTGCAAAAATCAGTGCAAGGGCTAAGTGCCATTGGAAGTGCTCCTGACTTGAATTGTTGTGACCTCTTAATTTGGAGCTATCTCGAGAGCATCTATGCTCACCATTCCTCCACCAGATATTGCAAAATTTGGAGAAAGAATTGCCAATGGGCTGCTTGTCTCCGCTTTAACCAACATTTGACTCAGGGCTGAACCATGCATGACATGGAGAGATTAGCGCATCTTTATGTGCAAAGAAGTGGTGGCAATTTGGAGGAGTATACGATGTATTCTTGTAAGAGTATGAGTTGAACACTTTTGTCTATGTCACACCTGCCACACCTTCTTCAAATTACTCAGATGCGAGTAGGTAGTTACCAGTTTGCCACCAGGTGGCTGATTCGGGGGAAATAACATGGCAGGGTATCAGTTTTAGTGGTTCACTTTTCATATTACCCTTATGTATGTGATAGTTATACAAATTTAAATATGTCCAGTAAGAGAAAATATTATCTGCCCAACACAAGAAAAGATATTTCACTTTTTGTGGTTTTACAACATGGGGTCTATGGGGAATCTATGGGGAATAAATTTTCATAGTTGATAAACTCTTTGCAAAACCAAATTTCTAGATGTAATTTTACATTTAGATTCCAAATATGACATCAGTTTGACTGAATTGTGAATTTTTAATGACGTAAATCAAGATCATTTCTACTTGCATCTAGGCTATTGCAGGCCTGTCAACTGTCCCGCAATTTGCGTATTTGTCACACATTTGCTGAAGAATTTGAAGTCACGCTAGTTATTTTTGCGTGACAGAAAATGTCACGCAAATACACATTTTACCTGGTAATTGTCAAGCAAAAATATTTCTGTAGAAAAATTTCTAAAAAAGTTCGTCTACACAGCGTCAGATTTGCACCAAGGTGTCCACATTCTGAGGGGAGGTGTTCAACATTTCCAAGTCACTCATGTTAGGTGTTCCCAAGTTGACAGGCCTGCTATTGCCCTTATGCCCTATGCACTGACTTTTGCAATGTTTAAATCTTGGGTCCGGGTTGAATTTTACCCCATTTTGCGAATTTAATGATTATCCGGCCTGCCATGACTCTCTGTGAATGAATGACATTCCATTGCAAAGAGGAGTAATTTGGCTTTTTGGTACATTGAATGAAATTGATGTAGTCATCATGGGTTTCATGTTTTCTTCCAATATTGCTTTGGGCCCTGTAGACTGACTTTCGCGATGTTTATAAATTTGTCCCAAGCTAACTTTGGCCCACTTTTCAAAAGGAATGATTACTCACCCAACCATGACCCAATATCAATGAATGATATACCATTGGAAAGAGGAGATACATGGCTTTATGGTACATTGAATGAAATCAATGCTGTTATCACTGATTTTGTGCTTTTCCAAAATAACAATCTGTTGCGTTTTTTTTATACGCACTGTATTTATGGCCAGAAAGTCCTCATGGAGAAAGAATATGACCATTTAAAATCACTTGCCATACTGCACATGGATCTTTGGTCAAAATTGTGTAAATTGAGTCCATTTGAGCGATATAGCGAAATCCTACTAAGAACACTGAAATCAGCGGTTATTAAAATGAGATTTAACCTCTCTACTCACTGTCAGCGTCCTCAGCCCAGGCTTGTTGCATGGAATATTCTTCCTCAAGAGTGAGTGGCTCAGATGCAGTCAACTTCTGTAATTCTTCACTTTTCATCCAGTCATGATATCTAGAGATAAAAATGTTGCATTACAATGGTTCTGATACTCATGTTAATGATGTTAATCTGTTAACAGATAACAAAATTTCGAGTAAAACTTTTGTTGATACTGAGACTAACATAAGCCTTCCAGAAAGAAACTGGTAAAGTACATCGTAAGTGCCCCTCCCACATGCACATATACCACAGGAACTTGTATTGCTATCTAAAGCCTCTTCCTGGAAAATGGTTTGTCTAAACTGTACCCTGTTCATGATCATCTCTCTAGGGAGAGTACTTGTCAGGTTACAGCCATCGTAGGTAGATATCAGCTGTTTACCACTCCTTATCTAGTTACCTTGATGATACGTCAAAGAAACAACATGCACGACTTTCCAGTCTAAGAGCTTTTGAATTCTTGATTCAAACCTACTGAAAGGTTATGCCTATTTTTCTGTCCTAATACATTGTATTTATGTTTCACCAGCGGTCACATTTTAAATAGTTCAATATTAACATCAATATAATAGTGATAGTATCAATGTTAATGGGCCAGGTCAATATTTCAATGTCCGTCAAAAAAGGTAATTAATCTAGTTAGATCTTAATGAAAGTCAAAAAGCTGATTCATGAAAGTCAGAATGTTGATTTGCAATGTACAACCCCAGCATATAATATCTGTTGAGTATATTTAATGATCATACCATGGCACGGCACGGTATCCAAACTGTGTGCATACTATGCATGCAGTTTGAAACACTGACAAACTGGGCGTATATTTAAAAATGGCAGATGGGAGGAGACGACTCCCTTAAGGATGAAAAGCACTGGAAATAAAAGGTTAGTTTTGTACAGTACCATTATATGGAGACTTACTTACTTTACAAGTAGCACTCAATTTTTTTCCCGATGTAAACCTAGTTATCTCAATCTTAGGTTCCTAAGGAGCTTTCGTGTTCAAATATACAGTATTGCATCATATAATGTCTGTTTGTCTCATGATCATCTGATTTAATACAAAATATTTTGTATTGTACGTGAGAACTGGGTTGAGATTTATCTATGAAACAAAACCCAAGTATTTTCTATTTCTGCGGGAAAAGTGTACGTGACATCAACTTATGTGTCGGTAATCAAAAAACAGATGGAATTTTTTTTATTAATCTGCTTGTATTTTGAAACCTGCATTCATCTGGACATAGTTTTCGCTAACACATGGTAGAATTATATAATCGCCACCGAATGGATGTATGAAACGATAAATCAATGCAGAATAAATGTCTAAAATGACGTTTGAAAACACAAACTCCAACTTGTATGATGCAATGTTGATATGCGCCCAGTTTGTCAGTGTATCAAACTGCGTGCATACAGTGTATTATTCACGCAGTTGGGATACAGCACTGTGATGGCTGTCAAACCAGAAATAATTGATTGAGACGAAACCAAAGGAAAGTAATAATCAAAGTCCATCAGCTAATCAACTTGCACAACTAAAAACACTTAATAACATGTGCCAGGCATAAATCTGTTGAAAGCCCATGGTCTTGCAACAGGTGGGTGATTTTGTTTTGGACAATTCTACTCAGATATTTCCATAATTCTAATCTATCTATCTAATCTAACGTCTATGGCAATCTTTATATCACCTTTCATATATAAATATACTTACTTCGGTACATGCTTAGCTTTGTAAGGAATAAGTAGAATATCATTTCCAATGATACACATGTTTTGATTTTGCTTCATTTCTCTAGATGCCGCTTACTCCTGAACAAACACAAATTTCGAAGGTATTGTTTCCGGGCTGTCAGTGTCTCTGGGTCTCTGTCATATCATCGGGGTCCGGTTCTGAACAACCATATAATATCACAGAATATCCTGAATAGAGAAAACGAAAATACATTAGGGCTTTTTGAATTTGTCAATGGGTTAAGCTGCTTCACTTTGAAACCGGAAGTCGTAAGTTTCTTAGCAACCATTTTCAATTTTTCTGGACTTGCAGCAGTAAATGAGTGCTTTTTATTAGTTAGAATACATTTTAGACAATTGTATCGTTACTAAAGATTGCCATGACAGGGGAGAGCGAAGCAGTGAATATGCAGGCACCTCAAATATTTGTAGAGCGGACTTTGGCGATTATAAAGCCCGATGCTGTACACAAATCTGAAGAAATTGAAGACATAATTTTGAGATCTGGATTTACTGTTATTCAAGTAAGCAAATGAAATTCATGACATGGTTACAGAATTACTATAAGCATGTCTTCAAATACCAATACGTTTTTATGAACATATATGACATCCAAAAGGAGTCACCTCACCTTACTTCGGTCCAAAGCCTTCTCTATATTCCGGCTTTGAGTAGAAAGATTGAGCTGTCTTGGTATTGTAAATATTGTAAATTATTGTGTCACACGCACAGTAAATACGACATAATAATATGAAATATACCTCTATGTATAGATTTGATAAACATCAGCACACATCTCCGTCTGAATCTGTTGTTTTATTTGATTTCTTTAAGCGAGAATAATTTCTTCCATTTATTCACGTCCTGAACCGCAAGCCATTTTTTAGCTACAGCGAGAAAATTTCACCATGTGTCAAACTCCGAAAAGAAATTTTGAAATATCTAAATCCAGACAAGCAACGCTTCATCCTAAATATAATTAATATTCTTAAACATGTTAAAAATATTTATAAAATTTATTAAAAATGATTTCTAGGTGCATGTAGCAATTTTTACATACGAAATATGAGTATATACGAAATCAATGAAGTTACATCTAGCTGTAAGCTAGAGACTCGAGTAAACCTCACCGATTACAATCTGATACAAAGATTGAAGATGGATATTAGGCCTAGCGCTTGCGGCATGCGCTTATGTTAGGCTATTTGTGTACATAAGGGTAAACCGATGCTAAATAAATATTATCTTTATATATCTATATAAGAAAATTCTTGATATTCCTAAAAATCTCAAAATACTCATGAATTTATTGAGGTATGTATTTTTATCTGTTGTACAATATACAGGTATGTTCCAAATTCTCCCTTGTTGTAATTACATGTACATGTATATATACAGATAAAGTAATGTAGCGCTCGCAGGGCTATAGTTTTGGACCCTGAAGTCAAACTGGAGATGGATGTTTAGACAATTAAACAATGAAACTTTATTTCAGTAAGTCACAAAAGAAAGATATAAATTATGTATTTTTGTTTTACACATTGTACATTGTTTCAGAAAAGAAGAGTCCACTTAACTCCAGAACAAGCAAGTGACTTCTATGCTGAACATTATGGAAAGATGTTTTTTCCTAGTCTAGTGGCATATATGAGTAGTGGACCAATATTAGCAATGTGTCTGGCTAGAGAAAAGGCAATTGCATATTGGAGGGAACTTATTGGACCAACGAATACACTAAAGGCAAAAGAAACACATCCAGATTGGTAAGGCTATTTTTGGGTAATAGCTGAGGCCGGGATACAGTTATAAAATGCACTGAAATAAAAATAAATTGAGTTCCTCAATGCTGACAATAGAACTAGATAACTAAAGCAAACCTCTATCAATTTTATCACTCAACTTGAGAGACGTCATTTTGGATTTTTATTTTACTTCTTAAAGTGACATGGCGATTATAGAGGATAAAAAATGGTTGAAAATAACATTTTTCTGGCTATAGACATGACTGCCTGGTCTAAAACCTTCTTTGGTGTATCTATTTTCGAAATATGCATGAATGGCCATTCAAATTTGATGTTTGAACCTTTAAAAAGCCATGTTTAACAAAAATAATATAACTTACGTTTGAAAACATACTTCCTGTTGTATATCTTAAAGTTTTATCGATCATAAAAATATGTTATTTATTTGCCTGATATCTGCTAAGATCTAGTATGTATATTTGAGTTGAACATTAAATCAAAATATAGGTCTTTCAGTCTAAGTATTGGATGTCATTTGGTCTTGTCCTGGGATGTAATTGAACTGCCTCTATATCTTAGAATTCCTTTAAGGTTTTTTACTTTTGCAGTTTGCGTGCTATTTATGGCACAGATGACCAAAGAAATGCTTTACATGGCAGCGATGGTTATAGTGCAGCTGAGAGAGAAATTCGCTTCTTTTTTCCAGATAGTAAGTATACTTTTCTTGTTGACGGTTTTTAGTGAACCAAAATATCAAATGATTTTAGAGGGATATCATTTTATCAATGAGTGATTACTGAAGATGGGTGATATCCCCTCTTGGATATAAAATAATAACTCGAAAAAGTCAAGTGTATATCATATTTAACTTGGGATTTCAAAATTTCTATGTGTTAACTTACTTAAAAAAGCCTATCTATAAGTTCAGAACAAAATCAATTATTTTATAAACAAAAAATCAAATATTGACTCAAACTGAACAGGAGTTAAACTAATAAGCTATTCATGGTTGGAACTTTATGTTAACAGTAAGGGGAGGCATCAAAAGTTCGATGTCATATAGAAAACTAAATAAATCTAGTCAGGGGGGAGGGGGTTCAAACCCATTTCAGTTTGCTATCCGACAAATTTCAACATTTCAAATTTTTTGTAATTTCTACTCAGAATGCCTTGAAATGGTTTAAAAATGAAGATTTTACCTGATGCTTTCTTCGTCAAGATCATTCCAATGGATTCTATTTTTCTATCTATTCTTAACAAAAACGAGATCGTGTTTAGCAATATTTTTTCAAATTCTCGAACCAGAAGTCAGCGATCAACTTTCATGGTATTTTGTCAGAGTCAAAACTAGATTTATTTAGTTACCGATCCGACATCAAACTTTTGATGCCTCCCCTAAATCAGGCGAAGATGTTGTATGTCAAACCATTTTAAGCACTTAATTCAAGATTGGAATGAATATGTTGTTATCCCCATATGAACTTGGTATTTATATAATAAAATGATTGCTATGTTGATATTAGTAGGATCTTTGTAGATGATTGTTATCATATGAGTATTTTCAGTAATGCCATTACCAAGGCTGTAGAATGTATGATGGTGTTTTTCAGGTGTAGTAGAGCCTATACCAGTAGGCCAGGCAGCCAGGGACTACCTTGCTAAATCTGTAAATCCAACACTACTAAAGGGACTAACAACTTTGTGTAAGGAAAAGCCAAGAGACCCAGTGGTATGTATATTTTGGCTGGACATTACTCATAGTAGAGTAAAAAGACTTGATATTTTCACTGGATTGTAACTGTATACAAATACAAAATGAATGTGGAGGTACCAACTCCATTAATTAGGATTTAGACATGGCTAAGCAAGGTGTGTCTGATTCCAGTCAATCTGAACACAGTATTTCAACTGCAGTGCGTTATATCACCAATCACCACATTCAAAATCACTTGTTACAAGTTGTCAATGTGACAAGTTGACTCTCGAGATTGAAATTGATACCTTGCCAACTTGACCCTTGCAAAATGTTTCATTGAAAATATGTTCTTATAGTGATTTTATATCTTTTAGGTGATTTTGTAGAAAATATTTTGCAATGTATGAAAAGAATTGAAGACTTCAATGCATTGTAGCTGCTTCATTCCACCCAGGGGTTGTTTCCTAAATGTTGCATTCCCGCTGCACTGTCATGCAGATTTGGAAACAAAACCTTTAATGGAATGATTCAGCACACATTGCACTGAGTACAGGGCTTAAATCCTTAAGTATAGCCCTAATCTCAATGCTTTGTTTGTAAAATATGCAATATGTATGCATACATACTAGGACAAATATCAGAAAACTGCTGAACTATCAGTTTGAGTTGCATTCTGGGAAATCCTTCCAGGGACAGATAACCATTCCCTCTATTGGTGAAACGAGGCACCACTTTTTATCCACCTTTTGAATTCAATTGTGTTCATCTGATATTGAATCTAACCTTTAATTGCAGGTGTTTTTAGCAGACTGGCTACTTGAAAACAACCCCAACAAGCCTCAGGTTGGAGGCAAAGGTCCAATAGTGGAAGAACCTATCTGACCACAAACTCTTAAGGCATCAACATACAAGAAACTGCAGTGCATTTCATATCATTTTACTTATTGGCAATTTTGCTTCACATTTTAAGACAAATTAAAGAAAATACCAGTAGAAACAAACTTGATTTTCATGCTTTAAACCTCACTTTACTTAAATAGGAAGTGGGTACAAAATAGTACAAAATTGTTAAAATGTGAATAACATGGCCGAGACTGAAATATTTTAAGAATTTGAAAGTGTGGCTGAAGCACAAAAATAGTGCTATAGGAAATTTTATGGAAATGTGCCTAACATATTGCACAAAAAAAGGTATAGAATTACAAAGAAACAAAATACCTCAAACATTCCTGTATCAATTTTATGTCAAAGCTTAAAATAATAGTATATATTGATAGAGGTCTAGTTTTAAAAAAAATCAACAATCAACAATTTTCTGATATGTTAAAGTGTCACGACCCTCGTGTGGTAGCGTAGTTTGGGAGTCGTAATCAGAATACAGTCTAAAAATCAATAGTTTGATTCGATGTTTTCATTCACTTAGTTTCGGAACAAGTTCAAGTAAAAGTTGAAATGTGTATCCCTATCTAATTGAACAACATCCGTGTTCACAGTATCATAACAAAATGGGATCAAATTGGGATAAATTTTGCGATGAAAATTTAGGGATAAATTCTGGGATAAATTTTCCAATGAAAATGTAGGGATAAATTAGGGATAAATTCTGGGATAAAAATAATTGGGATGAAGTGGGACAATTTTGGGATAACAGTTACGGGATAATAAAATCTGAATATAGACTAAGTAAGATTTGTCAGATTTCAATGTAAGTTGTTTGTCTCATAAAAGCAAATGGCAACAGACTCCAGATTCTGAATGTACCCAGTGTTCAGTTGTATCAAATAAGTATAATGTTAGGGTGTGAGTATAACCAGGTGGAAGTCCTAGCCACTTGAGGGCTACGATGGACTTCAAGCTGTATATTAAGCTCGCTGTTCACACTTAAGAACTAAAGTAGGGCCATTTCAAATCAGAGTCTGTCAAACTCACTAGGGTGAATGAAATTCTCACTAATATTATCAATAAGAGAAGGTTTAAATAAGAAAGTAAGATCCTGGATTGTACTTTATCTGTTCACTATTGCATAGTTTCTGGGAAATACATGTATGACTTATTGCGAGTGATTGTTATTCAAAGAAGCCCTTTGCAAATATGAGCTAAGATAAAGCTTGTTGCTTGAATGTTAGTATCACTAAAGTCACCTGGAATTTAGTCGGAATCTATTTTGAATCAAGAATCTACTTCAGGTAAAATGAAAGGGGAATTTTCTAACATATATATAAATAATCGAACACAACAAGTGATATTCTGTGGATTTTCATATAATGTATAAAAACGACTCTATTTCTATTTACTAATCTACAGAAACATTACACAATTCAGTACTGCCGAAATGGTATATCAAGTAAATAATCTCTCAAACCAAACATGCATAAAACAGCACAGCTAATGGAAGTTCAGTTAAACAATTTGCAACAAAGCCTAAAATGTGTCTTTTCCCAAAAATGTAACTCACCAGTGCAATTTTATATAATCCCTGGTGGGGTTGAAATCAGCTCTCTATACTACTCACATGAAAAGTGGAACATCATTTTGCCACTATCAGACTATGGTACAATTGGCAAACAAATGGGAAACAGTATTTTAAAAGTATTCTAGTATCTATAATGAATTAGAATGTGGTTAACATAGAATTAGACCAGACATGGAAAACTAGAAGGGGAGGGGGTGTCTTAAGTCCGAAAATGGGGTTCGAATGACCATGACCCTTAAAAGTACTTCAATGATCAGTTGTTTGATAATGGTCCCATAAGCCCGGGATTTCACCTTTAAATTACCCAGAATTTAAATATAGAAAGGAGTATTTCTAGTGTATCAATAAAATTTACCCTGTGAACAAACTAAATACAGTCCCAAACTGGATGGGGGGGGGGGAATGTCGTATAGAGGTGTCTATGAACCCCTGGAATTTGCAGTTGACTGGTTTAGAGCAAGTTACATAAGGTTCGTAAAGACCGTAACTTTTCGTACACCTTGTCAAATATTCCTAAACGATCGTCGATTCCCTGTGGGAATGTTGTATAAGAGGTTTCAAGGAACCCTGGGAACTTGATTTCGACGCTAGTTAATAAGTTACATAGGTTCTTTAAGACAAAAACTCTGCGTGTAACCTTGTGTTAACCTTGTCAAATGTTCCTTAACAATCCCTGGGACAATTTAAACATGTGATGTTCACAAGGCAAATAAATAAAATTAAGGAAAAAGTCAAGTGTACAGATACTTCTTTTCAAAGACTAAAACTCTGCAAAAATACAATTAGATCAAGTCAATTACCTTTACCAACTCGTACACCTAAGTTGGTTTATCTGCGGCAATATAAATATCCAATTTTAATGACGATTTAATGTTTAAAATTCCACAAAATGTTTTCCATGTCTGGCCGGCTTGAATTCGAATCATAAAAGCACAGAAAAAGACAATTCACTTAAATCGTGCTTATTTACTTAAATCAAGCTTAATAAGCCTCACTTTGGATTTTGAAACAAACCCAGACAACTGCCCTTTCTAAAAAGTTTGTAACATAACATTAAACATGAAACTGGGCCTAAAACATTCACATTAAAGTCATATTATGAACAAAATGTATATGTTGACATTAATCCTGTAAATAATATTACATGAAAAACACAAGAGAAGGTTATTAACCTAAATATAAATATAGAGTAAAATGATTAAACTCCAACCATACTTTAAGAGTATAGCCAAAGTACTACCCTTTTACAGAATTTAAATTATTTCATAACTCTTTAAATATTGAGTAACTAAAAGCACAATTGATAAAGTGAAGAGCAAAAAGTTAAACAAAGTGACAATCCCTCAAGGCGATTACATAACCATGCTCAAAGTAATCTGAAGGATCGTCACAAAAGTACTGCAGTTTCAACAAGACAACCATAGAGTTAAAATATCTGCCAAGTATCTCAAAAGGAGCTATATATTGTGAGGAATGGTGTCACATAGAGAGGAGAATACAAACAACTTCATTTGACTTAAACTTCATTTCACTGAACAGATAAGAGAATGGCTCAATTTGTTGGTCCAACATGTATCTGTCTGTCTGGAGAATCTGTTTATATGAGGCATATTCATTATATGGAGCTAAAAATGCCATAAATAAATCTCTTGAAAGCATGGAATGTTGTTGATATATGCTTGGAATTAGCCATCTCAATGCCATTATAAGCAATCATGTTTTGAGCTAACCAACGAAATGATTGGTTTTGAATTTTACTAAAAATAGATTGAAATAGATTTGTTCAGCTATTGATTGATCAATCTAAGTATGTAAGATTTAAAATATTAAATCATTTTAAATAGGGTCTATCTAACAAATAGATGTCCCAGTTATCATCCAAAGAGAGATGTACAGGCAGACAGATGGCCAGACTAAGTCATTCTCTATCAGGATAATAAGTTTTTATCAGGACACAAGAGCCAATATTTACTATTTAATGTTTGTAAATGACTTATCATCATGATGTAGCTGTACATTGTATGTATTATATGTTTTATAGTAAACATAAAATGTAATAAAAATGTAAATATTTATTGATAAAGATTAAATTTTTATTCCTGTATCTTTTATACACAACTAATGTCATCCTTCAATACCATAGTTTTTCACATCTCACACTTGACTGTCTGTTTGTCAACAAGGGTGGCAGATTTTAAAACCTCTGTAGATATGATTCTTGTTTTAAGTTCACTTCTGTTCATCATAATTTCCACGGTGATCAAAGGAAGCCACATCGCTGAACTGTGACACGCTTAACTTTTCACATAAGTCTAACACCAAAATGGAGAAACACTCGGTAATGCTTTCCATATGTGTCTAGATAACTGACAAATCCAGATATTTTTATATACTTTAATATAGTGTCCATCCAATGACGAAGATAAAACTATATCCATTGTTCATATGTTGAATGGAAATTGATCAGTTGTCCCGATTTAGTTGAAACATTAGCAAAATTTTGATTTTCTCATTTAAATCTGTTCAGGTACCGGTATTTTGACTTTGTATACATTTGAAAATATTTTCAACATATCTCTGCTTATATATAGCTAAACTGAAACTGAAAGAGTGAATTCTGAAAATGATGTGATAATAGAATGTGTACATACAGAGAAAATTTAAGTTCTAAGTGCATGTTCACAGTGAACACAGTTGAGTACCATTATACTTATGGCTAGCCTAGCTTTTGACATGAAAACCAAAATGTTGCTACTGTTCCAACTAAATCTGGACAACTAAACTGGTCAATCTCAACATATGAACAATGAATTCAGAGTAATCTCTTTGTCAACGATCATTTAAAATATCTGCCAAGGTTGGACTATATTGACAGAACTTCTGCACATTTAGAGACATACTGTACTTCTGGCTCTTATATTCGTTTCATGGGATTTTTTGAAATTTGTTTAAGTGTAATTTATAAATATACAAAAATAACATTAAAATAACTAGAGGTACAGTATGACAAGATGCTAGAATTTAATGTGGTAATTGGTATGTGGTTCTGGATGAGTGCATGTTACGAGAATGTCTCTGAACTTGTCCACTAACATAAGTAGTTGAGATCTTCTCATGTTCTCATAGTACATAATCTCTTCTAGGTGATGGTATCCATTGAAGTAAGGAAATAACCTGCAAATAAATAGATAACGGAATATAGCCATTTTAATTAAATTATCATACCTAAAAGGTACAACACATAACTATTGTATTCAAGTTTTTTGGTAGCAGCATAACTGGGAAGCTTTTGATCTGTTGGTTGATCAATTTACATATTCCCATCCAATATGAACAAAATCACCAAATACATTGGGTAATTTATGATAATCAGTATGCAGCATTAGGTACACAATTCAATAGAGTAATTAGGTAATTAGACCCGTTAGCACACAACAAAAATTTTTTTTAACCTATACATTTTCAATCTGAACATTACATTTTATGTTATTGCAAATGTATAATCCCAACATTGAAAACCAATGTAAAACTCTGAATGCAGGTCATGAAAAAGTATGAGGCTATAACAATATGTCACGAATACTTGGTGGTGACATATAAAATAAAGCCTTACTTGACAAATAATCTAAGATCTTCAGTGTTCCTTGTAGCTGGGAGGTTGAGAATTTTCTCCCTTAGTGGAGGTGCTAACTTTGATAAAACTACCTCACCATTGGGCGAGAGAGGAGCTGCGGGAGCAGGGGGACTGGTTTCGGAAACTGGCTTGTACTTGTTGAACACTGAGCCCTCGTCTACAGGACTGCTACCAGCTGAAACAGGGAACACAGCTGATACATACATCGATAACATTACAAAACAAAAGTTTGATTAAAAGATACCATATATAAGGGTTATGTACTGGGAGGTTTTGGATATGGGGTTTATCCAGAGGCAGATATGCATATCTACCTGAGGGACCGTGGGGACCGAAGGTAGATGTGCATATCTCACGAGGGATGAACCCCATATCCAAACCGACCGTACATAACTGCTTTATCCTATACCAAGTAGAGTTTTCTAATTTTCTTTCAATTTTGTTTCAATTTTTTTTCTTTTTTCAATTTTTTTCACATTTTTCTCAATTTTTTCCTATTTTTTTAAATTTTTTAAAATTTTTTCACATTTTTTCTTTTTTTTAATTTTTTCTTATTTTTTCAAATTTTTTTCGAAGCGGGAAGATATGCCCTGGAGCGGGAGATATGGAGGTTCAGGATATGGAAACCTCAAAATCAGGATACGGGATATATCTTACCAACTTATCTCCCTAAAACTCTACTTGGCATAGGATAAAGTGGTGTACATTACAGAACATAATTTGCAGGAATAAGCAAACCATGTGTATTTCCTGATAAAACACAGTCGATTTTGGATACAGGGTTTATCTCTCGGAAATGTATCTCCTGAGGGACCGAGGGAGATACACACATTTCCCTTGGGATAAACCCATCAAAACCCTCCCAGTATTAACCCTTGTATACTGAACTCCAGGTATTTTTCGCGTGCGATTTAGTTTCGCGCTTTTCGCGATTGTGGTAGAATCGCAAAAATTGATCTTTGCGAAACTGTCAATTAAATCCTCGGGGATTTGTGAAATATTTTATTACATGGGCTTCCATTGCATTTCGTGTTTTGAAAAAAAAAATGCTTGTCAAGTGTTTTTAAGCAATAAATGGGATAATAAGTAACAATGTCTGTTACAGTGGCTTATTAGATCAATTAAACCAAAAAATTACTTTGTAATAGAGGTTAAGGTTAAGCATTTCTTTGTCCAAGATGACAAAGTAGTAGGTGTCTTTAGTGGAACTCGCAAAATTCAATAGCCTCGAAATCGTGTTTTCTCAAAATTTGCGAAATTACAATTCACGAAATTAACTGGGAGTACAGTAAATGGTTATAGCTACAATATCGGGAGAGAAATGGTCTGGCAAGGAATGTCTCTTTAATTAAGAATCTCTTAAATGTCATTTTAATGCATTGATTGGATGTGTCATCAGGTTGTAGTTTTAGTTTGTACCTTCCATGACTAGAGATACATCAGACGCACTCAGTGTTGTCCTGAGGATTTGTGGTAGTTCCTCTGCAGACGCTGATGTCCTGAACTGGCCTGTAGGGTGAGATAGTTTTCTTAGTGGCGGTCCACTGCTTGACTGCTTTTGTTTTCCTGTATATGAGTGATCTGAGGATGGTAACAGGAAGATGTAGGTGTGTAACTGAACCAACAGTCTATGCTGAAGCATCCAAACAACCATCTGGATCTTCTGTGCCTGGAAACATATCAGCTGATATAGACAGATATTAATAACTGTGCCTAACACCCTCATTAATATTGTATTTGTGTCTTTCTGACAAAACTTCACACCTTTATATATATATTTCATTTTCCCTTTGTCTGTTGTCCTTATGTAGATCGCCCCTAGTATTTCACTCTAAATGGTCTTACCTGCTGCTGAGGGAGACCCAGTACATCCTGGTGTTCTCCTAGGGGAGTAGGGAGGGAGAACTCAGCCAAAATCTTTGACAATGCGACCCCCTGGAACTCTTCAGCAAATTTCTCTACTAGTTCAGAGTTCCTGAAAAGATGACTCAAGGAATGGGAAAATTGCATTGCAATAAAATATCATCAAGCCTTCGTTCCAAGTTGGGATTTACCAACTTAAGGCAAGTGGCTTTTAATAATTGTAAACATAGCAATGCTTAACATATTTACAAGCTGTTTCAAAAAGTTAATTTAATTTTGACGTGACAGTATGTGCTCATAGGATATACATGAGCATTCATACTGGTGAGAGTATGTACTGGTAAGGAATGGATATATACTAGAAGTAGTAGTATTAAGCCACATCAGATACCATATATTCAAACTACATGTTATGCTGTTATGGCCCTCAAGAAAATTGACACTTGTGGAAAAGAGTTCAACAAACTTTGTTCTTACAAACCAAAATGTTCATTTTAATAGGGAAACTATCATAATTCAAGGAGATAATCTAGCAATCAAATTACAACATGAAATTGGTGATACCAAAAAATTGGGTTTGTGCTGTGAAAACCATGAAAATGCTACTGTATTAAGCCAATTTGCTTGCGGGGAATAAAGCTTTGGAACATTATGTGATGAATTACTTACTTGAATGTATTGGTGTCAGGGGACAATACATAAACATTGCTCTCGCACAAAGGGTAAATGATCATGGCTTTTGCCCAGTAAACTAAATGGCTTACTAGCTGGAACACCTGAAAGAGAAAAGTGTATGTAGTTTAAGGATAATGAAAATTACATGGCTGGAATGTCTGTAAAATACCACTATTGTATATAACCATTCCTACTGTCAAAACATTCATATCGACTACATGTACATGTATTTATCAAGCAACAGTATGCCAGGAGGCATCTGTGACAAGATATAGTCAACGGAGGGTACTGTTGAGAAATTATGGCTGTAATATTATACTAATAATTAGTAATATGTTGAGTGTACCCACATGATTTCTAATTTAAAGTGTATGTGATCTAATTGTACATATATTAAATCTTGATTTCATGAAGCAGATTTAAACGAGGCACATTTTTCAGATATGTAAATATATCAATTGATCAACATGATTTTGTGAAAAATAAAATGTTCTTGGGAAAATCTGAGATATTTTTGGACATGAATAACATGACAGCAAATCTGACCAAATAATCTCATGTTTTTTAAACTATGTAAGGGATGTTCAGTGATAATATGAATTACTTGATACATGTAGTAGTCTAGTAGATGCACATGATGTATTTATGATCATATAGGAACATAACTGACAACCTTCACTGGTGAATGGAGACTAGCCAAAATAGAGAAAATTCAGTTGATGAACATTGGTTATTGTCATGGAGATCATAGTTGAGCAAACATTAAATCAAGAAAAGTATTCCTCAACTGTTTACCTGTTGAAGAGATATATCTGTGTCACTGGCTAATTTCTGCAGACTTTTGATAGGACTAGCCATCTTGACAAGCCTTATAAGTGCAGGACTACAGTCTGGAGGGAGGGACTCTAATAGTTTATTCTCATCAACTGTTAACAGGATACCATGATAAGGCCTGAAAAATACAAAAGATGATTATTTTTAATGATTATTCTATGCAATATATTACACAGTATGGATCCTTCGTTCAAGGACAATGCTCATTAAATAACTCAAGTGAAGTAGGTTGGTCAAATTACAAATATATTGTGTATGAGTATATGTCCAATAGACGGTCTCAATACATTTTGATCATTTTGAATTTGCATTTCATTAGGCAGCATCACCTGAACCAAAACAACACTAACATCCAATCACTCATCATTAGCTATACTACATACCTGAGGGCTATGATACATTTATTAACTGCCTCTGGCTGTATCTTCACACTATCTCCTGTACTGTTGTGTATCTTGTGTGGCAAGCAAAAGTTCACCTCTATCCAGTTGTTTATGTGCAAATGAACAATACCATTACTGCAGAGCCTGCAATAACAAAGAATTTCCTTTTTGGCAATCTAAAATTAGGTCTACACAGTCAATGCAATTTAAAACTTTCTGATATCAGCTAGCCCATTGCATGTATAAAGATTAATCATATCACTAGGGCTCTATCACAAACACTCTATCGACAAAAGAAACTCTCACCAATGGAGAAAGTAATTGCAAAATTAGAGGGTACCTCTAATGGGATATCCTAAAATGCAACTCTTATGTGAATACAAACTTCTCTAAGCTATTAGTGAAATGTTCATTTATGTAAAGTAAAGTAACATACTTGTCATATATGTGCTTGAAGTGCTTAGCTAGTGGACTCCTTTCCAGTATAAGCTTGAATGGAGATACCAAGCAATCTGAAAAATACATTTCGGAGTGAACTACCATGATACCAGTTCTTCAACATAAACTCCAAAGAGTAGCGAATCCCAAATAAACAAAAACAAATCTGCTCATTTAAAATATTCATACTCATGGAATAAACTAACTTATAATTTTTTTTATGATTCATACTGTTTAATTGGTCTTAAAAAATAAAAGATACCACAATTGATATTTGAACATTGTCAGGTGTAAATCATGTTTATTCATCTATCTCTAATACTAAATAATACCTTCTGGCATGCTAGCAAGTTCATCTTGGACAGCTACCATGATATCCTTCTCCCTGTTCAGGTAGCTACAACGTCTTTCCTCATGCCTCAGTGCTATGGCAATCTGTTTGGCCAAGTCATGGTAACTGTTGATCAGTGATGTATGCGCATTTGACTGCAAACACATACTGATTACCTCAGTAAAATTGTTCATATGAATTCATAGTATTTATATTTTATACACATTTTGTAGGCTTCAAAGAAGAGAATCATTACTTTATCCTCTAGAGATTCTGTGAATCCCTTTACATGTACTCACCTTCAGTAGAAATACAACATTGAATGAGATCATAGAAGATTGTTGCTGAGAGGAGGATGCCACTTCAAGGAGGGTAGGATGGCCAACAAGTATAACATCATCAATTTTCAACTCAAACTTTCTCCCACACAGTGTTGACTTGACAGCCAGCAAGTTGGCTAACACAGTCTCTGAATACCTGCAAAATGAACAAGGCATTAACATCCAAAATGTCACCACTTGCCATTTGTTACAGATGCCAGATGCCAACCACCAAACATTAACAACCAAACAAAGTCCAAAAAACTTGGAGACTAAAACAACATGTCACCACATGTGGAGGGGAAAAAGTTACAACAGAAATGGTACATTTTGGAGTATGATTCCCCAGCGTCATTTTCAATAGCTTTTCCTCCTAGCATTATGGGACTTCAAATAGAAGTGAAAATTACCCGCAAATGATATCCATTGCATGGAGTAAGTAATTTTCTTTGATATAATGAAACATATGAGTCAACAAAAATTGTGAAGTAGCCTGTGATAAAGCCAGAAGAAAAATTTTTGAACCATTTTATCAGTTCTGAAGTACAGTGAGCCTTTAACTTGACTCTTATATGCAGTAATCATACATTTTAAAAATGACAAAAAGTAAGCTTACCCAAATAAGTTGCCATTTGCAAGTGAAGAAGCTGGTGCTTTCCGCAAGTCATGAATGTCTTCAGATATTTGCACAGCATATGGGTTGTTGCTTTGTTGACCTTGACAAAATATTCAGTAATATGTATGTAATGATAAAAAACATTCTCTATTGGCTGGTCATGTATAAACTAGATTGATCAAATGCAAGGAACATCTAAACTTCTTTTTGTGTTGCTAGGATGGCTCACACTTCAACAGTGAATATTATATGTCATTTATCACCCTATACAGACTGTGCTATACAGAAATAAGTGGTGTGGATATCGTGTGCTTAAGGTGCAGATATCAACGGTCATTTTTGAATTTGTGATATTTCATAAATCAAGGCATGTTTGGTACTCAATTACTCAGACGTAATAACATCATACAACTACCCCCCTCCCTATACAGGCTGAAAAAGTAACAAACATTTAAATGTAGTCGACAAGATACTGTGCATGCGCAAAAATGAGCCAAATCAGTTACAATAGAACTGAATCGAATCAGTTGTAGATTCACAGGCTAGTATCGAAATATTTGTCTACTGTGACGGAGCATGCTATTTCTCATAAAAACACTAAGAATACTTCACAATTTATTTTTTAACTCATATGTTTCATTATACCAAAGAAAAATACTTACTCCGTGCAATGGATATATCATTTGCTGGTAACTTTCACTTCTGTTTGAAGTCCAATTACGCTGGGAAGAAAAGCTATTGAAAACGGCGCCGGAAAATCATACTTCAAAATGTTCCATTTCTTGTTTAACTTTCTAATGGCACGATATAGTGACACAATAATATTTACACATGGTTTCAGCATTACTATGAAGGTATAAATAAATGAGATGTTGATATATTTGGTCTTTTTAATTCTTTTTTCTAAATGAAGGACCCACGGTCCTATGCTCACACAGTTTGGAACCTTCAGAGGAATTTATATCCTGACTTTCTAACAAAAATATTGATTTGGATTTGTAGTCTCGAACTTTGACAAACTTAGATAGCATTGTTGTGTGACCTATTTGATGACCTTTGACCTTGAAAATTTTACTTATTCAGAGCTCAGTAAGGTCTTTTGTGATTAAGCTGACCATAATTTACATCCAAAAATCAATTTGAAAAATCAAGTTTTTTGACCTTTCGAAGGTCACTGAAGGTCAAGTAAAGGTCAAATCCTAAACCTAATGTCAGATTTGAACTCCTGGTAACTTGTAGATGATTTTCAAAAAAAAATTTGGTCAAATTGAAGCAAGTTGAAAAATAACTTATTTTTACTGTTTTTTGACGTCAAATATCTCAAAAACGGTAAAAATTTGATGCTGACATATATTGAGAAATATGTAGGGAATGCTTAAATCTATTAATGATGTAATTTATTGCAGGAAATGATCAAGTATAAGGCAAACTTTAAGAATCTTGTCAATCACAAAACCTGCCATTGACTTTATACATGAGAAAGTTCCCTACTTTTTTTCAAATTTTATAGAGTAAACACCAAAAACCGTAATTCCAAGAGCTTTGAAATCTTCAGAGGACATAAGTTGCATATACACCAACTACTAAAAAGGTATTTGAAAGTTCTACTTCAACAAAGTGTCTAGTATTTACAGAAAATTTGACTTTTTGACGTCAAAATCCGCAATTTCTCGGAAACCGGGCAAACTTGGGAAATGGCGATGATAGGTCAAATAGGCATTCAGTACTGTCAACCCCTAAAGATTTTCTCGCGGGACAGATTTTTTAGACCCAGTGCCCAAAATTCGCGGGATTTTGCGGGACATCTACTAAATTCGCGGGATTTCGCGGGACATTTAAGGGATTTGCGTGATTGCGCTAATAGGCCAACTTTTTTTCTCAAATTCGCGGGATTTCGCGGGACCATTCGAGGGACAAACACACTAATTGCGGGATAGTTAACAGGTTTAACGCCAAAAACTTGATAGAGGGACAGATTTTTTAGACAAAGTGCCCTAAATTTGCGGGATTTCGCGGGACATTCACCTAAATTTGCAGGATGTCCCGGGACATTCAAGGATTTGCGTCATTGGGACTAATGTAGAAGCGTGTAAAAGTACTTAAATCAAACTTCCAAATACTGATTAATCAAATACAATGCACCGTTGTATTGTAACTTAAATAAACGTCAACACAATTTCACAAAATACGTATAGGAATATTATTAAACTTTATGCTTCATGCTTCAGGTGTGAGTACCGTAATCTAACACGAAATTCAAAAATTCGGAACAATACTTTGCACTTCTGGCGTCGTGAACAACTATGAAACGCTTACCCCCATAATGTTATATATTAAAATGTACCTATTTACTGTAGGCATTTTCTTTCAATTGAAAGCCCATGATATAGGGGTTCGATTAATCTACATCAAATTATAGGGAATGGGGTTACTTTTCTAGATAGGGTTTGTAGAAAAAAATGGGTACCGGGTAGTAAATCCTCCATGCTGGGTTCAAACTTGGTACCCGGTCGAAAAAACCGGGTACCCAAAAAACGAAATATACGAATATACAACATAATTAGATCATTAGAAAACGTTTGTTTGTTTTGAATTTACAAAAATGTATGTAACTTCCTTCAAAATTGAGCTAGAAGCTTCAAATAAAAAGCATTTTAAGGCTCTTTTCGTCCTCTATCATCATGGCAGGCCTGTCAACTGTCCCGCAATTTGCGTATTTGTCACGCATTTGCTGAAGAATTTGAAGTCACGCCAGTTATTTTTGCGTGACAGAAAATATCACGCAAATACGCATTTTACCTGGTAATTGTCACGCAAAAATCTTTCTGTAGAAAATTTTCTAAAAAAGATCGTCTACACAGCAAAAATACGAACGACGGGAAAAAAACGTACGCATTTCGTTCGGAATTTTCACGCGAATTACGGATATGTCACGCATTCCGTTCGAAATTTTACGTTCAGATTTGGACCAAGGTGTCCACATTTTGAGGGGAGGTGTTCAACATTTCCAAGTCACTCATGTTAGGTGTTCCCAAGTTGACAGGCCTGTCATGGTCATATTTCCATTGGTAATGAAGGGGGGGGGGTGCGATCGCACCCCCTCCTGGCTACGCCAATGACATTGTAAGACGATTTGATAAACAAGACAAATCAATCTTACTCTATTTTCAATAGTTCGTTTGTTGGTACGTGAATTGTTTTGATTATGATTTAAATCTGTAAATAGCTATCGTTGCATTAGCAGGGAGGTGACGTGTGTTAATTAACATGATTTTGATTATTAATCATAATTTAAGTTATCCCAATTTTCGACAAAATGTCCACTGAATTGTAAATTGTTATGTCTTACAATGTCATAGGTGTAGCCAGGAGATGGTGCGATGGTGCACCCCCCCCATAACCAATGAAAATATGGCCATGACGATCGAGGAAGAAAAGAGCCTTAAATATGCTTTTTATTTGAAGCTTCTAGCTCAATTTTGAAGGATACATACATTTTTGTGAATTCAAAACAAATCTTACACGTTTTCTCATAATCTAATTATGTTATATATTCGTATTTTTCGTTTTTTGACCGGGTACCGGGTACCAAGTTTGAACCCAGCATGGAGGATTTACTATCCGGTACCCGGTTTTTCTACAAACCCTTTCTAGATATCAGCGTCCATTTATTGTAACTCGCGTTTGCTAACATTTGCTCAGTTCTGAGATGAAGGCCACACGGATAGTAAAAAGGCCAACATTAGAACTATTTTTGACCTACATCCCTATTTTCGTAATTAAAATGAAAGTTGAACCCTTCCTCTTTATTTTGATACCAAACAACAGCATGCTAGGTACTTAAAATTAGGTAAACTTTACTCCTCAAAAGTGCAAAAACTTGGCTTCTTATATAAGATAAGATAATCACAATATAGGGGATTGCAACAATTTCGGAAATTCGCGGAGGTCAAAACCACATTTGCGGGACTTCGCGGGACATTGCGGGACACGCGAATTAGCCTAATTTTGATCAAATTCGCGGGATAATCCCGCCATTCGCGGGACACTTGACAGCTCTGGGCATTATGGATATGCATAAAATGAATGTGGATAGAACTCAATCCGAATAGCAGTTTTAATTTGTGCGGCCAATGTTGACGGACGGACCAACGGACGGACGGACGGATGGACGGACGGACCAACGGACGGACGGACCAACGGACGGACGCCTGGTCAATCCCATAGGCTCACTGTGTGAGCCAAAAATAATGTTTAATGTTTTGTCTGCTGTGATGTAGCAGTTGCAAATGTAACTGTGAAAATGCTCCGTCAAAGCAGACAAAAAGTTTTTGTATCAATTTTTATAAAAAAATCAAAAATCAATGCATTAATATCTCATTAATCCATTCAGAGTTATGCTGAAAACATATTTTTATATTATCGCCATTTTCAATAGCTTTTCCTCCTAGCGTCATTGAACTTCAAACAGAAGTGAAGGTTACCCGCAAATGATATATCCATTGCATGGAGTAAGTAATTTTCTTTGATGTAACGAAAATTATGAGTTAAAAAATAAAGTGTGAAGCATTCTTAGTGTTTTTATGAAAAATAGCATGCTCCATCACAGCGGACAAATCTTTTGATACCAGCCTGTGAGATTGCCCTTACTTAATTCTTGGCTAGAAGTAATTCCATCTGGAACACCGTGAACTATTGTAAAATTTCTAGTGGGAGTTCAATAAATTTAAGTAATATAAAAACTGTCATGTTAATATTTCATGATCGAATTAAAATGGAACTGGCTGGGTTCCTTGATGAGGTATTGCATGATTTCGTCAGGATTTTTCTAAAGTTAAAACAAACGACTCCAAGAAAAATGGCGATATTCGAAAATTGGACAAAATGTTATTAACGTCTGACATTAGTAACTGGCTGTAAATTCTAAGTTAGTGATCCAGAATATTTGAACAATTACATTGATCACTTCATGTATATGTTTTGGAATTTTTGGTGGGGTAATAAGACCAAAATTCGCAATTCAAATTGTGATGTAGAAAAATGGCAAACATTTGATTTCAAATTTTATGATTACGACATAAGATAAGATAAGATAAGCACCGGCTTGTAGGCTGGTGTAGCCTTTTGCCTGTATAGGTGTGTGTATTTGTTATACACATCAAGTCATATTTGGCATATGTACCCTTAAGGCTTATGCTCCCTGTCTAATTTCAGTGGGTGGTTGTACCAATGGTCATCCAACTTGTTCTTGAACTGGTCAACACTTCTTGCTTGAATAACATATTCAGGCAGTTTGTTCCAGGGTGATATGACTCTGTTGGAAAAGAAATGCTGACATGACCCGTATACAGCGACATGACTCACATCCGGCAGAGTAAAAAACATGCAGGGATTTACCTTTGGACGAAGGCCACGATATAGGCTAGTGGCCTTAGAAGAAGGTAAGCCCTTACTCAAATCATCGACCCGGGAACATGTATAAAAAATCTAGTCGAATACACCAGGTAAAGTGATCTCATTCTTGGTGTATTCGACTCGATTTTTTTATAGGCCTACATGTTTCTGGGCCTATGACTCAAATAATCTTCATTCCAGCATAAACCCAATCCTGTTGTTACAAAGCCCTTTCCTCAACTAGAGTCCATTTCACTGCTTCATTTCGTCAGTAGAACGGCAAAAATAAGTAATTGGGAGACCATTGTGCAATAATATATGGAAAAGTATATTCATAATGTACATGAATGACATTTGTATATCTTGGATTGCTTCTAGTTTGACTTATAAAGTGTGTGGCCTCTTATATTTGGATGTTTCTCTGCCATGTTATTTTCAATAAGATTGACATGGCTGAAATTCTTCAAATTACAAGACGGCACAGGCTTATTGCACAAAAAACTAAAACATCTGAAATATACAAATGTCATTCATGTACATTACATTATTAATATATGGAAAAGTATATTCATAATGTACATGAATGACATTTGTATATTTCAGATTTTTTAGTTTTTTGTGCTATAAGCCTGTGCCGTCTTGTAATTTGAAGAATTTCAGCCATGTTAATCTTATTGAAAATAACATGGCAGAGAAACATCCAAATATAAGAGGCCACACACTTTATAAGCCAAACTAGAAGCAATCCAAGATATACAAATGTCATTCATGTACATTATGAATATACTTTTCCATATATTATTGCACAATGGTCTCCCAATTTCTTATTTTTGCCGTTCTACTGACGAAATGAAGCAGTGAAATGGACTCTAGGCCTCTTTCACAGCCAGGTCTCTTAGTCTTAGGTTTCAAAATATTTTTTTTTTTACTTACTTTTGGAGTTTGTCTCACATTCCCCGGATTCAAATGGGTACCTAAATAATAGCCTATCTCCCTTACTACCAGATGTAACAAGTATAACTCCAATTGGCTTAATATCATCCATGGTAGGCTCGCATCTTGGATATTTATCATTAGAGGAGTTTAGAATGTTACAAACGGAATCCGGCAGAGTTGTGTAGGTGTCACTACGGTAATTTATTGAGAAAAATCACAATAGCATGAAATCAAAGCAATCAAACATAACTTATGAATAAAAAAACACACCATTCCTTATTGATGATGTAAAATTTCTAAAATATTGGAGACTGCTTTGGAAAAATTCGGTTTAGATTGCGGTTACATCGATCGAAAGCTCCTATTTGAAGCAATATTTGGAACATTTTCTGAAAAGTTCTATTTTAACTATTTTTCTTCTTCTTCTTCTTCTTCTATTAGAGTACAGACTCCTCTTTAGGATATTTCGTACTATGTGTGCTTGCGTGCGGTGTATATACAATTGTAGTGTGAGTGTGCATTAAAATGTCTAAAATCGTTTTAAAATCGTCATCACTTAGTACGAAAGCATCACACTCCCTGCCTCCTTCTTAAAAATGTCCAGGGAATTTATCATGGCTACATTTGCTGGAAGAAGGTTCCATAGTCGTATGGTTGCAGGGAAAAATGAGTAAAGATGTAAATCTACTCTTGAGGATGGGACAAGGTAGCGTAGGTTGTGACCCCTGGTCACAGATCCTACTGGCTCGAGGTATGCCGCTGGTGGAATGGCTACCTTATGGTGGACTATCTTGTAAAGCTTGACTACTCTTGTCAAATTACGTCTGTCTTGTAATGGTGGCAGCTGCAGATTCCTCAGCATGGTGGTAGGGCTGCTGGTTTGTCTGTAATCTTGTGTTATAAATCTGGCTGCTCGTCGCTGTACTCCCTCCACCTGCCCGATTGCCTTCTTCGTGTAAGGGGACCATACGGAAGCGGCATATTCCAGCTGTGGTCTAACAAAGGTGGTGTATGCTTGTTTCCTCACATTGCTGGGGCAGGAGCTGATGTTACGACGGAGGAAGCCCAGGGTGGAGTTGGCTTTCTTGGTGATGGCAGACACGTGAGGATTCCAAGATAAGGTGTTGCTGATGTTTACACCTAAGTACTTAGCAGTGTCCACTGCACATAACGGTTGGTCATGGATGCAGTACTGATGTAAACAAGGTGATCTTTTCTTGGATATGTGTAGTACCTCACATTTGTCTGGGTTGAATCGCATCAACCAAGAATCCTCCCATCTTTGTAGAGTGTCCAGGTCTTGTTGGAGTCTCTTCGCATCCATCTCAGATTTCACTCTGCGATACATCAAGCAATCATCTGCAAAGAGGCGAGTGGTAGAAGTTACAGCCTCTGGCAGGTCATTGATGTATGCAAGGAATAACAGTGGTCCTAAAACAGTCCCTTGGGGCACTCCCGGTGTTACTGGAGCTGATTTGGACTGTTCACCATCAAGGACAACACACTGTGTTCGATCTGTGAGGAAGTCTTTGATCCAAGCATGGGTTGATCCTGTAATGCCGTAGAACTGAAGTTTATGGAGCAGGCTTCTGTGTGGGACTTTATCAAAAGCCTTGGAGAAGTCAAGCAAGATTGCATCAGCTTGATCTCCGTTATTCAGTTCTCTTGCAAGGTCGTGGATGGTTACGATCAGCTGCGTTTCACAGGATCTCTCAGCCCGAAACCCATGTTGGAAGTTGGTGAGAATTTTGTTTGTTTCCAGGTGTTTCATTGTCTCGCTGAAGATGATGTGTTCAAGAACTTTGCAGCATATTGATGTAAGTGAGACTGGCCTGTAATTAGATGGCAACGATCGATCACCCTTTTTGAAAAGGGCTACAATGTTAGCATCTTTCCAGACTTTTGGGATCTTGCCCTGATTAAGGGAAGCCTGGAAGATCAGGCTAATCGCTGGTGCAATCTCACTTGCTGTCATCTTCAGGAATTGTGCTGATATGTTGTCCGGTCCAGTGGCTTTGTGTGGTTTTAAGGTCTTAAGTTGTTTGAGCACTCCATCAACATGAATACTGATATTCGGCATTCTAGGATGGGGAGAAGGGCCTTTGTTGGGAATGGCACCTTCTGGCTCATGAGTAAAAACTGACACAAATTGGTCATTGAGCACCTCTGCCTTGGCTTTACTTGAGCTGAATGTTGTGCCATCACGCTTCAAAGGGGCCACACCTGAGTTGTCACATTTCTTGGACTTAATAAAGCTAAAGAAGCGTTTGTTACAACCGTCACCCACCAAGCCATCCAAATAGGTGTTATATGCTTTTTTGAATTCTCGCTTGGACTTGTTCTTCACTGAACGATAATAGTTCCAGTCCTGCGAGCATTTAGATTTCCGGGCACGGTTGTATGCACGCTTCTTCCGATGTGATAGCTGTTTCACAGTTGTTGTTATCCAGGGCTGGTCAAAGCGTGACGACATGCTCAGAGGGCTGAAAAGCTATTCCATCATATATAGTGTCATTGTGACCATTGTCATTGTGATCCTGATCATGTAAATGATATGGGGAACTCATAAAACTGATTGAATGTAGCAACATGATTTTTGATTGAAATGGCACAAAATTGCCCTAATTAACACCCTTCGAATTTGATTTTCAAAGACTATATTCAGAGAAACAATAAAAGGCAAGTGGGATGAATTAGGATATGTTTTCAAGTTATTACAGAAGTCAATCTGGAACTCTGGAAAAAATTTCATTGACTCATAATCACAAAAAGTCGGGTGACATTTGACACGGGTATCTGGCTAGATCTAAGGTAGATGATCAGGTCAGTTGTCACTCAACTTTTTTTGGTGGTTAAACGTCCCTGTCTGCATTTCATAGTTAAACATTTTCCTGTGCATAATTTTGAAACCATATTCTAATTTATGTCAAAAACTTTTTGTGGATTCACAATAATATCCTATTTGTAATCAGCATTAAGCTTTTCCAAGTGGGAAATTTTTTGAAATTTCCAAAATGGCTGCCAGGTGATTTCTTTCAAAATCATTTAGTTTTTCACCAGTTTGAGCACTTCTCAATCTCAAGTGATTTTAGCCATATTTGGGCCAAAATTGTCAAATGTGAACCGCAATGGAAATTTTTGAAAACTGAACCCCCTTGGCAAATCCTGGCTACGGGCCTGGATATGCATTCAAGTTATTACGCAAGTCAGTTGGAAATTTCAGAATGCTTTCTTTGACCTGAGACCATCATAAAATGTTAGTCTCAGCTTTGACTCACAAAAAAAGTTGGGTAACTTTATGGGCCTTCCTAACCTTTAGTCTACCTTGAGACCATGATCTTGCACAAAATCAAAAAAATATAATTCTTGCAGGGATCACATATCTTCCTGAAAAGAACATGTGACTTGCATACTATCAGACAGTCATTACAGTTTTATCGTGCGGAAATACAACATTGGGTAACCCGGAAGTAGATAGCATCTATTTACTGTAATGATACCTCAACATATAAAAAGTTAGAAAAATTTAGCATTCGAAGACTAGATCTAGAGCAGATCTTGCCTTGAAGATTTTTGGTTAGTGCTACATATACTTTTATTGATTATATTATCAGATAGACAACAGATAAATTCACCAAATGACGGGACTGTTTCGTCTTCGATCTACATATTGTTAGTAGATCTAAAGGAAACCGGAACTTCTGGATTTTCAATCAAAAGGCTAAGCAAAGGGGCGTACCAATTTGTCGGAGTGCAGCCTTTGAACTAGTTAAATCCAGACTTATTTTGAGGGGCACCTGAACAACTAGACTAGAGGTAGAATTTTCATATGCATTTTACGCAGTTCAGCTAGCCTTAGATTTGTAGAGGTTACTACAGTGGGGATCATAAAGTCTTAGTAAGTCCAAATATAGTGGAATTTGTGTCCCTAATGACAAATAAGAACTTCAAAAGTTGAATTGGATATTCACATGTTATGCCGACTCTTCAAATGTTGAGGTGATTTTGTCGCCCGATTGCGCCAGAACAGAGGATTGGCTCCCAGGATGCAACATGACACGTGCCAGCTTTCAAAATGCTGTTCCGCCATTTTGAAACCTGTCATGGTAAATACGGTTAACTGATGTTGCATTCTGGGAGTCAACCGTCCTTGGATAACAAACATGGCGATTCATGAAAACATTCATTCGATTTGGTAGGGATTTATCCATTATTTGCAGGTATGAAGCTTTGGATTCATTTATTGTGCTACTTTAGTGAACGGGAATTATTTTTCTACTGCTTGGGAGAGTTTGAGACACGAAACTTGGAAATAAGCTCATTTTGACAACTTGTGAACGTTGAGTTTTATTTTTGTCCCCTACTGTACTTTGCAATTTATCGCATCCTACAACTCCTTACTCAAGTCTCTAGCTCGAATATAGAGAAGGCTTTGGACCGAAGTAAACAACTCCCACTTCGATAACTTCGATAACAGGATTTTGTGCTAGTCTAATATATCCAAAAATGCACAAGAATGAATGTCGAGCGCACACTATGGGGAGAGGGTTTCACTGGGTCAACTTTTTATACAAAGGGGGTGCCGTTGAGATTCAAAATATCTTACCTTCTTCTAAGGCCACTGTATCGTGGCCTTCCAGTACAGATATATTTCTGCATGAACAACTGGTCATGTCGTTATCATAAAATTTGAAATCATATGTCCGCCATTTTTCCACATCACAATTTGAATTGCGAGTTTTGGTCTTATTACCTCACCAAAAATTCCAAAACACACATAAAGTGATCAGTGTATTAGTTCACATCTTCTGGATTGCTAACTTAGAATTTACAGCCAGTTACTAATGTCAGACGTTAACGACATTTCGTCCAGTTTTCGAACATCGCCATTTTTCTTGGAGCCATTTTGTTTTAATTTTAGACGAAATCCTGATGAAATCATGTAATATCTCATCAAGGAACCGAGCTGGGTCCGGTTTGGTTAATGATTTATTTATCTGGCGATTTTTAAAATATTCAATAAATTTATGACACCCCGGCATGCTTTTTTCAAATAGAGTTCACAGTATTCCAGATGAAATCCCCTCTAGCCAAGTATTGGCTAGAGACTCTAGTAAAAAATATCTACCTACATACACAGTCAAAACAGTAATGTTTGTGAGTACTTTGAATTTAAAAAATAAGCAATCAAATGACCGTATTGAAACAGTTTATGTAAAAATAGAAACATTTATATTTATCCTAACTTTTGTATATTTCAGATAGTAATGTATAATGTGCAGCAAAGCTGTGGCCTTTTGTAATTTAGGGAGTTTCAGCCATGTTAATTTTTCCGAAAATGACATGCCAGAGAAGTATCAAAATATAAGAGGACACAGATATGATAGCTAAACTGGAAAACAAACTAAAATATACAAAAGTTTAATATAAATGTTTCTATTTTTACACAAATTGTTTCAATTTGGTTATTTGATTGCTTATTTTTTAAATTCAAAGTACTCACAAACATTACTGTTTTGACTATACATGTAGGGATTTTTTCTCTAAAAATGGACCCACATCTTGGTTTGTTTAAAAAGCTAATTTTTAAAAAACAAGGCCCAATTCTGGCGATTTGTTTTCAAAAACAACACCCAGTTTTAAGATTTAAAAAAAGTAGAACTAATTCTAGGGAGTTTTACATGAAAATGGGACCCATATCTAGGGTGACCCACTTTAGTGGCACATCCCCATATAGTCAATATACTGGAGTACCCCCCCCCCCCTCAGAAAACTTTTTTTATTTTATCAGGCTACATTTTAGTTTAACTTTTGGGCCTCAATTTGTGGGCCTTTTTTGACATTACTTGGCCTTTTTAGGACCTTTTAAGCCAAATTATCAAGAAATGGGCCTTGAATTTTCAAAAAGGAGGTGGATTTGTTTGTCGATTGAATTGGGGGAGTTTTTTGTGTTGCGATATAAACCAAAACAACCCAATTAGGTGTGTATTAAAGATTTACTTTCCTGTTATCTCAAAATCTGCTTGGAACTGTACCATTGGATAACTATGGGAAATTCCTGAAAGAGAAAGTTCTAGGGATTGAGGAATATGTACAGTTTACACAATTTGAGAAATTATTGGCATACATGAAACCTATTTAAAACAGCATTTATATTATTCAAATTTAAAGGCATTGATTATCAATGATTTCCAGCCCCCCGAAGTTTGAAAAATTAAAATACCTGGGTGTTAATCCATAGATAATCCTTGAAAATGAGAAAAAAATTGCGAGTATATGGTGCAGTCTTATAGTCACAGGTAAAATGTACAAGTGTATTGATGTTTTTTGGATGAAAAACAAAAGTGAAATGCATGAAAAAACTCCCCCAATAATGTGAGTAGGTAATTACCAGTTTTACCATCAAAGTTGATAAACAATTTTCGAAATCATATTTTTAGATGTATTTTTACATGTAGATTTCAAATATGACATCACTGTGAATTTTGAATATTTAATGATGTAAATCAAGATCATTTCTACTCGCATCTAGTCTATTCAATCGACAAACAACTCCCCCTTTAAGGATTTAGGGGCCCAATTTTTTTCACCTAAGCGTGATTTGAAATGTGCCCCTCCCCCCTTGTTAGCTTTTAGTGGTTATAGATAAGAGGCATGAATCGCCTCCTAACCATCTCATAAAAGTTGCTAATGTGTCTGAGCTAATGTCAATTTACAACGTGAAAGACTCCCATTTGGGCCAAACTATATTTAAAGGAATTATACAAGACCTTTAAAAGTTATGTTCAAATACAAAGTGTGCACCTAGAAAGTCATGGCATAGCTAAATCAATTTCAAAGCAGAAAATACCAAATTCGATTGAATGAAATCTTGGAAAAGTTGGAAGATATTAGGATAGGTGACATTGAAATGTTGCATTTAGATTTTTATTTTTAGCCAAGTCTTCATAGAAGTATAGTGTGGATGCTTTGGCTCATTTTTTCAGGTGGCCCTGAATAAATTCAAAACAGAAATACAGGCTCCATTTAAGTTAAATCCTTCATGGATTTAGGCGAATTCTACAAGTGTTGATTCATGAAGAGTGATGACAATGATTTGGCGGATTCAACTGTTTGTTGCATTGCTTGCCTGTTGTGAAGCAAACAGTGAAGGTGAGTATGAGCCTTTTATGTACTTGTAAGAGAGTATACATAGTCATTAAATCAAATAGACATCAATTTCTGGCATATATTATTTGGTTGAAGTTTTAGTAACTATAGCAATCAGTACTTGACAACTGTACATTTCAGGGACTACAAAAGATGGCGTGTTTGTTATTGCACCTTCTGTCGTTGGGGTCATGTTATGTGTCACAATGGTACTCCTCCTTGCCTTATGTACATGCCTGGAAAAGAAAGGATTTCAAGTAAGTTATTCAGATGTTTCTATACTTCCCTTACATATATCTTACCAAAGCACTCAATTAAAGTAAGTTTCATACTCATAGAACTGAACCTAAATTGGAAGCAGTCTGCAAGCTATGACTTAAGGGAGTTGTCAGACTCAACAATAAGTTAACTATAATATAACAAAAGTAAATGAAAAAAACTTAAAGGTCCACTATACTTATTAAGAATAAAAAAATAAAAAATATTCATTGAAACATGTTAAAACATGTTAGTCACACACTCGCTCAAATATGAAACAAAGTTTAATTTGCTTCAGTATTGATTATTGAACCAAGAAAAAATAACTCACATAGAAAAAAGCATTTGAAGTTCAAAGATCACTAGTAGTGCAGGCGCATGCTAAACAGAGTATATGTTTTAAATTACATTTGATTTAAAAGATGGCGACACTTCTATAAAAAGGAATGTATCATGTAATACAAACAACTTCTCCATCTTTCAATGACATTGATAAAAACTTGATATATAAAGCTTGACAGATCTAAAATATATTTTGACTAATTATTGTAAGCTTTGATGTGGTAAGATAAGGTTCTTGTCAATACATAATTCTATAAAATTCAAGTAAAAGTCTTTATTTTACCCCAAAACATTGAAAATTTGCAAAGTGGGCCTTTAACATTAAAAAAATAAATATTGCAGGATTTGAACAATGAGACTCATGACATAGAGGCCCAACATGTGAATGTTCACCTGCGTGAAGGTGAAAGTCCTGAGGTTCAGTTCGAGCCTCTCCCTGATGTCAGGCCTGAGTGGAAGAAGCACTACATCCTCAAACCATCTATAATCAACTTGAATACACAAAGGCCAATTGTAGAAGGTGAAAATTAATATCATAGTACACGGATATAACTGAACTATCATAAGCATTCACGTAGTTTATTTAGGTAAACTGTATGTGTTTAAAACAGCAGTACTCACATCTCACAATATCATTAGCATATTGTCAGATTTTGTCAGATTCATTCTTTTTTAGTCAGTCAAAGGATTTATTGCAACAAATGGTTTGTCAGTTCCATTGTTTGATTATTGGTTAGAATAAGTCACATTTACTTGCACCCATTTACATTCAGAATGATTGTCTATTTTTGTCTTAATTTTTAAATACCCCAAAGTCACATTTAGTCAAATTTTTAGAGGAAAGGTCACCTTGTCACATACCGCTTGGAAGCCTATATGAGAATTCCAATTTATTGTTATAATTCTTATTCCTGGCATTTTCCTCTTTCAAATGGTATATTCAAACCTGGGACAACTAGTGTTAATATTTGCTGAACTATTAGCATGAATATTAAGGAAAAGTAATGTAAAAAACATTGCAATACCTTTCCTAGATTCATGAAGTTATCTAACATTAATGTGAAATATTTTAACAATATTTGTTTTGTTCAACAATAAGGTGTCCAAACAGTATGTTTCTTATATGAGTCTGATATTGCATTTTATCATATACTATTATGATGACTGTTTCAGTGGCTAGTCAGGACAGCTTTCCAAGAGGTAACCTTGGTTATATTAAGGAGATTGGGACAGGATGGTTTGGAAAAGTGTTGCTTGGGGAGGCCACACAGACCAATGAAGAGGGTCAGATGTCAAGAACAAAGGTTGTCGTAAAAATGCTACGTGATGAAGCATTTGAAGGTGAAGAACAACTTTTACAGAAGGAGGTATCTCCATTCAGGTTTGTATATTTAGATGATCAAACTGTACATTAAAATCTACATGGGCCACTAATGCCAATGGCCTTGGCCCATTGTCGGACATTGTGTAATGATAGCATTAATGAATAAAACATAACCTTTAAAAATATATATATACTGTATTATATGATAATATAATAATGACCAATTTAATCGATATACTTGTATAATTCAAAGTAATATAAATTGTATTTTTTGATATAATAAACAAAGTAAACTCATTAGGATAACCCTGCAAATAGTTCTTTGGGACTTCATATCATATCCCTTTGGTTCAGTTGCATGTTTATTATGAATGATGCTTGTATATTTGTCTGCTGTCATCCCATCTGTTATTTATGTCACTCACATGTTGAAGGTGCTGGGTCATTGTAAACAATCATTATATTGCAGGAAGCTGGAGCACCCTCACATGCTGAAGGTGCTGGGTCATTGTATACAATCATTATATTGCAGGAAGCTGGAGCACCCTCACATGCTGAAGGTGCTGGGTCATTGTATACAATCATTATATTGCAGGAAGCTGGAGCACCCTCACATGTTGAAGGTGCCGGGGTCTAGCAAAGCCATGATGAGGCATCGTGTTCTATTGCCTGTGGCAAGCTAGGCAAATAGGGGGAGCACCCTCACATGTTGAAGGTACTGGGTCATAGTATATAATCTTTGTGTTACAGGGAACTGGAGCACCCTCACATGTTGAAGGTACTAGGTCATTGTATATAATCATTGTGTTACAGGGAACTGGAGCACCCTCACATGTTGAAGGTACTGGGTCATTGTATATAATCATTGTGTTACAGGGAACTAGAGCACCCTCACATGTTGAATGTACTGGGTCATTGTATATAATCATTGTGTTACAGGGAACTGGAGCACCCTCACATGTTGAAGGTACTGGGTCATTGTATATAATCATTGTGTTACAGGGAACTGGAGCACCCTCACATGTTGAAGGTACTGGGTCATAGTATATAATCATTGTGTTACAGGGAACTGGAGCACCCTCACATGTTGAAGGTTCTAAGTCATAGTATATAATCATTGTGTTACAGGGAACTGGAGCACCCTCACATGTTGAAGGTACTGGGTCATAGTATATAATCATTGTGTTACAGGGAACTGGAGCACCCTCACATGTTGAAGGTACTGGGTCATTGTATATAATCATTGTGTTACAGGGAACTGGAGCACCCTCACATGTTGAAGGTACTGGGTCATTGTATATAATCATTGTGTTACAGGAACTGGAGCACCCTCACATGTTGAAGGTACTGGGTCATTGTATATAATCATTGTGTTACAGGGAACTGGAGCACCCTCACATGTTGAAGGTACTGGGTCATTGTATATAATCATTGTGTTACAGGGAACTGGAGCACCCTCACATGTTGAAGGTACTGGGTCATTGTATATAATCATTGTGTTACAGGAACTGGATCACCCTCACATGTTGAAGGTACTGGGTCATTGTATATAATCATTGTGTTACAGGGAACTGGAGCACCCTCACATGTTGAAGGTACTGGGTCATTGTATATAATCATTGTGTTACAGGGAACTGGAGTACCCTCACATGTTGAAGGTACTGGGTCATTGTATATAATCATTGTGTTACAGGGAACTGGAGCACCCTCACATGTTGAAGGTACTGAGTCATTGTATATAATCATTGTGTTACAGGGAACTGGAGCACCCTCACATGTTGAAGGTACTGGGTCATTGTATATAATCATTGTGTTACAGGGAACTGGAGCACCCTCACATGTTGAAGGTACTGGGTCATTGTATATAATCATTGTGTTACAGGGAACTGGAGCACCCTCACATGTTGAAGGTACTGGGTCATTGTATATAATCATTGTGTTACAGGGAACTGGAGCACCCTCACATGTTGAAGGTACTAGGTCACTGTACAGATGGTAATCCCCACTTGGTCATCATGGAGCTATGTCCTTTTGTAAGTTAAAACTTTAAGTCCTATTTTAGTAATTTCCCTTTGTTTTTATTCTAAAATAGAGTCTATGGATATTGGTAAATACAAATAGTATACAAAAGAAATCACATATTATAATGATCTTTTCTGGGAAAAACATGATGCCAATGATCAGAACTGGTAATGGTAACAAGGTAACAATGTAATGAGTTATGCAACTAGTTTAAAAAGTGTTTCCATATCGACCAGGTAAGAGAGCATGTCAAAAGTTCAATGTCTCCAAATAAGCTATTTATTATCTGTTAGGGGGGGGGTTGTCTGGAACCAACAAATAAGCTTCCTTGACTTTGATCCCCAGGGAATTGCATCAGTCATTTTTCCTCCCACAATCCTCTTTGCACGCCTCCATATTGAAAATATTTCGGTGTTTTAGAACATTTTTGAACTTCTTTTTCACTATAATGGCACAGCCAATATATGAAACCCCATCTAATGAATATAAAAGACTCATCAACAAGGAATGTGATGCTATATTTTTTGTTAATAATCACGCATTTCAACATTTTCCATATATCTAGGACTTAACTGATAATATATAGCTTTTGTGCTACATTGAACTTTTGACACGCTCCCTAAGTAATGATTATTGACCACCATTCAGTTTTTATGTCCCCACCACATAGTGTGGGGCCATATTGTGGGCGTCCGTCTGTCTGTCTGTCCGTCCGTACGTCCGGCAGTTTTCTCCAAAACAGCTACAGATATCACCTTCAAATTTTCCCTCGATACCTACTTCCTGTCGGCCATTTTGAAGTCAAATGCTAAAATCCTTGTCTGCAAACTTTAAGAAAAACTGCTACATGGTTGCTTTTAAAACTTTAACATCTTGTTCAGCTTACTTCATTCTACATCTGATTAGGTTTTGGACCTGTTAGCTCAGTTATGGCAGCCATTTTAAATGTCTTAAGAAAAGTTAGCGTGCGATAATAATACTTTGTATCATGTTGAACAGTGTTTTTGAGTTTTCATACTTTAACTGTTTAGTAGCTTTATAAATAATTTTAGGTGTACTTTGTTGTAAAAGCTTATGTTATTGTTAACAGTAGTTATATGTGATAATTTTGTAAAAAGAAATCAGCAAAAACTAATAATCGCTTTTTTATTGTCGGCCATTTTGGATTTTTCCATCCTAAAATCTTGTCTGTAAAGTCTTGTCTATGCGTTTTCAGGTGAGCCATTTCTTAGATCAATTTCAAATTTTAGGGATGATTCTTCGTATAAAAATCTAGATCTGATAAGTTTTTTGGCATTCTGGGTAAATGTCAAGGCAGCCATTTTAGATTTTCCGTCCTAAAATCTTGTCTGTAAAGTCTTGTTTACGCGTTTTCAGGAGAACCGTTTGGTAGATCAATTTTAAAATTTCAGGGATGATTCTTAGTATGAAAATCTAGAACTGATTAGTTGTTTGGCATTCTGGGCAAATGTCAAGGCAGCCACTTTGGATTTTTCCGTCTTAAAATCTTGTCTGTAAAGTCTTGTTTACTCGTTTTCTGGTTACTGTTTGATGGATCAATTTCAAATTTTCAGGGTTGGTTCTTAGTATGAAAATCTAGAGCTGACTAATTTTTTGGCATTCTGTGTAAATTTTAAGGTGGCCATTTTGGATTTTCCATTCCAAAATTGTAACGGTAAAGTCTTGTCTACTCATTTTCAGGATAACCATTTGACGGGATCACCCATTGGTGGGGACATATTGTACACATTTGTGTTCTTGTATTTGTTCGATATGATGACATTATGGCCTGTGTAAAAGGTACCAGGAATAATGGGTAGACACTTGAAACATGTATAATATAATCTATACACTAACAGGTAGTTACTTGCAAGAGATCATACTTATATTCCTTGTGTTCATCCTTTTCTATTTCATAGTCTTTAAAATTAAGAAGGAGAGCACCTAGAACTTGCATTCTTGAAAATAGAAACTCAAATGCGAAGCTTTGAAAGTTGTATAAGTGAAGTGATAACATGCCAGAAGAATAGCTCATAAAGATTCATATACAAAAGTACAGTGCCAAGTCATAAGAATCCTAGATGCAGAAAGCTCATTTGAATATTTTTATTCTAGGGAGACCTTAAATCCTATCTGGCCATGCTCCAAGTCAGTGTATGTATGCTGCTAATCTTAGTGGTGAAATATACACCTTTAATGCATGTTGTCTCTGGTTGAGCCAAGTATACTAAAGCGAGAATTCTATTAGTCCTCAGGTTTTCAATACACCAAATGAGAAAGGGAATGTCAGGAATATTAATAAAATAAAAATTTAGGCCTAACATTGTGAGAAACTTTTGAAATCAGAGGCAAATTTGATAAATTTATCTGGATAAAGGCCATGACTACTTTGTTTTGATATCAAGTCCACAGACATTCAAATTAAATTGTTTTTGCAAAAGGTGATCAAACTGTCACTGATTCTTGACATAGAAAAACAACTATTATTTTGTTTTAGTTCAAACTAAATAGTTTTTTATTTCTGGGGATGCAGCATTTTTAGTTAAATGTAACTCAGTGAGGGGATATTTGATCAGTTTAGTTTGGATAAGCTGTCCCATTAGTGCAGCATTTCATCTCCCAATATGCTAAAAGTTACTAACTTACAAAAGTTCTAACAAAAAAATAAGATCAGTGATGGGCCACTTAGTATTTGAATTTTGTCTGGCGGACCTACTATATACAGAAGTTATAAAACTAAATCAACCTTGTAAATCAGAACACTCTATGTTATATGGGTTCCCTGACATGTTCCCCTTCCCAGCAGTATATGGAAACTCTAAGGCAAATAGCATCAATCATTTTTTACCTTACTTTGCTCACAGATTTGAATGTTTGAATCTTGGAGAATGACATAAAGTTTATGTTAGTGAAAATCAGTGTTAAAGAGCACAGTAGATAGTGCATCTAATTTCAAACAGCCATATCTTGAATATTATGAAAACATAATGGTTATTTTGACAGGGACGCACCATTAGTCAGAATCCAAATGGTCCAAAACATTATGATCATAATTCCACCTGTCTGAATATCAACTGTCTGAAATTCATATACCTTTTCAAATCCTAATGGTCCAAAAATGAACAATTTGACAAAAAGCACTGAGAAATGGCAGCTATGGGTGTTCAATTGGATTTGCTACACCTTGGCATTGCTGTTATCTAGTTAGGAACAAACTAGATAGATAAGCATGATTTCATGGATGGTTTTCACAGATTTTTATTTTGCTTTTAAATACTTTCAGCCACTTACCTATTATGCATAACTGTTATGACTAACATTCTTTGTGATTTTATTGCATTATTATTAACACGCTGATATATGCAATTTGGAAGTTTCAATTGTTTTCTGTTTTACTTGTGGTCAGTCATCTTGATGAATCCATGGGATCAATACATTTGTTTCAGCATTGATTTTCAGATTTTATACCCCATGTCAGTTCAGAAGCTGGTGTACTATGCACACTCGCTGTATTAATAATTTCATTTGTAAAGGTGTATCAGCATTAAACTCCCTATGCTCAATTTACCCATACCAATAATTTTAGAAAATTTTCACCAGGCCGTTCCCCTACTCTCTCTGTAACGATTCTGTCTTGTTTTTCAAGCTAGATATTCCTTTCTGACAAAATGAGAATAAAAAAATTGTTTGATATCGAACCCACAAACCCTTCATATCCTGGCGAGTGGCAACTGCTTTGCAGATTGTGATGTATATTATCCATAAAAATCAATGTTATATTCTGCTATTGCTTTAACGCTGTTGTTTGTATAAGTTGTGTTATTTTAAGCCTTGTTTTCCAGGGAGACCTGAAGAGTTATCTTGTGGGCCATAGGGTGGCAGAAGATATCTTAAATGAGAGAGGTCTTATGTTGAAGTTTGCATCTGAGATGTCTCATGGCTTGCAATTCCTGCATCAAAATGACTATGTGCACAGGTCAGTAATCACTCTGACAATTCACCAGAATAAATATAAAAAAAATGTTTCCCCCATCGACTTATTCTTTTATTCTTTGATTACTTTTATAGTTTACACACATGTATTTTAAAATGTCATGATGTTTCTGTGAAGGAAGTCCATCTGACAGCTTTTTATCATAAACAGTTTTAATGCATGGACATAAACTCTTAGCTTCTGAAGTGTGGTAATTTGATTTATATTGTAGAGATTTCTCAACAAGAAGTTGTCAGCTTGCTGCAGATCTTACTGTGAAGATAGGAGATTATGGCCTCTCAGAGTCACTGTATAAGGTATGTACTTGTATAAGGTTTATTGTAGAAATGGGAAATTAAGGCCTATCAGCATCACTATATAAATATCGGGACTTTTTCGCAGAAATCATAAATTTTTCATTCTAATCCAAAGTAATTAATATTATTGTTTGAAATTTTGGTAGTATATTCGCAATATCTATCTATTTCACATATATTCCGTGTTTTTCAGAAATTTTCGCTAATTTTTAGATCTTTCTGAAGTATAGTTTTATTATACTCAAATGAAAGGCAATTAAGAGTAGATTGCAAATATTGTATCTTTTTTCTGATTCGAGCCTCGTAAAATTCAAAATGGCCGTCAAATGTACGATTTCGCAATAATAATAATACTCAAATTGAAGGAATTTTGGAGTAGATCACAATTATGGTATTATTTTTCAGATTTGTACCTCAGAAAATTCAAAATGCCTGCTTTGCAGGAATTCGCAATTCTAAAATCTAAATTTTTCAATTTTCAAGTAATGTAATGAGTATAATTGATTGGAATTCGGTAATTGATATTTTGTTCGTTGGGATTTGCTACTCCGCGGAGTTGCCATTATCTAGTTTTGTCTAATTTTGGCCAGACCGGATCAGTTCCCACTTTGTTCCTTATTGTTTTCATATTTTTCATTTCAATAATAAACAACTTACAATAGTTTAGATAAAAATCTTGGACAAATCATCAAGATTGTAATTACATTCTGTTGTTTTGACAGTCCAATAGCTTAAACTCCATTTTTAGCTGTCATGCTGAGCTATTGCAATCACTCATTTCATCTCTGTCTGCTTGTCAATTGTTCCATCCATCTATCTGTAGATCTGCCATCTTTTTTGAATCAAGTTTAAAGTTATTTTTGTTTAATATTGTAGATACTAAAAGTGTGTATGACTCACAGTTCAAAAGCTCACCAATTTTTAAACTGACCAACACCTTTATCAGTTTATTGTTCAAAAATCAAGTTTTTGGATTTTTTGGTCATACTTCAAAAGTATTTCATTAATTCTATTGGAATTATACAGGTACCATATTTTATTCTATAGGTTACCAACTATATCTTCTAGTTTCAGCAATTCAGCTTGCTAGACTGAACCTCCCTTGCTTGGCAAAAGCTGAATGTCTCAGAGGAGAATGAGATTGAATAAGCAATTCAAAATCTAATAACATTTACGCAAATTTATGATTATTTACAAAATGTAGCATTCTTATATATATTATATTAATAATAAACTGACTTTCTGCAGGAGGACTATTACTGGACAAGTGATGATGAGGCTATTCCAATACGATGGTTAGCACCTGAGACTGTCAACTGGAGTAACAACCACCTCCAGTTGAACCAATTTACAAAAGAGGCTAACATCTGGTGGGTTATTATCACATCTGTATTTTCTCTTAATTTTTATTAATAAAAAATTGACTGTTTTGAAATATGTCAAAATAAAATTGTGTCTCTTTATGAACAGATCTATACATGGACACCATTTGCGCCAAAAGAATGGTGTCATTTGTATGGTTTGCTTTATATACATGTATTCATCAAGATGTATACCACCGTTGTGTTCTAGGTCATTCGGTGTTACTTTATGGGAAATATTTGAGTTTGCCAAGAAACCATATGGTAATATGACAGATGAAGAGGTCCTGGATAATGTGATTTCTAGCAAGCCATTCCTTTTAGAAGCACCCTCAGCCAATGTGAAACATAAGGAGAAAATGTAAGTTATTGTGAAAAAGTTGTTTGCTGAACAGCTGATATGTAAATAATTAATGTTGGCTACTCAAGAGTGGTAGTAATATGAATTTCTTACTTTGAAGTTTCATTCAAATTCACAACTATCATATCTTATCCGATACATTGAACATTTGCTGGACAGTTTTTCTGAAAACTTTATTTTCGAGATTTATCTTCAAAAACAAATGAAAACCAGATGGATTTTTTAGTCTTATTTTTTTCCTGAGAAATTATCTTAAGTGTAATATAAATCAACAACTGAATGGAAAATGATTATATGAAAACAATATTACACTTATAATTGTTATGTCTTTGTCCCCAGGTATGAGGTGATGAAGTTCTGTTGGTTAGAGCCTTCAAAGCGACCGTCAGCAAATGAACTCTTTATAGTGTGTAATCATCTCCACACCAATAGGGACACCACCGACACAATATCATTTGATGAAAAATGGAACCAATTACTTCCAAATCAGCTTAATAATGTAGAAGCTAAGATTGCTGGTGCTATAGACTCCACTCCTGTCAACCAGGAACTTGCTCAACCAGAAGGGTTTGGAAACAATTTTGTAACAGAAGCTGAAGTTGTAGCTGATTTAGGAGAAAGGGATGAGCCCTTAGGGGCATCAAACCCTGATAATCCTAACTTTGGGAACATGGTTTATGTCCAAGAGCCCCAAAGTAATCCTTCATCATTAGTCGGTCCTTTCAATGAAAATAGTCCAGATATCTGCTCATTGATGCCTGACAAGGAGCAATCTATTATTACAAACCAAGATGTCAGAGAAAGTGCTGTAACTCCTCCACCAAGAGAACCAGGAATTAAAACAAGCACTCCAATTAAAGCACGAGAAGTAAAACCTAAAGAATTTGATAATTTATCAAAAGACTCTGTCAGCTCTATGGAGAACTATGCTACTCCCTACACTGAAGATACAGACTCTGTTAAAACTGCTGATTTGAGTCTGGAGAAAATACCTGAGATAAATGTTGACAGTTTTGAGGATAACCTTGGAAATCTTTCTATGGAAAGTCTAGAGTCCACAAATAAAAGTGAGCATAAGGATGTAGCCGAAGAATCACATGGTGCCAGTGATGACCTCAAGTCTGTCATAGCCAGTCTCATACTGAATGAGCCTACTGTTGAGAATACAGATCGTCAACCAGAAAGCATCAATAAAACAAATCTGAGTCCAATTCATGGTCTTCCTGCAAATGATGATAATAGTCAGCCATCAAGTGCTAATAATACCCAGGACATAACAGGAACATCTGAAAACACCACCTTCCATTCGTTGCAGTCTTCCCTCTCAACCACTGCTGGTTATGAGACCGCCAAGAGCCCTGATGCACTGGAATTGACTGGCACCAGTCTAGGCGACACTCTGCTTTCCCTTGATAGCACTATGGGTACCCTGATTGCTAGTGAGGACTTTTCAGATAATGGAGCTCTGGACTTGATTGCGAAGCATGACTCCATTGAAGATGAGCCAAGCATTGGTCTTCTTGAAGATTTTGATCCATCTGCTTCACCGTCCCAATTCACACTTAATGGGTCAGCCAGGTCTCCATTCAGTGAGGCATTAGGAGGCAACACACCACTGTTCTCTACAATGGGTTCCCACGATGGTGATGAGCTGTCTGCTGGCCTGCAACAACAGGAATATGATGCCAGGCTAGCCAGTACCAGTACAAATGACTCTTTAGACATGGAGGAGTACAATGATGCCTTGGATACCAACAAACGAGGAAATTATCAACTCACCTATGTCAACTCCTTTGAGGAAAGTGGTGAGTTGTCTACATCATTCAAACCTGAGGATATATTCAGTGCCATACAGGAGGAACAGAGCAGTAGAGAGGACCTCAGTGATATAGCTAGTGCTGATAGTCTCAATAAGTCCACAGATAAACTCATCAAACAACAACATGATATCAGTGACACAAACCCACCCAATTCTTCAAATGAGAATGTAGCTGACTCCACCCCAAATACAAGAAATGTAAATCCTGGAGAAGTTGATCACAACCAGGACACTACCAAATCAAACACAAACGCAACAGGTGATATCCAAGTTGAAACTCAACATACCACAGTGCCATGTGAAGACAATGATAATGCAACAACTGATGATGAGAATAGGAATAAGATTGCAGGGGATGGTGAACAACTTGCTAATAAATCCAAGGAGCCAGAATCAACAAAAGAAGCTAAAGCTTAAAAGTGTCTGTAAGGTAAAATTTGTTTATTTGTAATGACTTACCAGTATGTATCTTTCTAATCCAAAATAACATCATTTATGAAGTTTATACTGCACATGTAGTAAATAAATACATCATATATCATATCCGGTGCCCCAACTACACGAATATGTGAGTTGATAAATGTAGTGTTGTGATAAAGTGACAACAAAGGATAGGCACAAAATATTTTCCCTTGAAATCCTTCTTTGTCACACCATTTTTCTATAAGGTTGAAGGGTTTTGATGTTGTACTATTAAAATATGTTGATTGATTTGGTTATTTGACAACTTGCATTAAATGTATAAATGTATATCTAAAACTAAATTAGAAGGGCACTTTTGATCGTTAAAGCAGTGTAAAATGACTATGTATTTTATTTCATCTACTTAAATATTTTTACAATAGTACAAGGTGTAAAAATAAACAAATCATTAATATTTATATTATAAAAAAATAATTTTAAATAATTTTTTTTTAAATGTGAAAAAATGTTGACAAAGATTTGAAAAAAGATTTTTTAAATGTGACATGAAATGACTGGAAGCGGGAAGATATGCACCGAAGTGGGAGATATGGCGGGAGATATGGAGGTTCTGGATATGGAAACCTCAAAATCAGGATACGGATACATCTTACCAACTTATCTCCCTAAAACTCTACTTGGCATAGGATAAAGGGAGTGATTGGGATAAAGTTTGGATATTATTTGCAGTGAAGGTATTGTTTCTGTGTTAGATGACATTTTCATTATATGAGACACACACACATGTATATTTACATATATATAATATGTACGCATTATACATAGGAAAGTTGGTATTCATCTAGGACAATATCAATACATGGACTTGCATGAATGGACTGGAAACTCTCATTGATTCAATGTATAAGATGAATTTAGTTTAAAATTAATTAATTTTTGTGAGCAGGCAACTGAGATCAAACTTGACAAACTAAGCACCACTGATTGATTTTACAGAGACAATATTTCCCTAGTATCCAGTCTATATCTGTAAGTGCATGATGAGTTTTAATGTTTATATAAAGATTTTATAGTCTATCATTTGTTATATCCACCATACTTTGTTTGGGGTGCCTTCCATCCATCTGTCCAGCTATATTTTATTTAAACTCTGGCAGGGTTGTAGATGTGAAATAGTTTTTTAACAATAGCTTAGAATAAACACATGATTGGTTTCATTTTATACAACAACACATGTATTCTGTAATTTACAATGGATTCTGCTTTCGACTACCACATAGCACTGTAAGATATTAGAACATTTTGGATAAGATTTGTATTTTGAGCATTTGTAAAAGTTTTCAAAACCTCTCATTCTGGTTGTTCATATACTTCTGCTAATTAGAACAATATAAACAGCTGTATACATATTACCATGGCAAATCCAATATCAGATGATATCACATTATTTTCTTGAATGATATTATTGTAAATCATACTATTATATGACTTCTAACCACTGTATGCAAGCACAAATTGTACACTTATAATCATATATTGTCCATCTACATACATAGATGCATCTATCAGTTCACCATTAATTTTTAATTATCCCAATAAATGAATTCATTAGGGATATAATGAAGCCCCCCATCTCCTTTCAATCGAGTCTGTTTGTCAACAAGTCCATCAGAGAAATATCTCGAACACTAGTGGATACCTAGTGGATGAAAATTGTTCAAGCATGAAATGTTTTTTTCAAGCAGGTCACAACTTTTAAAGTGGCAGGCATTTTTGATATTTTTTCATTCCCAATAATTTGGAGATTTCAACCAAGATTTGTACCATGGAAAATATAAAGTAGGTGTCTACTGTAGGAATTTATAATAATTTGGAGATTTCTTCTAAATATGGCTATATTACATGTACAGTATACTCAAATCTTTCGATTTGAGAAGTTAAAAAAAATATGATGTATTGGCTTTGAAAATGGACCCTTGAATGCTCACATGTGGTGACATATTGTTATGGTCTCCCTTTTTTTGTGACTGCAGTTGGTGATCGGTGGTCTGCGATTGACGTCTGTAACAATTCTTATTAAAACTTCCAAATTAAATTTGACTTTATTTTTAAGATTTGACCTGCCGTGATCTTTTCAAGGTCAAAAAGGTATTTTTTCAACTTGCTTCAAATTGACAATTGTTTTTTCGAAATCATCTAGAAATTCTCAAAACTTCAAATCTGACTTTACATTTGAGATTTCACCTTCAATGACCTTCTCAATGTAAAAAAGGTATTTTTCAACTTTAAATTGACCAATTTCTTTTTTCAAAATCATCTACAAGTTCTCAGAAATTCAAATCAAACTTCAGACAATTGAGCAACTAGGTGGTGACATTTTGTCATGTTAATGCCTTGTTGGGATTTGCTACTCCATGGAGTAGCTGTTTTCTAGTTTATACATGTACACTATGTAATTATAATATCAATGTTTATGCTAACAATCTATGTCGCAGCATATGTAGTTTGTTCTTCTGTTCACATATCAAATGTGTCTGTTATCTGAGAGGGTTCAAATCAAGACAAATAGAAAAACTACAGAACTTGTAGCACACATCCATCTGGCTCCCTGCTCATAATTGCATTGGGCAATATCTGGATGCTATACAATGTGTATAGACTGTATCCAGACTGTATGACTGTGGGAGGAGGGGTGACAAGCTCCAGTGACATGTGTGATAGAAAGGCTAGCGTTTGATTCAAAAATTAATATGAAATGGCTTACTGTATTCCTCTTTAATTTGGCGAGTGTTTTAAATTGGCGAATTTTAACAAATTAAAAAAATCTCTCAATTAAATAGTCACCGAAATTCCTGGGAATTTGACATGTTTTTCATTTGGTGCATTTCCGGTTATAAGAAAGATATACGACGATGGCTGGGCCATTTAAATTGAAAGAAACAAGAACTATTGAAGAAATGTATAAACAACAGGAAATACTGAAAAAAAATGTTCATCAACAACACTGACTCGAATTAGGTTAGACAGGAGGATGTCTGGGACACTTGAAAAACCGCCAAATTAAATAGACGCCAATAGGCCCAAAAGCAAAAATCACCAAATTAAGTAGCGCCAAATTAAAGACAAATACAGTAGTTAGCCTCATATAGATCATTCAAAACCACAAAAAATATACTTTTTATAAATATTTTGTATAAATATTTTATTAGACATATGGTGCAATATATAATTGTGTACTGGACTAACTGCATGAGATTTCACTAATGAATTAATAAAGTTTATGATTCTAATATAATAATAATAATAATCATGGTAACATTGTTGTTTTATATGAGTGGTGTACAAAGCATATTTTCTCCATCTCTAGAAGCTTTGTGTAAAATAATTTCAAAGCACTTGTAGCTTTGGTGGAAGGGTTGTTCAGAGAGAGACTTGCATATTAGACCTCTAATGACTTACATTACCTTCTTTTAAATGGTATATTTGAATTCAGTGGAATGTTTTCTCCTAAAATAGCTTTGATTTACACAGTTATGTAATTTGAATAATTTTCTATGACAATTTAAAAAAAGTTGGGCCAAATGTCCATAGATGCAATGCTAAAATTCTTTAAAACCGTGGATTATTTGTATGTCAATCAACATTAGCATGTTTAATCACAACATGTTCATAAACAGGGTCATCATGTGGTATATCATTCAAGTTTTATACAGATTCAACAAACACATTTTGATAAATCATGAAATTAAGCCACTTTTCCAAGATTTTAGCATGTAAGTGAATGGAGCTCTAGCCAGAGTTAAAAGCTGAATAAAAGATGGCAGCACGAGATTTCATTGATTTTTCTGCTATTTAGAAACTATCCTATTCAAGTGCATGTTTTAAACATCAAGTCCATTTCCTCAAAAGTACATTTTTTCTTATAAAAAGGTCAGTTCCCGATCATACCTCTAGTCTATTGCACAAAATAACTAAATTTAGTTGCAAAAAGCATATTCGATGACTAGACTTTGAGGCGGTGACAGTGTGAGCAACTGGTACGTAATATAGATATCACTGAACTTGGCAGATTCAATTTGGCACTTCGTATATTGCACTATCATTTCACTTTAGTCCCATTTGATTTGCCAGCTTTCTCTCGTTTCCAAACAATTACAAGTCCAGTGGAGTCGCATGAAGCAAGTAGGCTCTCATCATGAGTGAAGCATACATCTATGACAGCTGCTGAGTGACCTTGGAGTTTGTTTACGCATGGTTTGGCATCACGTTCTACATCAAAGAAGTAGACAGTCATATCTTCACTACCCGTCACTGCAAAACAATGTAAAGCAAACCTATTTATTATAGCATTAGGAATTGGGCATTGAGATTCAGTGATGGGATGTCTATCAATGTTAATCCTATTCTAAAATGTAAACTACAAAATCTCAATTGTTCAGTTCATTCCCTAGTCGACCTTGAATAATTTAATTGTGCATTTGAAACTCCCAAAACATCTGTCAAAAATGTGGGAATTTGCAGGAATCCGAAGATATTTACAAGTATATTGCTAATATTATAACATGAGATCTTTCAGATTCATTTTGTTCATTGGGATTTGCTAGTCCTTTGCTACTTGCCGATCAGAATAAGAAAGGGCCTTCACTTCACTATCAAACTGAAAACTCTAATACTTAAATATTGTACTAACCTACACCGATAAGACCTTAGCGCATCCATGCCACTGCAAAGCCCTATGTAATGTCAAACTGAAAACTATTATACTAAAATATAGTACTAACCTACACAGGCACCCATTCTGAATGACATGAGAGGACAGAAGATGCTACGTGTGTGTTCACTGCGCTGTTTAACTGGAAACTTTTTTTTCAACTGTAAATTGCCTTCCTCTCCCTGAGCCCTTAAAGTAAAACAAGAACACACAATTTACAATATCTAATCCATTCTGAAAAGAATAATGCTTTTTGTCCCGGTGTTGAATATACTACATGAGAACATTCCATTGGGAATAAGGAGATAACATAATTTGGATATACCTATACAAAGTATAACACTATGGAATTCGGCTTATCAAAAAGTTGCTTTTATGAATAGGGATCAATAGTTCCAATTCTTTGAAATGAGGAAAAACTTTGGGTAAAAATTGCTCAAATGAGTTATTTTTCCATCAAATGGACTTTTGAAGATTTCTTTATATTTTTTAACAGAAAATCTACTAAAGTCTATGTCAATGCATTAGAAATGAGCATTTTTGCTTAAATCATATGTACTAAAGTCTATGTCAATGCATTAGAAATTATGTTGCAAACGGAATGCCTCTGTCCCAACTGAATTTGTGATTCAATAATTTTTTCTTCAGTTGATTTAATTTGTACAGCTAGAAAACAAAATTGGAGGGTATGTACTTCAAGGGACCGTCTCAAAGGTATAACTAAAGCTTTTTATAGTAGTAAGTACTCAACTAGAAAGTCACGATCACTACTTGAATCACAAAAATATTTTTTTTCTTTTAACAACCTTTATTTTACTAAACAGGACGTTTCGGATCCTGTCTGGATCCTTTTTCAACTGTATAATAAAAACTGAACTGAAATGTTGCGCTACAAGGGAACTATAAATTGGCGGGAATTTGGAATGAATTTTTGGTGAATTAATATGACATAATATTGTTTTTATTTAATTGTTTTGTAGCACTTCAGTTCAGTTTTTATACAGTTGAAAAAATCAACTAAAATTATTGAATCACAAATTCATTTGGGACAGAGGCATTCCGTTTGCAACATATTCCTATTTTGTGGATAAAAATTTTTTGTTGGAAATTAGAGCAAAAATGCTAATTTCTAATGCATTGACATAGACTTTAGCACTATTTATAGTACGAGTATATATTTTTCAATTTTGACTTCATTTACCTTCAAATATCCTTGTCAAATAATGTGAAATAAAGACAAAAAATATGACCAACAGTTTGCAAGATATTTTGTATTTCCCCAAACTGCCAAATATTCTTCTAAAGGTGCAGGTGTCTTGGAGAATATTTTACAGACATACTCTATTTCTCTGACATACATATAGTGCTATTTATAAAAAGATATATGTTTTACCTATAAAGTCGAAGTGTGTTATCACAACAGTTGACTAGCACTGTGGGGTCTCTAGCTTCTCTACTAAGCCAAGTCCTAAATTGGATACTAGTTACCGCATGTCCTTCATTCACCATTACTCTAAAACACACAAGATATAAACAGAATAAACAAGACACACAGCAATAAATATTGCACTTTTAAATTTGGAGAGCAAAATGATTTTAGGCCCTGACTCTTCATACAATTTTAACAGACTCCATGACTTTAAAAAGCAGTTTCTTGTTGCGTTTATGTCAATAAATGATATGGCTGTTAAACCTGAAAAAATCAATAAAATATCCTCATGGGATCTGGCCATTATATGCAGCCTTAATAGCAGCCATTTTGAATTGAGCAGTCATACTGGATATTCATTCTCAAGCAGAGGTCCTATGCCCATAAGCCATAAGTCTAAAGAATTTTAATAAAATTCATTGACCAGTATTTGAGTAATTACCTGGACAGACAGAGGGACATATTTTCTATATTCATACTCGGAGTTTTGGTGGGATAATAATGCTATGGTTGGTGTGATCAATAGTTCAATATAGCATGTAGTTAGAACAAACTTCATTTTTGAAATAAATATATACTTACTTCTTGGCTTTGCTTATTTTTCCTGTTGCAATATTGAATATAAATGAGTATATGAATCCTTTGTCATCGCCCACCCATAGTATTCTGCCTGCTGTATGGAATGCTAAACATAATGCTTTTCCTTGAGTGCGACCAGTTCCATGCTGCAATACACAAAAGCCACACTTTAAATGAAACAATCAAGGCATTTATATGCAAATTTCACCACCTGTCATTTGTTACAGACACTGAGCACAAACCGCCAAATGCCAAACACCAACCATCAAACACTACACTATCCACAAAAAAGTTGGAGACTATGACAATATGTCACCACTTGTGATGTCATTAAAATGTGAGTCTTTATCAAGATTTTTCTATCATTAGGTCTATAAAAATGTTAAACAATATTTTTGGATCACAGTTTTGTACATAGATTGAATAGATTTTAAATAAACATGTAATAATGCTTTATTGAAACTTTCTATATTTAATATTGGGTTTATATAGGATTATGATATTAATTATGCACCTCCAAATTAAAAACTAATTATTGTTACCTTGACAACCTTGCCAGTAGACATGTTCCATACATATACTTGACCTTTACTGTTTCCTGTCTATCAAATGGTCAAGGATTGCACTTTTATATTACATTATAATGTAAACTAGAAAAACAGCAAATCCCGGATTAGCAAATCGCACTGAAAAGAATCACTTGTCATTTTGAACATTTCATGATGGAAATAACCATGCTATAGTCTCTTTTGATAAGATGTACAGCCAGAACATGATGAGATATGAAATTCCTTCTCAAATTTGAGATCATATGCGCATAAAGCATCAGCTCATGAAAGGATGGGTCTGGGAATGAGTCTGGGTATCGACTTAGAAATTATTGAAAATTGTAATGTCTGAAAAACCAACTCAATCACACATATTATTAGGAGGCCCTCCTGAAAGGGCCTCCTATAGCTTTTGTAGCTTTTCTTTATTCTTCTTTATTAGGAGGCCCTCCTGAAAGGGCCTCCTGTAGCTTTTGTAGCTTTTCTTTATTCTTCTTCTTCTTTCTTCTTATTCTTCTTCTTATTATTATTCTATCAAAGCAGTTTTCTCCTACTTTCAACTAGCTTTCAACTTTCTACTATATGCTCCTACTAGATACCTGGTTTGATCTTGATGGGAAAATATTTCATATCTAGGTCAAGGTCAAAGGTCAAAATCTAGGTCAAATCTAAGTTTTTTTTCAAGTTTCTCAAGTTTGGATTCAAATTTAGGGTTAGCCTAAGCATAAAAGACCTACTGAGCTCTAAAACAGTAATATTTTCAAGGTCAAGGGTCATGGTTATCAAATTAGGTCAAAGGTCAAAATCTAGGTCAAATCTAATTTTTTTTAAGTTTCTCAACTTTGTCCTTATACTTCATTATTTCTTGCGATGAATTAAACTGAAACTACATTTTAGTATTTTCTACAAATTGTTCACTAGATGTCAGCATTAAATTTTTACCGTTTTTGAGATATTTGACGTCAAAAAACGGTCGAAAAATGCCATTTTTCAACTTGCTTCAATCTGACCAAATTTTTTTTTAAAAGTCATCTACAAGTTCCCATGAGTCCAAAGCTGACCTCAGATTTGAGCTTTGACCTTTAGTTGACCTTCAATGACCTTCGAAAGGTAAGAAAAGTTGATTTTTCAAATTGAGTCTTTGGATTCAAATTTAGGTCAGCCTAATTACAAAAGACCTACTGAGGTCTAAAAAAGTAAAACTTTTCAAGGTCAAAGGTCAAGATCATGAAATTAGGTCACAAACTGTGCTATCTAAGTTTCGCAGAGTTCGAGACTACAAACCAATATTTTTAATCCGAAGTTGAAATATACACATTCCTCTAAGGGTTCTACACATATTAGCAATTGACTATCTAATAGAATTTTGTCCCAGTTTGAGATATAAGAGTTCAAAAGTTGAAAAAAGGTCAATTTCGAAATTTTCCAAGGTCAAATTTCAACTCGCTTCAAATTGACAAAATTTTTTTTGAAAATCATCTACAAGTTCTCAGGAGTTCACATCTGACCTCAGATTTGATATTTGTCCTTTAGTTGACCTTCAAATTGTCAAAAATGCCTAAGAGGGCCTCCGTGAGATTGCTTGCAATCTTCAAAAGTCTAGTTAAACTTCAATATCTTATCCTTCTTCTGAGATTACAAAAATATCAATTTGTATCACAATTGATGAAGAATATTGGCATCAAAGACAGTGCATATCACTTTGTCAGAATTGAAAAAATATCAATGGCAAATATTAAATGAATTATTTATGCAAAAAGTTTGAAACATATCTTCCAAAACATTGGTTACTTTCTTTGTATAGACATTGAATGGTATTTCTGGATAAGTGAATTGGTGTTTATCTGGGTAATCAAGGGATTATAGTCACTCAAAGTTACTGAGCATCCAGTTTTGAGACTTCAATTGTGTTGGTGATGTTACACATATTTCAGTCAAATTCATGCTGAGCACAACATTTTGGTTTCAATTTTATAATCTCTATACATGATCCTGGTGATGAAGAGTCAGAATCAGTCAAAAGACCTAAACCGTAAAACTGTGCTCATTGTGAAAACTAAAAGTGAAGCAACCTTTTTTCTGATATTTCTTACATCAATTGGCAACCATCTTGTTTTTCTCCCTTCAAATTAAACTGGCGGGAAATTCAAAAATTTGAAAAAATTTTTTAATCCTTAAATATATTTCAAAAATATGATTTTATTTTTAATTCTTCATGGGTCTTAAGTTATTTCTTCTTTGTACAACTTATAACGTATACTTATACTTATAGGTAAACGTACAAGGTGTTTCATAATGTGGGCTTTTCGTCAGGAAAGATCTTCTCGGACTGTAATAAATACAGGTCAAAGGGATGCCATTTGTACTTTCTTGAATTGTAGCATGTTTAGTTGATCCAAATGTGTTAGTCTAGAATAAAATAGGCTCATATATAGTACATATGTTATAGAACCATCTCTTCTCAAATTGACTTTTGGAGATGCTCGTTATGAAACACCCTGTATGTCATATGTTGAGCTACTGAATGGGTCGTTTCCGAGAATTGCTAGAACCTACTGGTTTGATTGGTGTTTCAAATTGATGGTTAAAGTATTTGATTGGATACTGTTCCCACTCAGCCAATTAATTTCAAAAAATGCTTGCGGTCAATTGTTCCACACACATGTAGGCAAATCCTCATACGGAGATCCAACTGTATACGTTATCATCTACGTAAATATACCGTTTTGTAAGTTCATTGAACTTATACTGATCATGAAAACAATGAAATAATCAACTTGTTTATGCAATGACTCACTTTAAAGAATCATGATTCACTTTAAAGGATCGTGTTTATAATACACTACAACTACAAGGACACGGAAGCAAGCATTTAATTATAATGTGCATAATCTACACGTGCAGATGACAGTGCATCCACAGTCTCTGGTTGATGGAGCTTTTCTGTATCGGGAATAGTTATGTTCCATTAAGTACAATTTAAAATTGGTTTTAGTAAATATAATAGTTCGACATGACCCTTTAAACTATACGTATACGTATAAGTTGTACTTTCACTTATGTGCGAAATCTCTCTAATGACTATTTTTTGTTTTGTTAAGATACTTATTCTGACTCTCAGCTGGGGGTTAATTATGCATCAAAACTCGTGAAAAAGTAAATATACTAAATCAAATATAACTAGGACAGTAATGAAAACCATATTTCACATACATTTGACTGAGGGACCAAAAGAGCATATACCCGGACACATCCTTTGGACCATCAAATATAACATTTTAACAAAAAACAGCAGTCGTCTAGATTAAGCAGCCATATCGGAAATTCTTTCTATAATTTCAGGCCCGTAAGACACTTTTCTCCAAGGGGGGTGCGGTTTTTAGCTTACTAAAGAGAATATAAAATTGTCATTTTTTTGCCGCGTAATCAAATCGCGTAAGACAGAGGGGGGGAGGGTCAGTTACTCCCTATATTGGTTTGGAATTAACAAATGCAACTTCCAAACGTTCCAATTGTTTTGTGGGGGGTATGAGGAGTGGTCCACTCCCCCTAGAACATTTTACAGTTTTGAGATGCTATTTGGTGCTTTCTGGGCACTTTCAATGTGTAAGTTTCTAAGTAGTACGCCACCACCACGGGAATAAGAGCTGAGTGAATAAAAAACTGAGCATTCAGGGCCTAGGGGGTCTGGGGGTTCTCCCCCCAGGAAAATTTTGAAATTTGGTTGTATTTGGAGCAAATTTGCAACCATCTGGTACGCCTGTGCGATATGAGTCAATAAGAAAAATGTGAATTTTATTTTCAAATTCTTTTAGGGGTGTCAAAGAGGATGAGAGGGGGAAGTGGGGTGGGGTGCCAGTAGGGGCGCAAGGGGTTGTCCCCCAGAAACATTGACCATATCAAGGTGCTATTTGATGATGTCTGGGCACTTAAAAAATGTCTGAGACAATACATGAAATTCAGAATATTTTCTTTTGTTTTGTGGGGGATGTGAGGGGTGGCTAACTCTCCTAGAAAAATTTACAATTTAAAGATGGTATTTGGTGCTTCTGGGCACTTTTAAAGTGTATTAGTCAATAAAAACATTGAAAAACAATCACAATTTTTTTCAAATTTTGGGGGTGTCAAAGGGGGGAGGGGTGCCAGAGGGGGAGGTGGGGCTGGGGTGCCAGAGGGGGAGCAAGTGTTTGTCCCCCATATCAAAATTTACAATATCAAGGTGCTAATCGATGAAGTTTGGGCACTTTAAAAGTGTCTGTGCCTAAAAGTGCCTATTTCCCAAGAAAATTTTACAATTTTAAGATGCTATTTGGTGCTTTCTGGGCACTTTTTGGGGTGTTAAGGGGGGGGGGGCTGCCAGAGGGGGAGGTGGAGTGGGGATGCCAGAGGACGAGTAAGTGTTAGTCTTCCAGAATCATTAACTTTATCAAGGATCGAGCTATTTGATGATGTCTGGGCAATTTAAAAAGTGTCTGAGACAAAACACTAAAATAAATTTAGAACTTTCCATTGTTTTGTTTGGGGTGTGAGGGGTGGCCCACTCCCCCTAAAAAATTTTACAATTTTACGACGCTTTTTGGTGCTTTCTGGGCACTTTCAAAGTGTATGAGTCAATTAAAGAATTTGAGAAAATCACAATTTTTTTTTTGGGGGGGGGTCAAGGGGGGGGGGGCGCCAGAGGGGGGGGGGGCGCCAGAGTGGGGGGGGGGCAAGTGCAAGATGCAAGAGGGGGAGCGAGTCCCCCAGAAACACTAACTATATCAAGGAGCTATTTGATGATGTCTGGGCACTTTAAAAACTAAAAGTGTCTGAGACAAAACACTAAAATAAAAGAACTTTCCATTGTTTTGTGGGGGGTGTGAGGGGTGGCCAATACCCCTAGAAAATTTTTCAATTTTAAGATGCTATTTGGTGCTTTCTGGGTACTTTCAAAGTGTATGAGTCAATGAAAAAAAAATTACAAAAAAAATATTTTTCAAAAAAAAACATTTTTTTCAAATTTTTTTTGTGGGGTGACAAAGGGGGGTGCGGTCGCACCCATCGCACCCCCCTATCTGACGGCCCTGAATTTGAACCAAATCCATCAACTGAGTTTTAAACCAGAAAGATGAATGGACATACAAACAAATGAGTGGGCAAATGGCTTCTTTGCTTGAACTTTATTCAGTTCAGATAAGAAGGCTATCTGGTATCTATAAAACTCTATAAGGCAAGGGTTTCATGTGTGTTCCTCTGGAGTGGCCACTTATATTTTCTCATCAGTAAATGTAACTGTGACAGTGCATGTAGGATTTATTTATGTAAAGGATACAACAAAGAAGTTATTGTTGAGTGGTTGGAATAGACAACAATGGACTTCTGACCTAAGTGGATCCTCTATAATTCTAATGCACTTTCCCGATGTAACATTCCACAACCTAGCAGTACAATCCAATGACACTGACAGTATGATGTCATTTGACACTGACCATGTGAAATCTGAAAACACAATAAATATTGGCTTATTTTAATTATTGAATATAAAATCATAGTATACAAGTAGAAAATGGCAATGCCAATTCATAGTCAATTCCAAACATCTTAAGGATCAAACAAAGCTACCCGCCATCATTTCACAAAATAGATGAATTGTCAAACCTATCATTCCCCTCTTTCTTTTTTGAATTTTTTTAAATATTATGGTAGTTGAGAATGACATATGCAGAGATAACTGATTCTTTCAAGACAAATGGTGCAAGTGAATGAATCAGATAAATGGTGCAAGTGAATGAATCAGATAAATGGTGCAAGTGGATGGAACATATGGTGTAAGTCAATGAATCAGATAAATGGTGCAAGTGGATGGATTGAACATATGGTGTAAGTGAATGAATCAGATAAATGGTGCAAGTGGATGGATGGAACATATGGTGTAAGTGAATGAATCAGATAAATGGTGCAAGTGGATGGATTGAACATATGGTGTAAGTGAATGAATCAGATAAATGGTGCAAGTGGATGTATGGAACATATGGTGTAAGTCAATGAATCAGATAAATGGTGCAAGTGGATGGAACATATGGTGTAAGTCAATGAATCAGATAAATGGTGCAAGTGGATGGATTGAACATATGGTGTAAGTGAATGAATCAGATAAATGGTGCAAGTGGATGGATGGAACATATGGTGTAAGTCAATGAATCAGATAAATGGTGCAAGTGGATGGATGGAACATATAGTGTAAGTCAATGAATCAGATAAATGGTGCAAGTGGATGGATGGAACATATGGTGTAAGTCAATGAATCAGATAAATGGTGCAAGTGGATGTATGGAACATATGGTGTAAGTCAATGAATCAGATAAATGGTGCAAGTGGATGGATGGAACATATGGTGTAAGTCAATGAATCAGATAAATGGTGCAAGTGGATGGATGGAACATATGGTGTAAGTCAATGAATCAGATAAATGGTGCAAGTGGATGGATGGAACATATGGTGTAAGTCAATGAATCAGATAAATGGTGCAAGGGGATGGATGGAACATATGGTGTAAGTCAATGAATCAGATAAATGGTGCAAGTGGATGGAACATATGGTGTAAGTCAATGAATCAGATAAATGGTGCAAATGGATGGATGGAACATATGGTGTAAGTCAATGAATCAGATAAATGGTGCAAGTGGATGGATGGAACATATGGTGTAAGTCAATGAATCAGACAAATGGTACAAAGGCCTGAATCGGACAAATGGTGATTTGGAGAAATGGTGTAAGTCAATGAATCAGATAAATGGTGCAAATGGATGGATGGAACATATGGTGAAAGTCAATAAATCAGATAAATGGAGTACAAGTGAATGAATTAGACAAGTAATTGATTGTCATTGATGCGAGTACAATACCTGTTACTCCAGCCTGGTGCCCCACTAGTACTGATACGACACCAGGTGGCTCTGGTGTCACATGACATATAGATAGTTGCCCATCCATAGAGCTACAGGCCAACTTGCTCTTGTCATCATTGGCAAATTGCACACGTGTCACTGGAATAGAATCATATTTTCAGGGACAGAAACTAGTATCTATGGATGACAATAAAACATCAAAATTATGACACTATATTATTCATTGTCCATTATGCAATGGACAATCAAAAAATGGGTATACTTTTGAAAAAAAACCAGATGACTTTATGCTTCAACCAATGGGATACCTATGATACCTGCATGATATTTCTGTTCTTTATCAACTGGAGTCACACATAGTCTTTCGAGTTATTCTTGATAATCCTAATCATCTTTGATATTAAGGTGTTTAATAGATCCATGTTCCTCATTTTTAACGAATGTTTGAATATGCCCCATGTCATGACAATGCTCCTAACTATGCTTCCATTCTTTGGAGCTTATAAAAATGAATCTTGCATACAGTTTTTGAGGTGTATGTATTCTAGCTCTCAGTCCAGACCTAGTTTGTGTGTAGTCATCTGATTTATTGTTCATGTATTAACCATTACCTATTCCTCATACAGTTTTTAACTTATATTTGAAAATGACACTTTGAAATCAAGTCTTTTTGGAATTTCTTTCTGCATTGGTCCCTTCGTCTTAGATATGATTTTGTCTTATGGTTGATTTCATTACAAGTTAGTACTGGGTACTGAGTCATACCATACCATCATATACCATACCATACTACCATATACCATGACATACCATCATATACCATTATCATATCATTATATACCATACCATACCATTGAATACCATATGTAGAGTTACATATTGTTCAGTTTACTAACCTGATGCCTGGTGCTGGTCAAATATATGATGCATTCCAGCAAATGCATAGTTTTCAAAAACACTGGTGTCACCAGCCATGGCCCTGCAAACAAACATATCAACAATAAGAGAGTACAATTCATAAAGATGTCTGTTCGTGTAACTTGGTGAACACACATGTTCAATTTACATGTAATTCAATTTTATACTTATGTAGTTAAAGCTAATAAATTATCTTGAAAGCAAGAAAATGTATTTGTAACCATTTCATCATCTCTTTGATAACTGATCCCTTAACTTATTAGAGAAACAATGAAGCAGAATAAAATAATAATATTGTAAAATCTATAGATTACTGATGTTGTAGTAGTCCATCAGGGGTGTATGTGTAGGTAACACCATTAACTGCTTCCATTGAATGTTCTATTCCAATCTCAAATCACACTTAATTTTGTTTCTTGGTTTCAAATCCTTGCCAATACCTCAAAATAGTAACTATCAAAACTGACACTTAAACAACATTATAGATCAAGGGAATGCTTTTAATAATAATAGAGAATACATCAAACCTGGCACGTTGCAAGATTATTTTATCATACATGTACTCAACCTCTAAATGAACTGGATAATGGCATTGCCAAGGTGAAGAGAACCCCATCCAGCCTATTGCATGCATTTTAAGAAACCTTTACTTGAATAGACTAAAACTTTTGTCATACCTACAACAATTTTAAAGCAATTGTTAGAAATGAAGAGGATCTCCAAAACAGAATGACAGAATTTTTTTATTTGGCACATTGGATAGAAATAAATCGAAGGTCACAGCCTCTAAACCTAACTTAGGCATGTTATATTCAAGTTGAAAAAACTGAGTAACTTTGATTGAGTAGCTTTTGAATAATTACTCTATTCTCAAAAATAGTTCAGTAAAAAGAACTGGAGGAATTGTTTAATAAAATAAAACAGTCAAATCTCAATGTCATGACACTAAAGCCATGACATCAGATTTATTTCATTATACTACAGATTACTGGATCAAAGGATAAACTCGTAAATGTGGGCCAAATTAATTCTTGATCTTTTAAAAGTGAAAATTCACTGCTTTGAGGGTAGACCATCTTGAATTCGATTATAAAGTTTTTAGTTGTTCTAAACTGACATCATAAAATATTCTCTATAACTTAAGAACAAGCAGAGTTAAACAACAACTGAAAGCTTCTTGATAACATGTTGTCTGATAAACATAGAATGACACTGAAATAAGATAACATAAACAACTTTTAAAGTGTGAGAACCAAAAAATACTTATGTCAGAGTAATCTATATTTACTATTATACTATGACAAATGTGTATGGGAGGGGTGATAAAGAAAGTTTTAGGGAGGGAAAATATACATATATCTTAAAACATAACAGTTTAAAGATGAAAAAGTACAGTACAGACCTTGTTAGAGTATAAATAAATTTAGGATATTGAATATTATACATGCATATAGAAAAACTGTGTCCATGCAGGTATTAAAATACAGGATTAACCTTATAAGAGTAAAATAATGTGCAAATATAATAAAGGTAGGGATAATGAATATAGCATACTGTGTCTGTACTGTGCAAAAATTGATATCAGGAAAGGCCAATAAGTAATATAAAATGCCAACCCATTCTGATGGTGACATAAAAACAGAGATATTGAATAAAGCACCCTTTGTAGACTGAAATGGTGCCAAAAGCTAAAATCAAGTTCTTCAAAAAATACAGTAAAGTTGACACCAAAGATGGTACAATTTTGAAACTACATGCATTGTATTCCCTTTTTTGAGCCAATTTGAATTCTCCCTTCTCTTTTTTGAGCCAATTTTAATTTTACCAAGGGATTTTCTTCCTGGTGCTGAGGAAAAGGAGTCTCGGAGGAAAGAACTATGTGCTGTGGTGAAAGAGGTGAAAAAGCTAAAGTTCAATTGCAAGCTATGACTGATTTTTTAGACTTTGAAAAATCCTGGGGATGCCCCTGTATATGATAAAAATATGGCAAGTGATAATTCAATAATCACCTAGAAGGAAGAACGAGCATGGGCATTCTACTAATCTCACAAATCTTGGATTAATCAGACCCAACTGTTAATCCATGATTTAAGGCCTGTCCTGAAACTTTTTTGGCTACGAGCATGAAATTATGGCGGCATGGAATCTTGGCTACACACATGGAATCATGGCTCAAGCATTGAATTATGGCTCAAGCATGGAATTATGGCTACAAGCATTTAGTATAATGGGTAGAGGAATACCAAGGAGAACTCCTACCTAATCTGATCATCAGTGAGCATGCTCCATGTACTGCCTGATGCCTGATCAAATGGGCCCTTTAACTTGGGTGAAAAGTTTGGGCTGTACATGTGGATAGGGCTAGATGGGCTAGATAACAGAACAGCCAATGCTGTATGTAGTAATGTATCCATACTATCTTCATGACACACATACACATACGTACATAAGCAACATTAAACAAGCCTCAATCTTAAGTATGATGATTGAAAAAACAATGCAAATGATAAAACAAGGAATCGAGTGAAAATAGAAAGAAGAAATATTTGTTTTACTGAAAACTTAAATCTTCATACCATGCTTTTAATACGAAGGATTATGTTTTAAAATTCAATGATGTCAACAAAATCAATATTACAAAAAACAAATAATCTGAACACTTTTGATTAGTCTAGGCCAAAAAGTGTTCAGATTAGACAAGTTTTCATGTGCATGTAGTATGGCTCTTTGATACATACTTTGGCTTCTTAATGTCATAATCATATTAGAATTGCGAAGTCTCTTTTACGAGAACTACATGGAAAAGTTGATCGATCAATACTTTTAACAAATTTTTACTTTTTTAAACTGTAAAAAAATTCAAACCAATTGCCTAAATAAAATGACTAAAATAACAATTAATATGAAATTTTATGAAAACTAATATACGTATTTGTCTTGTTAAGTTTGTGCTTGTAAATATTATGGCAATATATATTTGTATACATATAGCAGAGGGTAAACATTTAGCAAACAGATGCTTCACCATATTGAGAAACATAGTGAGCTTAATTCATTGCAACTAAAAATCCTATAAACATTTGCTCTCATGACATATTTAAGATTGAGACCAAAGATGTGCATATAACAGTTATTATTAGTAATGCATTATATTATTAAATACAAAATAAAGTTTATAGTTATAATACTAACACCAAACAGATACTAACAAGCATAAAGAGATAAATAATAGTCTATGGCAAGCATTATTTATCAACATTCAACATTCACCCTCTGCTGACTGTTCTAAAGAAATAGCCACACTGTGCCAGTGTGGGGGAGACTAAATGGATTATACTTTTCCTTTGACCTTCTTGCTCAAATATCTGAGTCAGAGCTACTTCAAAAGGCTTTTACTGTTTGGCATGCCATGTCTTGAGGATGTATCAGAGCTAACCTAAGCTCTAAGAATTCAAGATGATCAATGAATGGTTTTCCTGACTGACTTATAATCATACTTTCTTCATCAAGTTCCTCAACAACATTGGATTGCCAGCAATCCATTTTGAATTTGCCAAAAACTAGATTCAACAATGATTCTTTTCAGAAAAACATCGGTTATATATAAATATGTGTTTATGGTATTCATGATTTTGGAATTGGGCAACCGTCTCATTCTGTTAACCTGTATTGATTTTATTCCTGAAACGACTAGCCATATATATAAGTACTGGCAAAGTCTGAATGTAATATGATCAAATATACTGCCATTTAAATGTCACAAATCCTGCACTACACTTTGTAATAAAAAAAATCTCTCCATATGACATGCCAATCTGTAAAAGCTCTAATATCTGGTCATGTGATCATTGTTACAGTAGAACAATCTAGTGAGAATTAATGTTTATATTTGATGAACCAATAGAAGGTAGAACAACCCAAAGGGCCATCCATGTAAAATACAAGATTGCATTGTGATACATTATAGTCACATTTGCAGAACAAGAGATGCAAAATAAATTGTGCGAATTTAAGTAAAGAAAAAAATATAAGGAATACATATGCATACCAAAGGTTAGAAATGTATATAAACTACATGTACGTATATGTGATTCAAATGGTGCAATGTGTGATTCTCTTACCTGCTAGCATCTGCAGCATGTGTAGGCACCACACCTGTCGGTTGAAATGTGGGCAAACTGCGACCTTGAACTACATCTAAGGGCTCAAGGTTATGTCTCCCAGAGTATATACTGCTTGTTCTGCTACGAACACTTCTAAAAGCACATGATACCACTGTGGTAGCAAACTCAACATGACGTTACACAATTTTTAAAACTCTTAAAGGCCCGGCCAAAGTTTGGAAATACTGTTTAACTATCTAAATATAATTGATCATGACTTAAAAAGTTGTTTTGGATTTTTTTGAGAAAGGTGACTTTATTTGAGAACAATGCTTCGCTGTAGGCCATGTGCTTATTTGTTTGATATTATTATGAACACAAACTGCAAAAGAAAACATTTAAATTTATTGATCATCAAATACTACACTTTAGAGACAGGAGGGAGGGTAGGCAGTGGTGGGAGGGTAGAGAGACATTAGGGAATGGCTAGGTAGAAGGGAAGGATGGGGCAAGAGTAGGGGGAGTGAAAGGGGAGATAGAGGGCAAGGGGAGGGAGAGGGAAAGAAGAGGGATTTATGAAACAGGGTGCTTTGCTTATATATTTATGAGTTTACATACCCAACCTCAGAGACTGCTCCATATCTCTGTGACAGTAAAGTGGCACGCATCTTCAAGTATTCCTTTCTTACAGCAGGATCCATCTGAAGAGCATTATTCATAGTGAAGTACTTATGCAAAAGACATGCATGTAAACTACAGCACAGGATAAACAGTGTCATGGGTTTGTATTCTTAATTACTGTACTAAAAATCTAATCAGGAGAATGCTGCCTTTACTACATGTACTTGCATTCAAAAATTAGTTCTTGCAATTTTTCTACATTTAAGTAATTTTTCATTAGAACAATCAATATCACTCTATTTTTCACAGAATCTAGATATTTCTCAATGTTTTTGGTTCACCTACCAACATATAGACTATAATTTTTGTAGATAATAAGACAAATGGTTGTCTATAATTATTAAATTTTGGACCGCTTACCTCTTTTTTGGCATTTTCCCTCAATAGCTGACTGCGCCTTCTGATATACAAAGTCCCTAAAGGTAAAAGAATTTTATTAGGTAACTGCCAAAGCTCTGATTCAAGATACTATCTGTACTAAATATGGGCTTATAAGAATGAGGGCTCTGCCCGATCTTTCATACCGTGTACAAGCCCCTGTAAATTTAGGAATAAAATATTCTGGCATTTCAAGCTTGCCTTTCTAATGCTTACAAAGGAATATGGTGCATGTAACACTGATTAAAATATCACAACGACGTCTGGTATTCGGACACTAGATCTAGCTGGTGAAAATTCGTACAAATGAAGTATATGCATGCAACACAACAACAAGGTAGGCCTAAGCAAGAGATGTAATTTTGTCTGCTTAGTTCTGGGATATTCCCTCCTTTAGGCTATAGAAAATTTGTAAAGAAGCATAGTGAACAGAACCCCCCCCCCCCCATGTTATCTATTCAGTATATATATATGGACAGGAAGGATTGGCAGCCAGAATGCAACATCGATACTCCCTAACAAAGCTAGCATCAGACGTCAGTCCTGGAGTCATACTTCTCACTTCAAAATTTGAATCTAGTTTTGGTCTTATTACTAAACAAAAAATTCAAAACACACAAGAAATGATCAACGATCATTAGTCGCTTAATTAATGGTCATTAGTTTGGATATTTCGAATGCTAATTGTGAATTTATCACATGCTATATATTGCAAGGCTTAGGCCTGGCACAACCGTCACCATGTTATTTAGTGTTTTTAAGTTTCGCAAGGATCCTGCCATGAACGTGGTAGTGTTATCGTGAAAGCCTGGTATAACCGTGACAATGTAATATTCTATTGCAAGGCCTGTCTTGTCATTTGAATGAGATTAGAATTATAGTTTGTAGAATTGAATTATGACAGGGTTCGTACACCTTTTTCAAAATGAATTTCCCTGACATTTCCCTGACATTTCCAGGCATAAAATGAAATTTCCAGATCTAGTTTTCCTTGCGCAGCCTCTAAAAAGTCTGTAACAACTGTATTATTTAAAAGACAAGACTTATTTTGAAACATTTTGGGTTTGTCCTTTCGTACCATTTCTCATGACTCAACTTTACTTCTACAGGCCGTCTAATTCACCAATTTATTCCTGATACATCATATTCTTAATTTTACATATTTACGAAGGTAAACATACATGTACAGGGGCATAGTCAGCAAGTGTCAAGGGGTGCACTTTTGGGGTATGCATCACTGCAAGTGAAGGGAACCAAAAGGGGGGTATGGGGGTACACCCTTGGAAAATTTTCAAAATTGACAATTGTATATGGTGCATTCTAAGCATTTCAAACTATAATTTGTCAATGTTTTGTAATGAATCCAAATAAAAACTGAAACTTAAAAATGTTAATCTAAAGAAAAATAGCAACTCCCTTGAGGGGCAATTCCCACCTAATGAAACATATTTTATTGTGAACATTATATGAAAAGTGTCAAGTGTCTTCTTGAGCACAAAAGGGATGCATATTTGGGGTTTGCATCACTGCGAGTGAAGGAAACCCAAAGGGGGGGGGGGTATGGGGGTACACCCCCGGAAATTTTCAAAATTGACAATTAAATATGGTGGATTCTAAGCATTTCAAACTATAATTTGTTAATGTTTTGTGGTGAATCCAAAAACAAAGAGCATTGGTATATAAAATTTTAACCAAATCTGTCAACTGATATTTGAGTTAGATAAATAGACTGAATATGACCGGACTGTCCAACAGACAGCTCCTTAATATAAATACAAACTGTAAAGAGTTCACTGATTTTTTGTTTTTCACCTCCCACCATCCTTAGATTAACCCCTCAACAAACCATGAAACATATACCAGTAATTAACTTTGAATGGCCTTAAACTAACTTACTACATGGAAAAGCATAATTGTATTGAACATATTCTTTATTGTTCGGTTTCAGTATAATGTTCACTGTTCTAAACCAGATTTAATGTCATTCAATCAACCCTAATGAAAAGATTTGCAATTTATGGAAACAACTAAATGTGCGATTTTGGATTTCATTGATATCCTATCATAGCCTTAAAATGTATTTTGCTGGAACATTTTTATTTCAACAATGATAGAAAATTCCCTGACATTTCCCTGACACATCTGCTGTTTCAAAATTCCCTGACATTTTTGGCCCTTTTTGACCCAATTTTGAAATTCCCTGACATTTCCAGCACCTGGAAAAATAAATCAATTTCCCTGACATTTCCAGGTGTGTACGAACCCTGTATGAGTTAAAGGCAGAATCTGATCTATAGGGGGTGACAAAATTACAAGCAACATATATAATTGACTTACCAATCTATTCCTTACAATATCAAATACAATATCTCCCAAAAGATTCAAAATATGTTATAAATTGGTGAAGGTTATTAATGATTCAAAGTGCAAAAATGAGTGAAGAATGTTTAAATTCTCCCAAATAATAAGAATGGTAACCATTCTTATAGAAAAATAATACATTATTGTAAAAATCTTTAGTTTTCCTGGAATAAAGTATGCACTTTTGTGATTTTTAGAAAATAGACATGCCAAGGAATGACATGAGACAAAAATATTCAAAAATTGAAACAATTTTTTGTTTAGCCTGCTCGCTATATCTGATTCTCTCTTTAAGTAGTAGTAGTAGTAGTCTAGATATACATAGTTAAGGTAGATAACCAATGAAATTTTTCATTACAGTATTCTCATGCTACTAAATGTAATTTAATATAACCATTGTCACGGTCATATTGTGCTTTAACATTACCACAGTCATGACAGGCCTTGCAACCATTGTCATGGTCATATCAGGCTTTAACATTACCACGGTCATGACAGGCCTTGTAACCATTGTCATGGTCATATAAGGCTTTAACATTACCATGGTCCTGACAGGCCTTGCAACCATTGTCATGGTTATATCAGGCTTTAACATTGTCACGGTCATGACAGGCCTTGCAATAATTGTCATGGTCATATCAGGCTTTAACATTACCACGATCATGACAGGCCTTGCAACCACTGTCATGGTCATATCAGGGTTTACCATTACCACGGTCATGACAGGCCTTGCTACCATTGTCATGGTCATATCAGGCTTTAACATTACCACCGTCATGACAGGTCTTTCAACCATTGTCATGGTCATATCAGGCTTTAACATTACCACGGTCATGACAGGCCTTGCAATATAGTATAGCATTGTCACGGTTATATCAGGCTTTAACATTACCACGGTCAGGACAGGCCTTGCAACCATTGTCATGGTCATATCAGGCTTTAACATTACCATGGTCATGACAGGTCTTGCAATATAGTACAGCATTGTCACGGTTATATCAGGCTTTAACATTACCACGGTCATGACAGGCCTTGCAATATAAAATAGCATTGTCACGGTTATACCAGGCTTTCATGATAACAATACGACAGTCATGGCAGTATCGTTGCGACACTAAACACTTAATAACATGGTGACGGTTGTGCCAGGCATAAGTCTTGCAACAGTTAGGGTCTCGAATTTATAGCCAGGTAAATATCAACAATAATGACGCCAGCTTTGTTGGAGAATAGAGTTAATTCTCCCTGCAGCTGGAGAAATATACAGGCATGATCGGCAATATCGCATTACTTGGAGATTGAAGAGTATCGAGTTGTAACTCTGGCTTCCAATCCTCCTTGTATATGGAGAACTTCCCAGTAGCCAGTTATCCATCCATGTACAGTTGGGGACAAAAATAAATGACAGGTCGATTTTCGATCACCATTTCCTAATTATGGTGGTCTGAAAGCCCATAATTTCCAATATTGTCTAGATACATATCCCTTAAAATTTGTATATTTTACATTTTGTATAATCTCATCCACTGACTCACGGCCTCTTGTAAATTCTCTTATTTTTAACATGGGAAATCCTCACTTCAGCAAATCCACCTGTCATTTATTTATGTCCCCAACTGTAGGGAAGGGGAGTAAGCTGATCTTTTAGACAATGAATTAGCATAGAGCCTAGATCTCTAGCCTAGCCAGTGAAGGTTTAGGTAACCTGGACCTAAGCTAAATCATACTCACTAAACTGAGGATTGTTCGGGGCTCTGTGTGCATTATATCTTGCATCAAGTGCAAGAGCTTGTTGCCAAACTGCTGCCATTTCAATGTATATGTCGGGGTTAAATTCCAGATAACAAACTTTGACAATTGCTTCTATTTGAGTGAATATTGACATTAATGTTGAATAAATCTACTAACTTTTATATTTTTTGATGACATTTAACAAGATTTGTCAATAGGCGATAAAACAAATCCAAAATAGTATCACGAATTTGAAGTGTCGATACACCAAGCTTACTATCCGGATTTCACGCTACTACAACAGTACCCACTCTATGTTAAAGGTGACATTGTATTGTTAGACGTTACAATTACTAAAATAATAGATGTAGAACATTAGGTTACATTTTGTTTGAATTATTCATTTTTCAAATACTACTTACTCAAAGTTTCTTAAAAGAATTTTACTAAAAGATAGATCTATCTTTTTCTGTCATGTTGCAGAAAAATGGCGTCCAAGGTCGCGAGAGCTACCGTAAAACAAGTGAAGCCAATGCTTTCGTTAGACCACTCTGAAGCTAGAAGAAGAGTTCTAAATCTATACAAAGCATGGTTTAGACAAGTCCCATATGTTGGTAAGTGCAAATAGGTAATTAGATGTTATATATCTTCATATTCCTCTTGTTCGTCTTAAAAATTTTGAAATAAAAATCCTTTCGTTCCTTGTTTCAATGTTTGGTCGGCTTTCTTCAGGTTTGGTCGGTCTTGATGGTGGCCATAAGGCATTAGTGTTGTCGCGATTAATTGATACATCGCGATATACATCCCCAAAGCACTGGTGATCCGCTCGATTACGCTGGTTACCGAAACCATGGGCTTTCAATTAAGCCAATGCACATCGAAGGTTCAAATTTTCTTTTTCCTTATTTCACAAGTTGTAGGCAGAATCCCCACGACGTTTTTTCTCACAAACGTGTACCAGAATGATCATATGTTTTAGAAAATGTACATGTTTGCGAAAAATAGCTCAGAAGACAACAGAATCGTCGATTTAATTTCTCACTTAAGTTACATAAACGGTTTGGGTTAAAAGTGCAGATCTTAACTGTTTTTCGAAAAACCGTTCATGTAACTTAAGTGAGGAATTAAATCGACGATTCTGTTGTCTTCTGAACTATTTGTTCGCAAATATGTAGAGGTGTCACGGATACCCGATTTTGTTCCGATCCGCGGAATTATGCCCTCGGAACAGAACACGGAACAAAAATTAAGAATTTCGGTTCGGTTCCGGAACAAGAACATTTTACCCTTTTACAACTTCTGGCCCTTAAATCTCCACAAAACAGCATTTTTCTTTCAATATTTTGTATCAAAAGAGGTTCATTCTTTTTACTCCTTCTCTTTGAAGAGCTTTTCGCTACCAAATAGACCTAGATGATCAAATTATTTTAATCAAATACACGCAGTCACTCTGTTCCGAACCGTTCCGAAATTGTTCCGTTCTGAAGCAAAATGTTCTGAACCGTTCCGATTTTTTTTGTTTCGTGACATCTCTACAAATATGTACATTTTCTTAAACATATGATACTGATACACGTTTGTGTTAAAAATGTCGTGGGAATTCTGCATACAACGTGTGAAATAAGGAAAAAAATTCGTACCTTCGATGTGCTGACATTTTGTTACTAAAACGAACCGTTTCGGTAACCAGCGTAATCGAGTGGATCACCAGTGCAAAGGTGATTCTGGCGATGCATTGATGTATCATACTAGAATCAAAACACCTATTCTAGTGACCAGTTCATATGGTTAAGGGGAGGCATCAAAAGTTCGATGTCGGATCGGAAACTAAATAAATCTAGTTTTGACTCTGACCCCCCTCCCCCAAAAAACTAATTACCATGAAAGTTGATCGCTGACTTCTGGTTTGAGAATTTGAAAAATTATTGCTAAACACGATCTAGTTTTTGTTAATTCCTGTCGTAATTTGCGGCTTTTAACAACTATTGATAGAATAGAATCCATTGCATATTGGAATGATCTCGACGAAGAAAGCATCAGGTAAAATCTTTATTTTTAAAGCATTCAAAGGCATTCTTAGTCGAAATTGCCAAAAATTTGAAATGTTGAAATTTGTCGGATAGCAAACTGAAATGGGTTTGAACCCCCTCCCCCTAACTAGATTTATTTAGTTTTCTATCCGACATCGAACTTTTGATGCCTCCCCAAAGGTTCAGCTGGAAAGTAACATTCCAAAAGCAAGGAAATACACACATACCTTCATACTTAATTTTGTACCAGAAAATAACATGTGCAGGTATAGCAATTTTTTACCAAAATGTTATTTTCCAGCTGTACCTTAAAATAACGAAATAATGTTACCATTTGTGTCTACTTACCAGTTTGTTCTATGTCAACCATCCTGCTAGGTTACATTAGTGGTCAGAATGTATAATTAGGGTCTCATTTTGAAGAAAAATCTTTCATGTGTAAGATAAATGTCACTGCAGAACATGTAGACACCATTAAATAATGAATTACCCATGCTTCGTTACCAAATCATCATGACAGACTTCAAATTTTCAGACTCATCTTTTTATTGATTTCTCCCTCAATATTTCATCAATCAACTCATCAATGGCTCAATTTTGCCTTTGAAGTTACCACCCAAATATCCATGAAAACAATGCCAAGTTTCCTTTTTGGGCTTGGACCATTCATGTGACCCAAGTTCCGCCTTTATTAGCTTATAAGGCAACTGCCAAGTTGTCAAATGATGTGATGGTCATTCGAAGATATGACAGATCATATAAACTATTACGTCAGTCACATATTTACCCCAGTTTATATGTGTGTGGAAGGGTAGTTGTATATGTGAAAATCTATGGTATTAGAATGATTATATTGACCGTTATGTCTAAAAAACTTTTGATTGTAATCACTCATTTTAGACATTATGCATACTTGAGATGGAATTCTACATTACATTACATTACAATCAGAAATGCAACTCACCAACTCTTGTGGTGATACAATATCCCATATATGGTATGGTGACCTCTAACCTTATTTACACGTGACAGGTTCCAGAAACATGGGAGCCAATTCTCCCCCCCCCCCCTTTAGGATATAGCAGGACTTTGCTCAAGAAGGAATTTTCAATAAGGCTGCTCAATTCAAATGGCTTCAACTTTGTATGAAAAAATGTAATATTTAATAACTTAAATGCCAGTTAAAGGATTTGGTGCAATTTTATATGACATGAATAAAAGCAATAGTTCAGAAGAATGAGGTTTTGTCTAAAATTATCGATGGATGGACAGAACAGAGTGAAGGACATACAGCTTTTAGTTGTCAAAATATCATATTTTTGACAATACTGTTTTTTCTTTCAGTGAAAGATTATGATGTCCCAATAACAGTTTCGGATGGACGTGCCAAAGTTCGAGAGATGTTTGAAAAGAATCGTCATGTAACTGATGTTAGAGCAATAGATCTATTAGTCATAAAGGTAAGGCATCCATATTACATGATATATAAGGAATCTATGTTGCATATTGTATAAGTCATTAAAGGAATATTCCTTGCCAAACCATCTCTCTCCTCATATGGTAGCTATAACCATACATATGCTTGCCATATTTAGCAAAACACGCAAAAATGTTTTGATATGGTCAAATTTGATCACTTAGAAATGTGATGCTCAATTCTAGTACGCTGCCATCTTTTAAAATTTCACACAGGAAGTGATGTCATCGACTCTCAACTTTGCATATAGCATTAGGTGAGGAGCTATTAAGAATTACAAAACCAGCTAAATATTCTTTTTCAACTTTGTATCTTATTTAATCCTTCTGAAAAACTTATTCTAAGTTGACAAGCCCTGAAAATATTTTTGCACAGAAAGTAATGACCACTTGTCTAGAAGTGATTTTGTGCTACTTTCCTATACTGTTATGGGCAAGGTTATAGAAGTTGAGAGTTGATGACATCACTTCCTGCAAGAAATCTTAAAAGATGGCAGCTCACTGGAAATGAGCACTAGATTTTTAAATGATCAATATTGACCATATTTAAACATTTTCCCATGTTTTGCTAAATATGGAAACTATATATATGATTATAACTACCATATCAAGAGAGAAAGGGTCTGGCAAGGAATATTCCTTTAAGGCTGGGAGGTCCATTTTGTACATGTTGTATATTTTTGTATCAATGGAACGAGTGTATAAATTTTACATGTTTTAGGCATTTTTGAAACTAATTGAAGGTTGAATTTGTTAATTTTCAGACTTATATGGAAGTTTAAAGGCAGAATCAGATCTATAGGGGTGACAAAATTACAAGCAATATGTATGATTGACCTACCAATCTATTCCTTACAATCTCAAATACAATATCTCCCAAAAGATTCACGATATGTTCTAAATTGGTGAAGTTATTATGGATTCAAAGTGCAAAAATAGGTGAAAAATGTTTAAATTCTCCCAAATAATAAGAATGGTAACCATTCTTATAGAAAAATAATACATTATTGTAAAAATCTTTAGTTTTCCTGAAATAAAGTGTGCACTTTGGGGATTTTTAGAAAATAGACATGACAAGGAATTATATGAGCCAGAAATATTCTAAAATTGAAACAATTTTTTGTTGGGCCTGCTCGCTATCTCTGATTCTCTCTTTAACATATTTTTGCATTTTTATCTGTAATATTTTTATTTCCACTTTCACTCATTTGAAAAAGTAGATATGTTATATGTTAATAGAAATTGTACCCTGATGTACAGTAGGCTCTGAAAAGGAGAGATAGAGCAACAGTTTTGATGCCGATATTCTGATAGGGCAATGCTAGATCAGGGGATTTTCCCCAAATCAATAGTATAGATGGAGGCTCTCTATTAAGGAAGCAAAAGCAAACTATTATAATGGGTAGGCCTATAGAAACTGCTTTACTGTTGCAATATACAAACGTGTCTGTTTTCTTGCAGGGGCAGATGGAGCTAGTTGAAACTGTAGAAATCTGGAAACAGCGCAACCACATTATGGCCTACTTCAAAGACACTGTAAACCCCCAACCACAAGATTTCTTATCAAAGTTTTACTCAGGACAGGGATAATAATATAGGACATAGGAAATACAGAGGGGCGTACAACAATAAAAAGAATACACTTGTCAATATTATTTAATTAGACGACCATGGTCCAAATGTGTATAACTTATAGATGCACACATCGCACAGTGCGCCAAAACTTAAACTTTATTCAAAAAAAACAATTAGGATTTATTACATTTTGCCAAAATGCTGTATGAAAA